AGCTGTAGACACTGGAGCGCTCAGTTCTCCGTCTCTCAATATTGTGTATATTTAGCATCGCGGCCATTCCTGGAGCATTTATCCGATATGGTATCCGTCCCCCAGAGACTCAGCCCATAGTCTCAGCAGTATAGCCGTGAGTTGGCCACGGATTACCGGCCGTGGGCCGAGCAGGGATAATGTTAGAGACAGACTGTCACGATAAATCACATCCGATCCGCACACAATCATTACTGAGCCATCAGACGTAATGTAGCCCAAAACAAACATAGACGGTCTTTAATGCACCGCATCTGTCGAAAAACGGTGCGCACAACGCAATAATCGACTCGCAATGTTCGCTGTTTTTATGTTAGGGTGTTAGGACGAGTGGCTACTGCTCAGACAATGCCTAGTAGGTAGGCACCCACCCACGTGGAGGTAGGTTTAGGTATGTGTATTAACCAATTCTGTGGAAAACAATTAACAGTTTGACACGCACCAATAATTTCGTTTCCACTATCCATTCAAGATGCGAAAATAGCGCAGGATGAACTAGTTATTATGACTCGGGCATATCAGGAGGGGCTTTGAGCTGGTCATTCTGTCAGTGCGCATATCATTATACGTGTCCGTCTTCATACATACGAATGATGAAATGTTGAGCAAAAAGTTTAGGTATCCTAGTTCACAACTAATGATGCCTGCAGGCTGCAATTCTCGGTAACGAACCAGAATATCACCGAACTGCGAGTCAAGGCATCAAATAGACCTGGCCGTCTTATGGTATCGGGTATCTTACCTACTTTAAAATGAATTATCTTTAGAGTCCAGTCCAAGCATACCAGATCTATTGAGGTCATCATTTAATAAAATGATTGACCCGAAATAAACTCAAGTTTCATTTACTCTTGAGCCTGGCCATGCAAAAAGACACAGTCACAGGACCTGCTTGGCCGACTTTAGAGGAACATTACTCATTAGGTAATAAAACCATCTAAAACCAATCTAGAAAAGAGAACGGCAGACTAAAAGTATGCCTTCACACTTAAAAATATAGCATAAAACGCACAAAGGTTAACATGCCGTAGGTAAACCGCTAGCAAACCGGCTGGCTCGCTCGCTGGACTGCCGAGTGCCGAGTCCGCCTGTAACCTCTGTCAGTTAGACTAGCCCGCCGAGCAGCGATGCGCTGCGGCACAGCCTACGTCTCAGGTGGTCCGTGCGAGAGCAAGCTAGTGCCGAAGCCGGTCTGTCGCTGCGAAATTCGCAGCTCCAGCACATTTTGGCTTAGTGAAATAAGCAGCGCAATGCAATCAGGCACGATTAAATTCATGATAATTGCATGAAAACACATTTAGTGCTGGCTCAGACGTTTGACAGATTCAATGAAGGCGTCACTGAAGGAGTTGCGCAGTGTCCAATGACTGTCTCTCGTGTGTTCCAGTTCGCGCGGCTGGCGTCGGCCGGAGTGGCCGGTCCGCCGGTCACGGCCACGGCCGCCGCCTCCGAGTCGGGCCCGGTGCGCGCCGCCGGGCCGCCGTGGCCCGAGCTGTGCGCCGCGCTGTTCGCCGCCGTCACGCTGCTGATGGCCGCGCTGATCGTCGTCACCAACCTGCTGGTGGCGGCCAGCGCGGCGCGCAGCCAGCAGCGGCCGCAGACGGCCGGCAGCGGCCTGCTGCTGGCGCTCAGCCTCTCGGACGGCCTGCTGGGCGTGGCGCTGCCGACGGCGCTGCTGGTGCCGCCGCCGGCGCCGGCCGGCCCGCTGCGCCTGCTGCCGGCCGCCGCCGTGGCCGCGCTGGCCGTCTGCTCGGTGCTCACCACGGCCGCCATCGCCGGCGACCGGTGCGCCTCGCTGGCCTGGCCGCTGCGCTACTCGGGCCTGGTGACGCGCCGCGCCGTGGCCCGCTACGTGGCCGCCGTGTGGCTGTGCGGCCTGCTGGTGGGCGCCGGCGTCACCTGCCTGGGGCCCGGTCCGGCCGCCGGCTGCCGGATGGACCCGGCCGAGCGCAGCCTGGCCGCCGTGGCCGCCGGCGCCGTCTTCATCCCGGCTTGCTGCGTGCTGGTCGCCAGCTACCTGTACGTCTACTGCGTGGCCCGGACGCACGTCAAGGCGATCCGCACGGTGGAGGCGTCGCTGGGAGTGCGCGGCAGCGGCTCGCCGGCCGGCGGCCGCTGCGGCGCGCTGCTGCTGCTGGTCGTGGCCGTGTTCGTGGTGTGCTGGGGCCCGCTGGCCGGCGGCGCCGTGCTGCGCGCCCGCTGGCTCGGCTGCGGCGGCCCGCCGCGCGACTGGCTCCTGCTGCTCGCCGCCTGCTCGGCAGCCGCCAACCCGTTCCTGTACAGCCTCAACAGCTCCGAACTGCAGCTCGGCCTGAGGAAGCTGTTCAGCGGACTGCCCGCCCGACTGGGGGTGGGCCGGCGGCGCGCGGCCGCCGCACAGACCACCTCCGTGGCGCTCAGGTCAGCACCGACCGGCAACCGGAGTCGATGCTGCGGATACCGCCTTTTATTATTTATTTTATTTGCTCGTACAATCTATGAATACCATAAAAAATACGCAATGATACCGTATTGACAACCCGTCAAGAGGAAGAGCCAACGGGTCGGTCGGACTTGCCTAATTTCAATATCCACTTGGGAATGTCGAGTCAATCTTCTCGGCAGCACACGACTGGACATGCAGTGACCGTTTCTCTTTCCCTCTCCACAGAGTGGGCTCGGGAGTGCGTCTGTGCGCGGTGGCGGCTAACCAGCCGTTCCTGGTCGCTCCCCTGCACGCGGCCACGGCGGCCCTGACGGTGAGCCGAGAGGCGGTCAGCACCGGAGGCACCGTCACCGTCAACGCGCCGGCCACCGTCGTGTGAACGGGCTGCCGTCCCGCGCCCAGACACCTCTGGCGCGACTGGAAACAGCGCAATATCCGGCTGAAAGTCCTGCACAGGCGTCTGTTCCGGCCTTCGACCGTCTTCTGACGTCCAATCGGCTCCAGCAGACGTCTCGCCGATCGTTACACAATATCCACCTTATTTCCGCCCTCCAATAGACTGCCTCTTCGGCGGTGTTTCGGCATCGGTTCTGTCAGACTCACTTCTGACATGTCTCAGATTTATCCCCGAGACAAGTCTGATGCTATCTGCTCCAGTCGCTGGATCGGTTTCTTCAATGCCTTGAATTGGCAATGCCGTGATCAAAGTTGATCTCAGGAAAGATCGTATCGTATGTCATATAAAACATGTACTGTACAGCTCAGTGATTAATGCCAGAAATTGCACGGGTGTACACACTTCACTGGAACGCCAACCTTACCAATGGATCTCGTATTTAAATCGTGTGTGTTTGGGTCTATAATCGTCAAGTATGAGGTTCTGCTCAGGGCCATTGTTGAACAGGTGGCAATTTTCAGTGCACTGCTGATGCGCCTGGATACGATATTCCGACAATCTAATCTCAACGATGTCCTGTCATTGATCTGTGGTGTTTTTCTACTTGATCTGTCGATCTTGTATGCGCGTGTGCTGTTGTCGAGAGGCGCGGCCAAACCGTCCAGAGTAGATAATCTGTACATTTCTAGCAATCTATCCAGACGAGTGGAAGCCAGGAACGGTCAGTTCTCCGGACCGCGCCCCTGACCTCCTGAGACCCCGAGCTCCCGTCTTCTCCGCCAGTTGTCCCGCGAACCACGCCGAGCTAATCTGGACGTCCGGGAGTGTTAATGTGCAGGTATTTTTGACGGCCGCCGCCGCCGTCCACCAATAGGAGCGGCTCTCTCAGGGGCTTTACGGTCGGCCGGCCGCCGCCACAGAGGTGTCCGGCAGCGGCGGCACAGAACAGATTAGTCACCTGGTCAGCCGGGCCGGCCATCTCAGACAGTTCCCGTGAACTCATTGATTTATTGACCTCGTGACGGTTTTGGGACGGGCGGCGGCAGGTTTCCTACCGCGCCGGATTATCGACAGCCGGGGCTTCCTCAGAAGTGGCCACCGCCACCGCAGGTGACCAGACGGGGGCGGGGGGGGGGGGGGCAGAGGAGAGCGGCGGAATCCGCCTGAAGCCGGGCATCTCGGAACTGAGCGGCCCCCGCTGTCCAGAGTCGGTGCAGCCCCCGGGCAGCAGGTCAACTTGCAAAAGTCATTTGGATCTCGGAGCTTGCCTGACTGTGTCCTAAAGGTGACAGTGAAATAGTTAGAATAGTTTTGATGAAGACTCAGCACCGTGATACCACCTTGTACCTAACTGAAATAATGAGAGCTTATCTCGCTTGTCCTTGCGGTTCGCGTGGCTGTGAATGTAAGAAAGGGACACACTCGTCATGTTCCGGTAGATGGTACAATAACAATTATCCTCGCTGGACTCTGTCACAAGCTTTGTAATACGTTTTCTTTGGGGGAGCGAATTAGGCACATCCCTCCCCCTCCGTAACAAGGTTTTCCGACTCTGTGCTTATTTCATTTTAACCTCATCATTTTTTTTTTTTTTGAACCAGGTCAGAAGAAATAAATATTTCACCGTCTTTACATCACAGAACATAACTTCAGGAAGCACCCTAAGCATGTGCCTCTAGCCTGGTTGCTATTCTGTACCATCATTCATGAACAATGAACTGTTCTATCTTCGGACTTCAATCAGTTGGAAGGCAGCAACGCCGTGTCAGAAGTTTGTGAAGTACGTAACACATCAATCTCGTGATGCTGGTGTGTCGCCAGTTCTTGTTCCCGCCTCACGGGCAGGCGCCAGGTGGAAGGTGTTCCCGATGTGTGTCAGGTATGTCGGCGCGAATGTTGGTTCGGGTGGTAACAGAGTTACGTACACAGCCCCTGTGACCGCGCCGGCGCTTAGTGTGATACATTGTGTCCGTGGTCCGTCCAGGACAAATGCTCGGTGTCAATATACGCTCAAACCATCCCTCACTGTCTGTGTCGGAGGTGCCGGGTGTGTCGGGGAACAGAGGATAGGACCGGGACGGATTATAGGGCTTCAGTCTCCCCCACACGGCGCATAGTGACAGAGACAGACGGGAACTCGCACCGAACCCTGTATTGTCAAACATACGGCAATCTCGGTGGAAAAATGATATGACGCACAGTTACCCATATTCGACATATTCCAATAAAATCACACGATCCGATAAAACGACGACGGTAAACAAATAGACAGTTTACGAAGCCACAAATTAAAACCCAACACACGCATGCAAAACAACGCAGATAGAATCCTATAGATAACAACCGCTGTGGGGTCGGCCCCAATCCGACCTCAAAGGCCGGCCATATCACCGAATCCCACTGAGGGCAAGCTAAAATAGAACTGAAACAAGCAGTTATGGCGGCGACATTCCTATGACATCAGTCATTCAGAGAGCCACTATTGATGACTCAGCTAGAACATTCGGTATAAAGGTACTGTCGTTTTTGTACTCAGTTATTGACTGCTGAACAAGCTCTGGCAGTGTAGTGGCGTCGCTGATTTCAGTGTGACTGTATGCACTCATATTAGTGTTTATGGCAATTCGGTACCGGCGGCAAATATAACGGGTAACACACAGATACATTAAAAACAACGGCTACAGTCCTATAAAATGTTACACACCGCATAACTGACAAACTACAAACGGGGACAGATCCCTTATAGAGGACGTCGTAACAAGAACCAGACAGCGGCAGCACTGCATACAATGCAACAAACATGACACGAATCGATCATCAATAAAAGACGCCATCGCTACGTCTCAGCTCCCAGAAATTCACGAATTACGCCCAGACCTATCACAGCCGGAAAAGGGCTCACAGGACGACAACAGGTGCACAAGGAGGATGTCGGTATAAAACTCCGCGCCGGTACCATCACAGATATAAGACAGGGCACACGGACCGCCAGTCGCAATCAGCTCACCGCCTATAGCGACCGTCGCAAAATTAAATCCGATTTAAACGCGATAGCCATGGTACCTATACTTATCCACTGAATGCTAATGCCCCAAAACATTGACCTTCAGAAATGGATTGACCTCTATATGTTCTATCAAGCTTTTACAAATTTATCCTCCGCGTGACATGTGAGTGGAAAGACGCATCTTCATTACTCGGTAGGCCATTATTATCGGAGAGGTCTGAGGCGGGTATCGTATGACATGAACCGACGGCAGTTTCATCCGCCGACATTAGAGTTCGCCTCACGTTGTACCGTTGCGTAAAATTGTACAACACTGGCAGTGGTGTGCTAAAACAAGGCGGCATCTCAACGCATCGCTGCGTTCAGTAAAGACTAAAGAATAATGACTATGGCATAGCACATAGCTATCATACCCTGGCGAACAAGAGAGCTGAGCATGTCCGACATATAATAACTACCAGATGTCAGACCAGGTGAAAACCCGCGCCACTATCCGATATGGGTCTTATTCCACCACAGGCAATCATCTGCCGTGGGCGCCGCAGAAATCCCCAATGTGTCTGTCGCCTGTCATTTGCCACCAGACAGCCACCCGGACAGCCTGACACCGATCCAGACAGACGACTGGCGGTTCTGCTGATCACGTCTGTCCCCTAGGCAGTGGACCTGGCAACCCCCGCATCCGCATCCATTTGACCGCCGGGAGCCGGGGGTACAACAGCCGGAGACAATAGCCGGAGGTCGACCAGGAATCGAAAGTAGTGAGCGTAAAACCGGGACATGGCAGACTCGAGAGCAGAGACGGGATTTGGAGCTAAAAGCTGGGAGCCAAGAACCGGGACTGGGAGACCCGCTCCCTTCGGCACCAGTGGTTCTGCCGTCCGGCGCTCACACGATGAACAGCTCCTGGTTCGGCCGGTGCGGCGCCATGGCGGCCACGTAGCCCATCTGCCAGGGCGCGTACGGCCCGGTGACCAGACAGGGGACGGCCGCCGGCGGCGCTGTGCTCCACGTCTGTGTGGTGGAGGTCCCCCCGCCCGTCTCGGCGGCGGTACGGTCCGCCCCGGCCGCCCGCCTCCCCTCCTCCCGCTGTCGGCGGCGCTCCTCCCGCTGCCGGCGGCGCTCCTCCAGCGTGATCCAGCCGTGCCGGCGCCGCTGCAGGCCCTTGTGCTGGTAAAACACCAGCGACAGGCGACTGGGCCGGCGCCGGTCGGGCCGGCGCAGCGCCGTGGTGGCGTGCAGCTCGTCCACGGCACACTCGAGCAGCAGCGAGCCGTGGGTGAGAGCCACGGCCACGCCGCCCGCCCGGCGGTCGGAGAAGGAGGCCGAGCAGTCCGACTGGTACCGGCGCACCCGGACACCGTCCTCCGTGCGCTCCCAGTCGGCCCCTGAACGGCCCCCGCTGGCCTCCGTACGGTCCCAGCCGGCCTCCGAACGGTCCCCGCCGGCCCCAGTCCAAGATCCGGAGTGGGGGACGTCAGGAGCCATAGTAGGATCCAGAGGAGCACTGGGAGTCTCGGGGAGAGGAGAGTGCCTGACGGGGGAGTTCAATATAAAGGGGAGGGAGTGGGATGTACCTGGGCTGAAGGTGTGGGTATTTGGAGAGTAGGGCGTATGGCCATTCGAAGCCATCGTGGGAGACTCGGGTGTACTAAGGTGAACATTGTGCTCAGCAAGGGTAAATGGGTTTATACCGTAGCCATTCGTCACGAAACCAGGACTAGAGGTGTTAAACGCTTGGGTAAAGGAGGCTGACATGCCAGGAAAGCTGTACCCAGGACTGTAATCACTGGGTACCGGAGAGTGCATGTAATGGCTGGAAACACCGTTGGCAAGAGGTCCGATCGACGCTGTGTCGAAGCTATGCGGACCTGAGACGTGACCGTCACCGTTTTGGGTGTAAGAGTTGGACAGGCCTGGGGTAGAATACCCTGCACTGTGTGCTCCAGTCATGTAACCGCCACCGTCGGACGGATACCCGCTGTGGGAGCGGTGCGCTCCGTCCATCTCAGCCCGTCCGCCGGCTGTGCCGGAGCCCGGCGACCCACTGACTGCCTGTCCCGGCAGTACACTCTGCCCCTGCTGCCGAGCCGGGCCGACAGCGGGAGCACCGGGCACGTCCCGGCCGTCACCCGGCGCGGTCCGAGCCGACCCGGCGGCCGGGCCGAGCGGCTGACGGGCGTCCGACGGACGGGACAGAGCCGGGGTACCCGGGTACAGCGCGGGGTCGGACAGACGGGGCAGAGCTGGGGTCTCGGGGTATATGGGAGCAGAGCGGGACACGACACCGGCAGAGGTCCAGCCGGCGGGGACGAGCGGCGAGGACCCGTTACTCCAGTGAGGAGCGGTGTGCTGCGGCTGGGGAGAGTGCAGTTCACCGCTGTACGTCTCGGGTGTCCGGTACCCGGACAGGGGACTGACCCCCCTCCCCGCGGCCGGGGTCCAGTGTGCGGCCGTCAGCAGTCTCTGCGGCGTCCCGCCGGCCTCCCAGGCACTCCCCTGAGGGGACCAGCCGGACGGGGAGCCTCCACCGGACCCCGCTCCCGGCTGCAGCTCGGACAGCGCGCCGGGTTCGCCGCCCAGCCAGCCGACCACGGCCCGACCGCAGCTGCCCAGCGCCTCCTGCAGACCCGGCCAGTGGACGGGGCGGGCGGCGGCCGACACCCGGCCCCTCAGCGCGGACCCGGGAGCAGCCGCCGCCGGGCCCGGGCGGGAGGAGAGCGGCCGCTTGGCAGCCCTACGTACCGTGCATGTGGCCAGAGGCACCTCCCGCCGGCGGATCTCCACCGGGTAACTGAAAAGGCGGATACGAATATTCAGAGGGGGAGCACTGAGTTCACGACGCGGGGGCAGAATCGAAGTTATCGCAATTTGAAGTGTTTGAGTTTAGAGGGCACGGACATTCCGCTTCTGTACATAGTTTCGGGCAACTCTAATCTAGAGAATATGACGAATAGTATGGACTTCCTCTGCAACTTCGCAGAAGTTATTACAAACCATCAACTAATGAATCATCAAACTTCGTTGTGCTTATATAATTCACATTAACACGTAGACCATTGATCAGGATGTAACAATAGTCCAGGATCTGTAACCCCAGCCGCTCCGGCTAGTCGTGCTCACCTGTGCAGTCGCTGGACGCCGTCCCTCTGCTCCTCTCCACTCTCTTCCAGCACGTACAGGGGCAGCACGTGCAGCTGCTCGTCAGGGGGCTCGGAGGGGCTGTCCGCCCCCTCAGCGGGGTCCGCCGTCGGGCGCGCGGGCTGAGAGTCCGGCGGGCCAGGGCACAGAGCAGGCTGATCGGTATCATCAGAAGTGTTCAGTTGACCATCAGAAGGGCCCGGCTGAACGCCAGGGGACTGAAGACCGTTTGACAGACCAGGCGGACCGTCTGGTGGATTTAGATGACCGTTTGAGAAATTCAGCTGTCCGTTGGGTTCCAACAGTCCGTTAGGAGTTAGCTGTCCGGCAGAGCTCAGCTGGGCGTCCGAAAACCACCCGTTCAGTCCGTCATCCCGTTCACCTACAGCGGGAGCCGTGTTCTGAGAAATTCTCTCTCCGTCCGCAGTGTCGGTCTGGTCTAGCTGAGTGCCCGACTGAACTGCCGCCGGCTGCCCCACTGAGGCGCCTGGACCACCCTGGCCCGGCAGCGGCTCCTCCACGTCACTCGCTCGCGGTTTGAGCAGCGTCAACACCTGCGGTCGACACACGGGGCACCTCTCTCAGAGCCGGACACGGACACATGGCGGGAGAACACCCGGCTCCCACAATAAGAAACCCATACCCGTGTTACGTAACATGATGATACAAGTTATGAAAGGACGCCAGAGAAACTACCCGAGTTAATATGACACGCTGATTTCTGCCTAGACGAATATGAAGCAATACAGCAACGCACATCAGGCAGGATGATAGAGCTGGGATATCCATCTGCTTCAGTAAGGCGGTGTATTACCATGAGTTTTGAGTGACGGTAAATCCCACCGGGGCAGGACACGCCGACAGCGTGTCCCGCCCCGGTACCAATGCTGACCGCCCGGTGTAAATAAATAAATATATACCAATGCCGACCGCCCGGTGACCGCTCTAACCACCCCTTTACTGCACTGACCGCGGTGCAGCCGTCGCGCGTGTTGTGGATGTCGCGATGGGCGTGCGCGCAGAAGTCCAGACAGGCCGTGACGCCGGACCAGGGCCGGCCCGGGGCCAGGCCGAGACGACACTCGAGCGCCGCCTGCTCCGAGCGCACCTGGGGAGAGCGGGAGAGGGGTCAGAGGGGCAGAGGGAAGGGCGCTGATTAGCAGGGTGTCACAGTGGTGTGGGGAGCGCCCAAACTGGACGGAGCGTACTCCTGTCATCTATATAACCGGTAACAGAGAATGGGACGTGTCATATGCCAGCGACGTTATTAGACAATGGACTATAAAGCTGTCACAAATATAAGTGTCCAAAATACCTATTATTTCCGTACAAAAGAGGAACACAACCAGGCATGAATGAACAGCCCTTTACTTAATGACGGATGCTTACTGGTTATGACAGACTATTTGGGACCGGGAGACCAAAGTGGCAAACGGAAAGCCTGTCCAGCCCGTTCAAATGAGCGCCGACCAATGATAGATGTCAGAAATGAAGCCAACTATTCAGCACGGTTATGTAACTGATAACGTATAGGAAGATTATCGGCTGTCACCATAGCGCTACTCTGCCAGACTTCATCGGACATTCACCGGGGAAATAACCACATTTAATACAAATTTCACAGATGAAAACACCAGACCAGTTCTATCAAGACTTTCTAAAAAGTTCGAAATCAAAATCAATTTACATGCGATGTTTGGCTGTCAACAAAACCAATGAAGCTCTCAGCGTGCCCTCTCTTCATCTGCCTGTATAAAGCCAACGGTACTTCCCTATCTGGGTGCATGCCAAAGAAAATGGCTTACGTCGAGGGCAGAGTATTCAAAGCAGCTAGGATTTCGGACACGTGAGATCCATTCTATCGAATAAACTCATTGTCCAAGTAAAATAGGACTGTACCTCAAAGCAGCGAAAAAAATGTTTTTATTTCATCGAAGAGATCCCAAAATGCATTAGCTTTTCAATCACCATCTAAATTCTCATAAAAATTCCACTAATTTCCCTTCCTTCCTAATGACGTAAGGATTAATGCCGCGTCTACCAGTCCCACCTTCCAGGAACTCTTGGCTCTGGTACCGGTGACACCCGACATCGCTTCAAAGCGCGCAGCTGATCCGCCTTTAGTGCTTATTTGGACTATGCTGTTTATCTCGGATCTATCGTTCCGAGATATCGACCTGGACCAGCAGGGAGTTCTAGCTACTCGGGGACTCAGCGCCACAGGGTTCGACAGGTTCTCAGGAGGTTCTCACCTGTCCTCGTGGTTCTCACCTGGTTCTTATCACTGCTCGTGGTTCTCACCTGGTTCTGGTAGGCGACGGGAGCCACTCGCCGGTAGAGCGGCGCCATTTCGGTGGCCAGCTCCTGCAGCTCCTGCTCCAGCGGCGCCTCCTGCCGACAGTCCCCCGTCTCCGTGAGTTCAGGGTAACACGGCTCCTGCCCCTTCCCCCGCGGCTCCTGCCGACAGCTCCCCCCCTCCCTGTGAGCTGGGGGTGGGGTGCCGCGGACGGCGGCAGCCTCTCATACCGGCCTCTAATCCAGTCGTCGTTCCAGCGAACCGCACTGCCGGGCGCCGCTCGAGGGCCGGCCGAAATACACACCCACCTGCGGCCCAGGAAGGAGCTCCAATTCCCCGGCCATAGCCGAGCACCTGTGGCCCAGAGTATGAGCACCGGATCTCCGACAATACCCGTCCAGACAATAGTCCCGCTTATACTTAGGTACCTACGGATATACCTACTTAAGTCAGACGGGCACTGAGCATACGTAAATACTCTTGTGAAAAACATGAGCGTGCCACAAACTAGTAGGTATATCTAAGCAAGAAACAAAAGTAAGAACTGTTAACAGATAATGAGGTGTTGCTCTACTGCTTCAGAATTACAAACATAATTCAGGTGCTATGAAACAGTTTCTGATAAAGCTGCGTATAAAAGGCCGTTTGGATAGAAGGCAATTCATGGACTCACCGACACCGCACCATTTCGAGTCCTTTCAATTTTTAATTACGATTGCAGTAAGTCCTGAGCACTCGCCGCGCCGTGTGGCTGACCCTGACCTAGCTAGGAGCAGCGCCCCTGACCAAGCATCATTACCGACCAATGGGGTGAAAACGACCACAACTTTGGCCGCTCTACGAGCCTGTCGCCGGCCAAATATAGTGCCCGACCTCGCCGTCCAAACAAAAGGCGAGCTCTTCCATCGCGCAGTTAGCGCCGAGCTGCGCTCTACAAATTAGACGGCAGCCAGACATGGCTTCGTCTCGGGCAGCGGACACCTGGGCTAAATGGGCAATTCTGCTTATGTCTCCATGGAAACTGAGCTCTATTACCTGGTAGCGGCGTGTAGCGGCGTACCGCGAAACTGGGCTCAGGTAGTGGCCTATTCCCACTGAGTTCATATAGCTAGATACCGGTTTCATCAGCCACGCGTCCATCAGCCCTCAGGGTGGAGAGGACACCGGTGGTAGAAAAACGACAGACTCGGTGCTGTCCCCGGGTCACCGATAGCCCTGCCCGGCGGAGCAGCCGTGGGCAAGGATCATACGTGCACGCCGGATCGTTTTCACCCCATACAGACGCCAGTTATAGGAGAGCGGACCTCTTTCCACAGAGATCAAAGCACGCTCTGCCTATCCTCGTGTCAGTATAATGACTCGCATTGATCAGGGGTGCAGATGTCACGACTGCACTGCGCCTCTATCCACCGCGGGGCGGTGCACGGGCCTCCCCCACACGCGCTCATTAGCGTGTACCTCTCACTTCTCAGGGAGGCCGGCAGAGGCGGCAACAAGTCGCCGCGACCGATCCGACTAACGAGGGCGCAATGATTGCGCGGAGCAGCGGGGAGCGCCGGCGGGCCGGCCGTAAGGGCCGCGTGATCCCTCTCCGCCTGAGAGGGACGCGCTGCTTCAACAAACGGTCCAAGGAACTGCTGCCATTTTCTGCCGGCTTCGAGGAATATACATACCAAGATGCAGTTCTTCACAAACGGAAATAAGCTAGGCGTTATCAAGATATCCTCTGGCGATGCTGTAGAATGGAATAAGTAAATGACTGGATAAAACAAAAGTACAGCATTCGAAGATTGCAAGCAATCGAATATCGATTATGGAAATGACAAGAAGACGGTTGTACTAATACGTTATTAACTTCGTTTTTTCATTTCGTTTATTTAAAGTGCTCCCACTATTGGTCATCACAGCTCAGACATGACAAAAATACCCACGTTTATCGACAAAACACATGGAAATAGACACAGCCAGCCAGACAAACCGTTTAACATAAGTAGGTAGCCACCGACCAGAGGAGCTATATCCAGGCAAAGTCCTGGAGTCGGTGCATCACAGCGGCTCATGTGATGGTCAATATTACCAGAGTCATGTCTATATCGAGCTCTGTAATATCCTATGCAGGGAGATCTGTAAGACCTTCCCGGCCACAGGGAAGGCCCGATACTGCAGAGGATTGACTGCCAGGCGGAGGATAAGACCTCGGCCAGGATGTGGGTGCACTACATAGTACATAATGCACATACCAGATTCTCTGTCGTTTTTACCCTTTACCTTTGCATAAGTCCGCTTCTTCAAGAAAGCTTTCCGAGCATAGGTGGTTACCCGGGGGCAAATCTCGCATTAGTAAGTTATTTGTGGGCAAAACCAATCATTTTATCATGATTTAGTCAGTACCTATAAAACTGGATAATAAAATAAAGAACAATGTCACCCTCTCCGCTAAGCAAGCTCTAAACATTGACATCGATTGGCGCGAGTAGCTTCTAGGTTTTCAAAACAGCCTTTCTGGTTATATTGGCTTCTGCAATTGCCAACACGGACTTCTGAGTTCTGATGCAGATATGTTACTTCAGTTGCCAGCGCCGACTTGCCTCATGTTCTCGGAACCGTTCGAGCCCCATCGATCCTCCCGGACCGATCAGCAATGAACTGCCGGCCGTCTGCCACGCACTGGATCCAGGAACGGCGGGTCCCTCCGCAGGTAATCCATTCTGTGTCCTCGGCAGGGAATCCCGCCGTGTCAAACCGACGCCGGGCCGGAGTTCAGGGGGCGACAGCGCGCAGACCCGGGCCGTACCGGCCGACACAGGCCGGCACAGGCGCGGCCTGGCTCATCACACAGCCGCCCCTCACACCATAGCGGCCCGGCTGACAGCGGCTCATCACAGCCGCCCCTCACACCACAGGCGCTTACCACAGCGGCCCGGCTGACAGCGGCTCATCACAGCCGCCCCTCTCACACCACAGACACACCACAGCGGCCCGGCTGACAGCGGCTCATCACAGCCGCCCCCCACACCACAGGATCACCACAGGCACACCACAGCGGCCCGGCTGACAGCGGCTCATCACAGCCGCCCCCCACACCACAGGCACACCACAGGCACACCACAGCGGCCCGGCTGACAGCGGCTCATCACAGCCGCCCCTCACAACACAGGGGCCCGGCTAACAGCGGCTCATCGCAGCCGCCCCTCACACCACAGGCTCACCACATCGGCCCGGCTGACAGCGGCTCATCACAGCCGCCCCTTGCACCACAGGCTCACTACAGCGGCCCGGCTGACAGCGGCTCATCACACAGCCGCCCCGACACTGTAACCGGCTCATCACCGGCCGCTATTTCTGTCTCTGTTGTATTCCAGGTATTTCTGTATCTGCGCTGTCCTAAAAAGACACCGCCGGCCGCCGTGTGTCGGAGAACTAACGAGACCGGCCCCGGAAGCCGCCCACAGCCGACATATACACCACATATCACAGTACCGCAGGCCAGTTACCGGGGCAGAGCGACGAGCTGATCAGAGCCAGCAAAGGTGGGACCGTTCTATGGGGAGAGCTGTGCTTTCTTTGATAACGGTGACGAGCAGCCATGACCGTATACAGTACACCTGACATCCGGGTAACGGCCCCGGTTTCCATTCAGTTTCTGCAGTTCGAGCAATCCACTCTCTGCTGGCTTTGCTCCTGCAATTCGCATTTATGCGTTAAGTGATGAGCAGCTACTGAAGGTTGGTCATAAATCGCAATACAAGAGGCCTTCCATGCTTTTTAGAAGGTCAAAATTGTAGGTCCAGTAACCCTAAACTAATCAACCCGTCCCGCGATCTCGTTTTCCGACAAGCACTGTTGGAAAAAACGAATTTCTGTAGTTAGTTATATAAAACAGCACAATAGTCACAGCCGTGTAGCACTGCCCTGCTGCCCAATTAAATCGCCGAGGCCAGCCAGCCGTTCCATTTTCAGCGGATACAGAGCGCTCTCAGCCGAAATGACACCGCGATGGGATCCTTTCACGTTAATAACAGCTCGTACAGGATTAATACGCCGGCCTTGCCTCTTGTAATCACCTTTCGGCAGCGGGCCAAAGCGCCGGCTGATATCGACACTAGAGTTGCAAAGTTTCCCCCAAAGGCTGCTACCGGCACCGCCCCGCCCCACAAATTTTTTTGGGGATACCGGCATGCTACCACGCCCAAAGCAAAAACACCACCAAATTACCGGCATACTAAAAAACCTGCATTGTTGATTCCAGTTTACCCCTACAAGAGATGCCACATTTTCCTCTTAGTGTCCAAAGTTTGAATCATATGCTAATAATTTTTTTTGTGCAAAACAAAAAATACCGGCATGCTACCGGCAAGACATGCCAGATACCACAAAAAAACCTGCGGTAGTGAAAAATTACCGGCATGCCGGTAATGCGGTAGGGAAACTTTGCAACTCTAATCGACACTATTGAGGAAAGCCCAGCCGGGCGAGAGCGAGCCGGCGCTGTACAGTATATCTAAAAAGTATGTCCCCTGGTTTGGCTCTCCCACAGGAGGCGAATCGGTAACTTGGCTGAATCCCAGTTGCGGCACCCGGCCGCCAGGGTCGCTGCCGCGAGAGCGGCCTTGACCGCTCGCATGTCATTGGCAGTTCGGTCCCTCCCCATCTATACCGAGGTGGGGAGGGGAGAAGAGGGGAAGAGAGGGGAGGGAGCGGCTTTCGCTCGGCACTTGGCGATACCTGGCTGACCCCGCGCTCCCTCGCTGACCTTCGTCCTGCCCTCAGGCGAAGACCGACTTCCTCGGCCCGTAGCGGCCGAGCGGAAAACCGAGCTCGCTGGGCGCGACTCCATTGGCCCAATCTTATAAATGGAATGCTGTCGCATTCACGGCATTAGATAATATTAATAGTGATACCAGCAGTGGATGTGGTAAAATACAGTCCAAAATAAACGAAAGCACACGATTCGTGCATAATGCGCCCTCCCATTCAAATAAGCCCGCCCACTTCGATAGATGGTGTAGTTTCTTAGGGCGTGAAAGATGCAAAACACTACCGATTTTTTATTAGCTCGGCCACTGGGACCGACAATATACAATTGACTGAAATGCATGAAAACCATTTTGCATTTAGGTAATAGCCGTTTTCTGCACCCAAACTTTAGCCAGTGACACCCTGTCCATTCTAAAGCGTTTATAAGATTGGTCCCAGCACCCGATTTTATATGAGGAAGTCGTTTAAAAAGCATCTTATTTCTAACGAATTTATTATTATGGCCACTTTTACAGGACGTCTATAGAGCTTTGACTTTCACATTTCTTCCTCGTTCAGGAGAAACGTTTAAACCCTCACCGGACCTTCAGGTTTTCTGAATACCGAGGGGACGTTGGGGGTTGGAAGTGAGGAAACAACCCCCTTCGCCGATTCGCCCCTAATTGAGCTAGAGCCTCACGAAAGAAACGATCGTGTGCGTCGGTACGAAATGCAGCGATTGGTCTCCGATTTAAGGACCAGGGTCAGCCGATGACTTCGGAGGTCAGGTCAAGTGGCCCAAGGCACATGTTCGGTTTTTGGTAAATAACTTCGCTAAAAATGATCGCAGATCCGCGATTTTAGCAGCATCGTGTTTGTCTAGCTCAGGCGTGTCGAATGGTATACTTTTTCTTTGGGTGAGATCAACTTAACCCGCGCACCGACGGGGGTCTGCGCCAACTTAGTACCGACGGGGGGGGGGCGGATGACCGCCCCCCCTGAGATCTCAAGAACGAAGCAAGATAGCGACAAGCGGTAAACGGCATCGGATACGCACGGTCAAGATCTACAATTTTTACTAAGGTCATTTTCAGGTCAGGTCAAAGATGACGTCACAGGGGTCGAAAAAGTCAAAATGGCGGCGCTAAATATGGAGAGAGTTTTTCTCGAATAACTTTCGAATTAGTCAAGATAGGAACAAACTAAGGGCATCATCGTGATCCTCTCGTCAATCCGCATCGAATGATATATATGTTGACCTCGAAAGGTCAAGGTCAAAGGTTGACCTCAGGTCACGTGACCTCGAGGTCTTCATGTATATCATTCGATGCGTCTTGACGAGCTGAACACAATGAGACCATCCACGCGTCTGTATCTTGTTCCTGTACGGAGTTATTGGCCAAAAACCTTTGGTGACCTTTGATGACGTCACATGACCTCACAGCTGCCCAACAGCAAAACAGACCTCAAGGTAGTGAAGGTTGATCGTATATGAAGTCATGTATGGTATATGGGGCCATTCCGACCCGTTTTAGTGGTAAAAACAGGGAGTTGATTTTTCCCCCATTGACTTATAATGGGGAGGTCGCGAAATTGACCTGACCTTAGGTCACCGATATCAAAATTCCGAGATATACAAATTGTAGCTACTAATGACCTAATAACATCCTGCGACTTTCAAAGGCCTCCGACATCTACTGTAGCTCTGGCACGGTGACAAATTTGCAAAAAAGTGACTTGAGGTTGGGTCATTCAAAGTGACCTGGTGACCTGACCTTGAAAGGTAGGAGGTTCAAACTTGCACACCATGTGTAAAATTGATAAGGGAATAGTCATACCAAATTTCGCGGCGCTACGCGCCGCGGTTTTCCCGCTATTCGCGAAAAACCTCAGGGGGGGCGGATATCCGCCCCCCGTCGGTGCGCGGGTTAACCCTCGCCCGTATAGAGGGGGGGTCGAACGGACCCCCTCCCTCGGTTTTTCGCGAATAACTCGCGTAAAAAGCGGCCGATCGCGACGAAACTTTCAGTACCCTCGCGTTAATCAATTTTACACCCACCCTGAAATTGTCATGACCCTGACCTTAATGACCTTTGACCTGCGACCTACTTTTCGAGACCATGTTTGGCCGGAATCGCGATTCGGCGTATGTCGGCTCGCATTAGCGGCGCGTTTGCAGTCTTTTCGTGGTTTTAAGCGTTCAAACATGGGATATGATCTTGCTCCCATGCATTAGGGTGGGTGTCAAGGTCACCGGAAAGTCAGGTCAGGTTTGACCAGGTTTGTCATCATTGACCTTTGATGACCTCGGTTCACTTTTTCGAGTTTTACATGTTTCTAGGCCAGCTTTAGGAGCTGTATTCGAATTTAGCAGCCATATGAACATTTATGAAGTAGTTTTGGTGCCCTCGTAACATGTTGCGAAGCTGTCAGAGGCGGTTGCCACCTACTACGAATACCCTTACTGGTTGACCTGACCTGACCTGACCCGACCTGGCCTAAATGCATGAAGACATCATCTGTGATCAAAACTAACATGATATTCGTGATCAGCACCCCGAAAACCCCATAGCAGCCACGCTTTACGACTTTCTAACAGGTCCCGATTTCCCCGACTTTTGGGTCATTGACCTGACCTGGAAAGTCAACCGATGACCTAGGACCTTAAAATTGGGTATCATCGACTTCCGCTCGTCACGGCCAACACGCTCGTTTTTTCCGCGAAGCTCTAGCTCGATCAGGGGCGAAACGGCAAGGGGGGTCCAACGGACCCTTATACGTTTGAGGCTGGAAAAACACCAATGCGGGCGAGAGTTAAGGTGTTAACCTCGGGTCAAGGTCAGGTCACAGCCCGTCAGGTCACGAAGCTGGTCAAAGGAGGTCATATTGCATAGCAATCGATTCGGCAGGTCTTTTCATGTCCATTAGTGGCTTTATCGACTCGGTAGCTTTAGTTGATCGGGAGTTATTGACGAAAAACTGATAGCCTTAGTTACGTGATAAATGACGTCACGCAAGATCAACAAAGCAAAATTGAAGCATCAGACCTTGCAAGGAGCGCATGAAATCACGATTCCGTGTGCTTGAGAATTTGAGATAGTTGTATATCATTTCCGGACCAAACTAGCAATTTCCATATTCCCCTGACTTTTAATGGTGAGAGACTGACCTGATCTCAGGCGACCCTTCAGAAAATCCTAGATATACATTTATACAAGTTGTGAGACCTCTCGATCATACTATAAGATCCTGTAAGTTTCATCTCCCTATGAAAGCTCTGCACTGAGGGTGTTGCGAAGTTGGAACATTTTAGCACAGTCCTAAAATGTTCATTTTATAGCATTATATAGCATCATTTTATAGCATACATTATTAAAATGTTTCACACAGTTCATTTTAGGACTGCTCATTTATGACGTCATAGATCAGTGACCTGACTTGACTTAAAAATGCGGTTGGCGTAAAAAAATCCGACTTATCAAATCCCGACTAAAAAAAATCGACTTATAATCCGGTTATTCAAATCCCGACCATGTTTTTACCTGGCCATTAATGTTCTAGCCTTACAGGTGATTGTTTGAATGCGGAAGATGCTGAATCTTGGTTAACCCCATACTTATCGTATGATAAAGAACGTCAGTGTTAGAAAGTTAATTTACAATTTTATTTAGGATAGTTTAATTCAAGTGGGTATAATCCGACTTGACAATTTACTAGGAGGGTTTTGCAGCGCTATTAGTTCGGCATTTAATTATATATAAATCATTGCTAATTTCGATCCGGATATCGTTATTCAATGCTGGCCTTTGCGTCCTCAGAAAAGTTGTTTATAGTCATGAAGGCTTGCATTGACCCATACTTTCCATTTTTCAGCACCATTATTCGCCGTAGTTGACCAGATGTTTTTCTTCAGCTCTCCCCTGAATCCTTTGGCTTAGACCTGACGTATCACCCGTGCATCGCAAGACGCACCTATCACACACAAGTTCATGATCCCCACGAACCCACATCAGCGTCCGTTCGCTTGGTGTGTGACCCCTTGACCTTTGGCCGCGACAACTGCCAGCTTGCTGGAGCACCCCTCCCTACACGCGCTGCCCCGCCCGCTCCCCTCCCTCCCCCCCCCCCCCGGGGTCGTGTCACGAAAGTTCGGGCTTACGCTACTACCGGCCGCTGCGCAGCTGTCACCTAGCGCTTGGGAATGTGTGGTCTGGTGCGGATTCAGCCAACTACCGGCTCGCGACACCAGCGCCACGTAGTGGCGACGGTACATTCTTTTTAGACACACTGTACGAGAGCGTCGGCCCGGTGGGCGAAACGGCGCTCCTCTGAAGCCGTAAAATGAGGATGAAATGACCCAGCGTTATGTAACTACCCCACCGATGGAACATCCACGGAACAGAACTTCACCAGGTGACAACAGAACTTTGCCTTTCGTAAATCTTCGGGGTAACTCGTTGCAAGAGATTTGCAATGTTATCCGGTATTTCAGTTCCTTCAGGTTGGTTCATTGGAACTCAATCGATGGACGGATGAGTGCGTTTCATCCCCGTCTATCGTAACATGGAAAACTCCAACAAAATTGTCACACAAATGAGAAAAAGGATATGCCAATCAATTTCATTATCTCATTTGAAAACCAATGAATAGTTTACACAAACAGTGAGCTTTCCTTGAACATGTACGTGGATAAACTAAACCCAATAAAAGATTAAATTATCCTAATACAGTGTCTCAGTGGCCACAAGCTCAGTTGCCTTGACCAAAAGGTGCCCCGCCCAGCGTCCCGACTGACCTGATCGGGGTGGTTGAGCCGAAACTTCCTGGCCTGGTGGCTGCGCGCGAACTTGCAGGCGTTGAAGTACATGCTGTAAGAGCAGCCGAAGGAGAAGGAGGCGCCCTCGGAGCGGGAGTCCAGGCCCTGGCACATGCAGGTCCGTGGCCGGTTGGCGCCGCACCTGGCGGGGAGGGGAGGGGGTGGGTCACACCAGCTCCACGGAGGTCCTCTATCGGGGGGAGGGGGGGGGGGCACCAGTGCTGCGCCCGTCCTCCGTCCGGTAGGGGGGGGGGCACCCCCACCAGCTCCGCAGCAGTCCCCGCCGGGGATCGGAGTTTGGCGTCGGCTCAGAGCCGCTAAATGGGCCGCCGCGCTGACCGCTTACACCGGCTTATCATTTGCGGTCATGTGATCGTCATCAAAGCAAACAGGCGTCATCAAAGCAAGCGTACTACGCAATGGTGATCGTTCTGTAACGGCTGGGTATTTGGATGGCGTATTTTTAGTGATGGTTGGTCCACAGCGAATTAACGAGGAAAGCCCAGAAGTCATAATGCGGGTCGGTGGCCCTGAACAATAGATACAGCCATTTACGCTATAAATATACAGCGAAAAACGGTATCATTTCTGACTAAACAGAAGTCATGACGTCAGCATACCTTTGGCAGCTCGTCTATCAATATCAGCAATATCCATTGAGCTATCCATAGTGTTACACAAATGCACCTACTGCTCAGCCCCAGTACGCTCAGTTCGACCCATCGCTCCATGGCTCTACGTCCGGTATAGGAAGACGAGGTCCGGCTCCGTCACTGTCGGGTTTTCCATTCAAATCGACCTGGGACTCCCAGCCAATGGACTGCCGCTGACGCTCTGAGCGGCCAGTGCCGGGTGAAAACACTCCACTGGACTACTGAATGCCACCTCAGCCGTCGAGACGGCGCGGGCCGCAGACCACTCAGCCAGATAGGCGGAGGTAGCGGCGACTTTGTAACGCAACCCAACGCGTTTTAGCCGGCGACTTGCACGGAAAACGTTAATATGTAATGCAATATGCCACCAAATTACTACGAGTTCGTTACAGCTAACCCTTCGTTTACGGATGTGAGCTCAAATTCTGATCACTAGCTGACCGCATTTGAAGTGGGCGTGGCCTATGTAATCCGAACCTCCGAGTGGGCGTTGTCTCGAAACCCCTTCGATGAGCAGGCGTGGTCAGTGCAGCTCGCCTCTTTGTGTGGGCGTGCTTTTAATAACAGACTCAGCAGTGGGTTTTGCTCAGGTAGCCCACCCCCTCAGCGAGCATCTCCAGACGTGGGCGTGGTTCCACCTACCATGCAATTGCAGGTGGGCTTGCTCTCGCCTCTCTCCTGGTGGACGTGCCTCCCGTACCCACCCTCTCCTGGTGGGCGTGCCTCCCGTACCCACCCTCTCCTGGTGTGCTCTCGCCTCCCGTACCCACCCTCTCCTGGTTGGCGTGCCTCCCGTACCCACCCTCTCCTGGTGGGCGTGGCTGACCGGTTGAGCCGCTCCACCAGCGAGCTGTAGAGGGTGTCGGCTCGGCGCGGCGCCAGCGCGTCCCACACCACCAGCATCAGCACGAGGAAGGTGAAGCGGCACCGGTGTCCGGGCCGCCGCTTGGCCACCGCCAGCAGCTGCTCGGAGTCGTCCCGCCGCCGGAGCACCTGACACAGAGAGAGAGAGAGAGAGAGAGAGAGGGGGGTGAGAGGGGGCGCGGAGCGGTGAGAAAGGCGGGTGAGAGCTGCGAGCTGTTAGCGAGAAGGATACAAAGCACTGAGTGGTGAGTGAGTAAGGGGTTGGGCTGTGAGAGGCTGAGTGATAAACTGTGAGCGGAGGGATGTGCGTGTTCTGAGAGGGGGACGAAGTAAACACGGAGGAGGGCTGACTAGGATGAAAAAGGGGAGGTCCTGAACGCTTGGTGAATAGGCTTACACAATAACACCTGCTGAGCGGCACACTGACGACACAGTACAATCTACCAGGCACCGCGAATTATTGATCCGACACCTTCCGAGACAGTTGATTATGCAAGGTGCTCCGAGAAGCTGGTCAAGGAATGTGTAACTATCGACGATCACTAGATTCCACACTTCCTTGTATGACAACAGACCGCTTTGATTGGAACTTTGGTGACATATCTCGTTTGATGCATGCATGCGCCTCTATCAGAAGCTGAACCGGCATGGTAACGCCGTAGAGCATCTTTAAAACAAACTGATATACCGAGTGCTCAGACATCAGTGAAATGCATAGCGACAAGCGACTTTTTTGTGCATCTCCTCGCGCAATAGGAATCGCAACACTACACGAAATCAGCACACCATTCGGATACAGATACTTATTCCAAGCAGTTTCCTACGACAGTTGACAGTCTGCTCAGGCTGTTTTCAGATGCTGTTGGCGCTGGGGCAGCAAAACTTTACAAGACTCGCACAACACGGACAGCCAATTACGGATGGGAAATCCAGGGAGAAAGTGCACTGATCTGTAAACGTAAATAGACTCCAATACAAACATTCCGCGAATTCCTACTAATATTTCTTTTTCGTCGCACTATCTTTCGACGAGGACGAACTTTCTGGACTGTAGCGTGCAAAAAGACCTCGTGCTCTGAGCTCTGCTGCCTTCTTCGGTTCCATCTAATATTAGAAACGCCGCACATTATGTAAGTATCTGCGAGGCCCTGCGGCGCCCGATGGGACAGGTATCGGGTGTCTTCAGGCAGCGCCACGGATTTCCGACGGTGCAAACGAGGGGGCCAGCCACGTGACAGAAGCTCCATAATCCCATAACGAGGGGATCGGCCACGTGACAGGAGGGCCATCCTCCACAGGTCCAGGCGAGGGATCCGGCTGGGTGACAGGGCCTCCACAGGTCCAGGCGAGGCTTCCGCGCGATGTGACTGCCACAATGGCGCACATTATCTGACAAGCCAGCGCGCCGGTTCTATTCCGGCGCTGGGGAGGTGGTCGAGTCCCTCCGTCAGCTCAGGAAGCCGCCTCAGCAGCTAACACCTAACAGCCCACCGGGCAGAGACACCCGTTCGACGGCACTCCTCAAAATAGTCCAGCTCCTCATCACTTTCGAACAGGTACAGAGGCAGCTCCGGCCGGTCAGTGCGATTAACCGCGAGCAATGAACGGAACCATTACCTTACTGAGAGCATCGATACAGGGTTAATGTTGGACAGGAGTACCGTGCTATTCCGTGGCCGTGACGTAAAACGAGTAAAAATCGACACCTCCCACCAGTCGGTGCCAGCGAAGCATTCACACACCACGATGGCATGGAATTTGGAGTATGCCCAATGGTACGTGAGAAAGCACAATTTATTTTTGTTGCGGTTTTCAACAGCTCGACAATGCTTCTCAAAATAGTAAAGTTCCTGCTCACTTTCGAATGGCGATGTCTGGTATCACCAGGATTCTGCAAAGGAGCTGTCATTTGCTAAATTCGGCCATTTCCCGGAAAATAGTCTGAATGTGGCCCGGCTGTATGTGCTGACAATTGCCAAAAGAGAGCTGCCCACAGGAACGGCAGCGATTGCCCAGTCCGCTGCCTGCTGCAATGCGGGCCAAAAACGGACGATAATACACTAGACGACAATGAAAACTCTTACCACTACTGAATACGCTATAGGTCTACCAAAGCCTAAAAAAGTACGCGCACAAATAAGCTTCTACATAGTGCGCTCCAGCGCCATTCTGCAGTGGGGACGATGGCTCCCCGATAACATACCACGCAACACTGCCACTAAGTACCGCGAGGGTCGCAGCGGCACCATATTCGGGAAACTGACCGGAGGGAAGGGTGGCCCATCGATAAATGATATAGTGAGAGGAGGGCGACACTACAGGCGTATGCCGTCTCTGTGGGCCTTAGTAGCCGGCGGTAAATTTAGCTACATGGCGCAGAACATACCGAATTCAGAAGCTCATTAGTTAAACTCGGCGGGCTAGCAACAATTTTCCCTCTTTGGGTCGTCTCAATTCGCCGAAGGTAAATAATTCAAACTGGAGATGAAATGGCACACCAGGTCCGGGATAAGTTCGAACGGAGCCGAGCGGACGACTTTATGAGGAGATGTTCCGACGCAACTTATTTGATGCCATCTACCAACCGAGGATTATTACCGCATCATCGGCAATCAAAGACACGGAACTGCGTGACCTTTGGGTCGAATAAGCCCGCTAACATAATTGAATTACACGTGTCTAATTGAAACATGTCCGATGCAGAACTGAACATCTCAACTGCATGGCCCAGCATGCCACGACGCAGTAGTAGCGTCTCTGAGAGGTCAGCATGGTGACTTCCACCGCCTCGGGAATAGCCGAGGTCCACCGAAGCCGGTGTAAACGGGGATTAATCGTATAAGAGCATCCCGCCAGACCAACTTATCAAAACGTGAGCCGATCCGGTATGCGTGTCAGGAACAAAAGTTTTCGTGGCGGCATTTTGGTCTTCATCCATTTTACAAATGGCCCGGGTTTACCGTTAAACGACAAGAGTGCTGTTTCGGGAATGCCTGCTTTAATCTCACGTTGTCTGCCCACGCTCGAGACAATGGCTCTCGGCCACTGAGGTATCGTTTCCTGTGGACGACCCCTGGTACATACGACTTCGGGTCGGTCCCGTGCCATCCGTTCGGACCCTGCCAAACTACACCCGTTAGCCTTTGCGTGGGCGCTGCAAGGTAACTGGTCCGAGCTTCCGCCTCAAATAAATTACGCAACGTGAGTAGAACAATCCACAGTCTAGCCTCACAAAGCCAAGGTGTCCATGACATTCGAACAAAAACTCTGTCAGTCATTTACTGATTTAACAGATTATCAATTATAAAACAGCAAAACTGGCAGTAAAAATGAATATTTGACAATGATCGAAATAAACAAAAGCAAAATACAGCGAGGCTGTCGCGCCCGTTCGAACCAACCTCGGCCGTTAGAGGCCGCGTTTCAATAAAGCAGGCTGAGCAGTAGAGCGAGGAAGGGACAGGGAAGAAGGAGAGGACGCCTAGCGTGCTTCGCACCCATCTGTGATCCTCTGACCTCTTTCTGCATGACTCCGGGTACCGGGCAGCGGCTCCGAGCGCCGGCCGGCGGACCGGTCGCCGCGACCCCAAACTGTCTCAGCGAGCCGGCCACCGCGCCATCCGTCAGCGCCGCGGTGACATTGGTGGCGCACTCGCGGCTCACGGCCGCAGACAAATGTGGCGCACATTGGACGTTGCCACAGGGAAGGAGCGGCCGGGGAGGCGGATCCCAGCGGTAAATTCCGCCGGACGGAAGTGCAGTCCATTCGGGAAGCGGACACGACTATGTAGAAGAGACTGGGGCATGCGAGAGAACACACTCACTGACCACGCGGTGGCAATGAATAAGAAACAGCACAGAGGTAACATGTCAATCACAGTAACGTCATGGAGCTACAACTGCTGCGAATAGGTACCACGATGACCTCATAAGGATATTGGTGGGAAGCGTCACCAACATTTGTCTCCTTCCTACACATTTATCTTTCAGGAAAACTCTTAGCAGCCAAGGAAATAATTATATGCGTTTAAAGGTAAATCGACCTAAAAAAAAAAAAAAAAAAAACGGAGCACTTTGGGCCCACGGTAAGTGTGGTTTATCTACCCACCTATATTTCCTGGCGCCACATACGCAGCAAGGTTGTCTGTGATCGATCTGGGTTCACTGGCTCGGGTCGCCTCAGTTGCTGGCGGGTCAAGACCGCGCCGTGATTGGGTTATCCTCCGGGGTCCGGCGGCCTAGCGCGGCGGTAAGAACGGGTTGAAGGCCGGACGGCCCGGCGGGGGCGGGGCCGTGACTCGGGCGGGATGGGACGGGTGAAGGCCCATCCCTGGGAGCCCGGGAGCGAGGAAAAAGACAGACCCGGGGGAGGGGGAGCGTCGTGTGGCGCTGAGGCGGTGGTGGTGTGTGTGTGTGGGGGGGGGGGAGGGGACTAATGGACTGAGCCGACCCACCGCTGGAGAGGTCGGTCACTTACCCCCGGGTTAGCGCCAGGGTCACTGTCCGGGTCACTGACCGGCGGGGTCGTCCTTGGCCGCCCGAGGGCGACACGACACGGGCGGACACGGCTCAGGAACGAGGAACTGAAGGAAACCACAGGGTCGGTCAGACGGGCGGGGCTGGTGTATTTAATGGTGCACGATAAGCTGAGAAATGGGACGAATAAATAATGAGAGTTGGGTGAATCTGTGGCTGTAATTTCATAGTTACTCAACCTAATGAGGGAGCAAGCAAAAACAAAGACACGCTCGCCCACCGTAGCTAAAATTTTCCTAACGCTTTGGAGTGTACTCCGCAATAACGCAGAAATAGTTATCACAATACGATCAGTCCCAGGTCGGTGCCGCTTGAGGAGTGCCACAGCCGACACACGGGTAAAAAGCAGACCCCACCGGCCCGATCGCTGCCGCGCTCCGTTGTCTGAGCGTCACTCACCCATTTGGCGATGGGACAGCCCTGTTCGGTCTTCCCTTCGTGGCCCGTGTATCTGACCGTCTCCAGGCGCACCTGCACAACACAGGGAACACGAGAGTCACCGACAGCAGAGTATGTACCATCATAAGGGGTAGTCATAAAATCACACCGAGCAGAGATTAAACCGATGCTGAAAACACCCTTCGCGCTACAAGATGCATTATTCAACAGACTAAGTCACGACTAAAAACGGACTACTTTGGAACAAAAAACTAATCAACTACCCTCAAGACATTAAACTCGATTGGCATCCTATCGAGCGCAGTTATGAATGTAAACGCCGGACGCTGTTAGACAGCGTCGTACCTGTTCCATGGTAAAGTCAGCCTGGTCGGCTACCCTATTTGTTCCATGGTGAGTCAGTATGGTGCCTCCTACCTGTTCCGTGGAAAAGCCAGTCTGTTCGGCCAGCTGCTGTCTCAGCTCCTCTAGGGTGGCGGCCGAGCCAAGACGACAGTACACCGGACCCACGTCCACCTCTGAGGGCAGAGAGGGGCGTACACAGATCTGAACAGTGTGAGGGTACCGCGGAGCCGACAGTACACCGGGTCCACGTCCACCTCTGCATGGGGAAGCACGCACTGGTGACAAATTACACGTTAAGGTGGGGCCGCTGCTACAAAAGTGGAGCAGCTCCTGAAGTTAGTAACTACCCATGAACCAACGGTGAGGATTGAGTGCAGATCTGTAACGAATTCCACTCTTTCATGAATTGCTAACAAAATGGCTAGTTGGGAAAAGTATGAAATATTATGTAGGTGAAACAATTTTTCTGACATATATTTGATCATTGCCATAGTTTGATTTTTTCAAGCTATAGCGCTATGGTGAAAGTATGCATTAGTTCGAAAAACAGAAAGTTCAAACGATTCCGTACCGTTTTTGACGTCGCAGTCGCAGCTGACGATCTCCTTTTGTGGCGGCGGACAGACGGACGGACCGTCGCCGTCTCCGTCCGGACCGCCCGCCGCCGGCTCCGTCGTCAGCTTTGTCCGGTCAGGGTCAGCCCCGGCCTCAGAACACCCAGTGTCCGCCCCGGCCTCAGTCTTCAGCGCCGTGTCACAGCCCGGGGGCTCCTCCTTCAGGGCGGACTCGATCTTCAGCTCCCCATCCTCCGCCTCCAGCTGGGGTTTATCAGACGGGCTGATGCGGCCCACCGGCTCAATGAGACGCAAGGCTGACTCCGTGGGGTCGGTGGTCGCTCTCCCATGGTCTCGCTGCTCGATACCAGAGGTTGTGTCGGGGACAGACAGGCGTCCGGACAGACTCCGACCGCGGCTCTCGTCGAGGTCGGCTCTGGAGCCGCCGGCGCCGTCAGGGCCGAGAGACGGTGGTTCGCCCCGTCCGTCAGATTCTCCAGTCGGCAGTCCGCCGACAGGACCCCTCCACGGCCAGTCCGGAGCAGTTCCGTTGTCACTGGCCGACGCCCGTCCAGGCGCCGCTGTGCGACTGGAGGACGGAGGAGTTTGAGAGGGACCATTGAATGTATGGCCAGCTTGTGCATTGATACTGGCAGTGAAGAGCTTGGAGGTAGTGTCAGCTATCGCAGGGACCCCTTGGTCATGTGATGCAATAGACGTAGAGCTCGGCAATCTCCAGGCAGCGTTACCAGAGACGGGCTGAGAGCTTGGTGCACGTCCCCAAATGCCGTACAGCCCACGGTCGACATTGGGGCCAGACGGCTGGCTCAACGGCACCAGATTGGCTACACTGGAGATGGCCGCTTCCTGCAGACTGCTGTAAACCACGCCGCCATTTCTGACGGACGGAGCGCTTTTTGTACTTCCTGGTGAGCTCTGAACGGACATTTGATAGCTCACACTTCTTGTACTGTTGACGGCATATTGATGTTGTGTCAAACTACCCGATGTTTTGTACCCAGTTTCAGCCAGGTGACTAGGCATATCTCCAAATGTCGCAGTGCCCTGTGTCCCTGCTCGCAACACTGGTCCATTCTGAAGACCCCTATAATAGGCACCCGTCCATTTGCCCGGCGAGCCGTTTGAATAAGCAGCAGCTGAGGACGCACATAGTCCACTCAGAGAGGGGCGAGGTGGCTGAGAGTGACCCGGCTCTCCCCCGGTACGGGGCTCGTAAGACGCAGACTCCGCTGGGTGGCCCGTTCCCCGCTGAGTTGGGAAGTGTGAAGGGTTATCCGCGGCGTTTCTCCCCAGCCCGGCGGCGGAGGACAGCGGCCGGTCGCTCCCCGAGTACCACCTCGCTCTGCGGGTGTCCGCGGGTACCGTCCAGGCGGGGTACTCGGCCGACCAGCGGCGGTCACTGTCGGTACCCGGGGCGGCGGGGCGGACTGGGGCGGTGGAAGCCCACGGCGGGGTCGGTCCGCCTGGTGGTGCTGAGAGCGGGATGTGCTGAGGGCCCCGCGGCCGCCATTGCCGCCGCTGCTGCTGCTGCTGCTGCTGACAGTAATACTGCTGCTGCTGCTGCTGCTGGTATTGCTGGTACTGCTGCGGTCTATAGTAGGAGTGTTCCTGCAGTTTCCATCGGTACCCCGACGAGGTCCTATCGCCATGGCCGGGCGGATACAGCTGCGGACCCGGCGGGCCCTGCTGCGGACCCGGTGGACCCGGCAGCGGTCTCCACTGGGGTTCCGCCTGCTGCTGTCGCAGGCCGTATCCCTGACCGGGAGCGGGTGGTGCTCCGACTCCGGTCCGCTGCCGGTCCACCCAGCCCCCTGCGCCGGCCGGCGGTGGCTGCGGCGACTGTCCCCAGCCGGTGGACACGCTCTGAGGCTGAGCAGCGGGCGGTGGAGCGGGGACCGGGGCGGCGCTCAGGGGCGCGGGCCACGCCGGGACGGACGGGGGAGGGCGGCTCCCCTCCGACAGCTGACACCCCGCAGACACAAACATCTGAAACCAGAACACGGCCCGCGCCTGTTAGTCGACAACTCAAATCTCAAAACGAGAACGAAAACGAGTCTCGACGGTTCGACAATCGACACGCAACCCATCAAAATTCAAATAGCTGACTAATCACCAGGTTAAATATCTTTCACCATGTTAGAGCTCAGATCACAAGCTGATAAGGTCGATGCAATGCCAAGTCACCAACATCTGTGAAAGTTAGCGTACGTCTTCACAATCTTCCACAAAATCAACACCCGGCGGTAACAGCGACACACTCCACGACATCACGTGTCCACGCAATCCTGCAAAAAAAACTTCTTAAGAAATGCAGCGAGTACAACTAAGCAATAATGCACTTGCCAACCACGGTAATAACCAAACTTCTGCCCCGATTCCCACTTAACTAGCGTGCAGTGTATTACCGGGAAAATCCGCGTGAAACACGGTGAGTAAACAAACTTTCTGGTATCCCTGTTAAAAAGTTGTGCGATGCAGGCATTGGACAGCTTCTGCCCTGTCCCCGAGTTTCCATGTCGACGACACAGTGGAAGAGGGCTGCTGTTCGCCGAATTTTACACATCTTTTGACGTTTTTGAGTAAAATGTTTGGCTCGCCGTGCAAGAGAGAGGGAGAGGGAGAGGGAGAGGGAGAGGGGAGAAAGAGAGAGAGAGAGAGAGAGAGAGAGAGAGAGAGAGAGAGAGAGAGAGAGAGAGAGAGAGAGAGAGAGAGAGAGAGAGATCTTGCACAACTTTCGTCGTTGACCGATTCCTCTAACCACACCACGAGCGTCCCTTATTACCATTCCTGCCGTTTCCATACTGGAGACACTGTACGGGCCCTTTGACCCGTCTCGAGCTCGGCCGTCTGCCGGCGGAGGTCAACTTCTGCCATCAGCGCGGCAGGCCGCCGGCCAATGTCTCATATCGGACCGCGGTGCAATGTCGCGAGTTCGCGACATTACACCGCCCGGGGCTCGGCCGGAGCAGGCCTTTCCATAACGATCACGGAACTGCACGTGTGGTCTGTATTCGCAATGGCACATTGATCCGCTCGATGCGGTTGAAGTATCCAAACAGCTCTTGGTAGCTCGCGTTTTGGGGTAGCACTGGCCTTGCCTCAACAAATTTACATTACAATCATGAACAGCTATCGAGGCACGATCTACGACTGCCGAGACCCGATCCGAAAAAAAAACGGAACAAAGTTTAGCAATTTATCGGGGACGAATGACGATGCATCAGCCCCACAGTGCATATCAATTATCAACTAACTAAGCCCTGCCCGACTCAGCTCAGCCGACAGCCTTCTTTTTGACTTTCCTTGTCTGTCTGCTAGTCACACCGTCGACAAAACCACACTGGGACGAATATACGCACGAGTGAAATACCACGTAACCGCATCTACTACCGTCTTCCCGCCGCCCGTTTCCACTCACCTTTGTCTGCGTCTCTCAGTCGGTCGGCGGCGGTGCGCCGCGGGTCCCGCGGGCGGCCGACCCGTGTCCCGTCACTGCAGGCAGAGACGGGGGTCACCGTACCTACCGCCGGCCTCACTGAACGGGGGGCGACCGACGACCGTCACTGTGTGTCAGTAACCCCACCGCACTCGGCAGTTTTTTCAGAGTCTCCACAGGTCCGACAGACTGACCTATCCGGCGGCCAGTGACGGAAAACACGAGTGATTACGGTACGAACCAGTCGCTGCGGCACTGAGATAGGATACACAGGGGAGATTCAGGCCGGCTATGACCCAGCGGCATCACAGCGTGCCGGTCATAAACAGACTGATATGACCCAAACCCGGCGCCCTAGCACCACCCGACAGACTGAGGGGGCGGGCACCCTTCACACAGGAGCCACGGCGGCGGAGGAAGGCGGGGAAGGGGAGGGGCTGGCGGGAGGGTGAGGGGAGGGACAGGGGCGGGCGTGCGGGCCCGCACGGTAGCAGAACGGTAGCCGGCCGGCAGCAGCGGCGGTCAGCTGGCCGTCACGGGGCGTCATGTCACGTGACCACCGGACCGTGAGGAAGGCCCGCCGGCACAGAGCACCCGCCGAGGGTGAAACGGTGGCGAGACGAGGACAGACATGGACGGAAAAAGGAGGAAGCAGAGGTAATGGACGGGAAAAATCGCCAAAACACGGGCAGGATAAAGATCTGAATGGGCGGCGTTCAAAGGTTGTCCTAGTGAGTTTATGAAGGACGATCAAATATCGGGTAATAAGACCCAAACGTCACCAACCATCTGTGAAATATTGTATTGACAACGGTATACCGCTACAGCAGCGTCTTTTTGGATACCACAACAAGAGTAAACAGAAGCTTTTCGGACTTAGAGCAAGCAACAAAGCACCTTAGGTTCACAACAAAGCTGAATACAATATAGCAAAGAAACCAACACAAAAGGACGAAGGGCAGCTGGAACATATTGGTTCGACTAAGCTCGGTGAATCGGCGGTCATATCAGGCACTGAGATAGGCGCAGGAAAACCAGACATTACGCTAATGCGTCGGTTACGCTGGATAAGATGAGCTGTAATCCTAAGTTAAACAGCGTTGATGTGATATTTCTTATCAAGATACAATGATAAGCTGAAGTACGACTCTAACGCGTTGCTGTCAAAAATAATCACAATATGACCGACCACCATATTGGTGGTCGTCAAGCATATAAGGTGACAATCAGCAATCGGCCCGTGGTGAAACTGATATAATCCATACAGACTGGTCATGTTTTCCTGTACGCTTCATGTAAGCAGCACGCGATGCAGCCGTTACAATGGCGCCAGCTGTCGTAAAAACGACACTGGAATGCTGCTGAGGCACCTAGCGGTTGAGGCCGCTTCAAGTGACTGGCAGAGAATGTTCGTATTCCGGCGGATGACATGCTTCCTAGCAGACACTCACAATCAGATCTCTGGGACATTTCGTATGTATGGCCTTCAAACATTTCGTTTTTATAATACCGTAAGGTTGTTATTCTTATACGGTAAGGCCCACGCTGAGCAGAGCTTGATAAACAGACTCCGTCATGCGGCCTTCGTAATTGAAATAATTAGGATGTGTACTTCAGTGTACCAATCAAAGCCAACCAACTCGTCCGATGCATTGACTTCAATGGCTGCGGCCGCTCCCATCAACTGCAGAAAATCCCCAAGAACAAGCACCAGAGACTGGAGTGGTGACTTGATTTAAACCCAGGCTGAGCTGCCATACATCAGGTTTTTGGCTTAAATGTAGGCTGATAAATCAGCAAATCAAAACATGTCCATTCATGTAGGCTGGTAAATCAGCAAATCAGAACATTAAACAAAAATTAGCTCGAATGTTTGAATGTACGGATTGACAGAGCCGGAGCCCACGCTAAGCAGAGCTTGTTGCGTAGAACCCGACCCCTACCGTCCTATCGCGCAATTCCGGGTAACAGGAGAATTTAGATGCCAAAGTTTAACGTGCCCTTCAAAGCCGGACACGGCCTGTCCCACTCAACTGACTTCAACTGGCTGCGGCTGCTCTCACGAACTGCAGACCATCCCCGTCAGGAGTCTCAAATATCGAGCGTCGGGGCGACTCGAACCCGGGCTCTCACTACCGAACCCGGGCTCTCACTACCGGGAGTCCAGCGCTCTACCGACTGACCTACGGGACGGGCAAACATGTCCATTCAATCGGTTTGCAGCATGAAGAGGCGATTGACAGCCAGAACTGACTTATTGGCAATGGACCCAGGACCCAGCACGCAGGAGTCAGGACTGTGTTGCCTACCTATCTTTAAGAATCTCCTGAGTCTTACCATCCGCTACCATCCTATTCGATACCTGTGATCAAGATTGAGGATGCCAGTGGGGTGGTCACAGCTGTGGATCTGTGACATACGAGCTTGGCTTAGCGGGCAGCCAAGTCTGGTTGTTGCAAACCACCTGACAATTGACATTGAACCAATGTGAGATGTATGCAAAATGGGGATTTCCCATTGTGGATATACTGATACAAGGTGAGGATTTCAATTTGCCGTGGTTCAGATTTCTCATGAAGTGATGGGTTACTGTGAAGAAACCCTGTTATGGGCATGACTGTCCAATAAAATAATGTATTTGAGACAATAGGGTTATCTTGCAGCTGGAGAAATGGCCCGTTTCCAATCTGCAGTGGTTCAGACTTCAGATTTGGGTTTACTCGGTCTGCGGTCATATTTCCCATCGGCCATCCGTTCCAATTCAAATGTCAGTCCCGACTGGAAAAAATGCCTCCACTACGCTGAAGTTCTCGGCGGAGGTGATGCGCCGAAATTTCGGCGCAAGGGTTTATCCGCCGAAATTATTTTACCAAGCCATGCTTCATGCGCCGAAAATTTTCAAGGCTAACTGATGGCTGCAGGCTGTAGCCACGCACTTTTCGTCAAGGGGGGGGGGGGCTGGCGTGTGTGTGTGACTGTCTTCCAGTGACTACTGTCTACAGACGGCTTTTGGCACGGTCGACGGGATCGGGCAGACAAAAGACATCAGCAGGCCATGGGGGACCGAGCACCAGGGTTCGCTATCACAAAATCTCCTGACTCACAAACTCACTGGCATGTTCCATAACGTAACCTTTCTTTTGTTGCCCGGCTCTGATCAGCAGTAGTGCCCAGCCGGTGACTGACGCCTGACGGGGCCTTCGACAGGCGTGGTGCCAGCACGGCCGATGGGATCGGGCAGATACCAGGCCACGCGGGACCGATTGCCAGCGTCCGCTCACAAACCACACGCCGGAAATACAGGAATCACAACGGTCAATACGCACACGATAGCATACGTTATCTGAACTAGGGGATCCAACAATCCATAACCTCACTCTGGATCGGGGAACTGTTCCCGCCGTGGGAGAGTCGCAATCAGGTTCACTGAACATGACTTAAATACCCTGAGACGAACACGAGACAAGATAAGTGATATTTAAGATGTTTAACTCCCGAAGACATTTAACCCTCGCCGGCCGAGGGGGGTTGGTGCCACCCCCGGACGTTTTTTTTCGCGATTTACGCCGAAGTACGCCGAAAATTTCGGCGCAAGCCGTCGATTTACGCCGAAGTACGCCGAAAATTTTCGGCGCAAACGCCCAACTACGCTCGAGTTCTCGACGAAAGCGTGCATTTTTTCCAGTCGGGATGTCAGTAACATCTGCATGTCAAATTAAGCATTTTTAACAATTGCATGAAGTCATTACAGTTGATTCAAATTTGAATTATCAATTAGCTCAGAATTGAGATTCAGATGTGCAAAGTGAAAAGCAATGTCAATGTGAATGAAAGCAGCTCATGAGCAGTGAGCACAGCCCACAGGGTTCCGGGGTCAGGAGCGTTCAACTTTCAAGCATATATCAATATGGCCTTGGTTCAAACAGGAGAGATAATTATTGACAAAAGAAACTGTGTATTTTTGTTTCCTACTTACTACAAGCTCTTGAATACCTACACAATAATTCCCCAATACACTAATAAAACCCTGCAGTCTCTCCAACACTTGAACTTGTTTACCGACCCGCCCCCTACTGCTACACGTTGCTACAGCAAGGCAGGGAGCCACGTGTGTTTGGCATGCGAGAAATGTTGATATTCGTAGGTTAGCGCTAGCGGAAAATCACCAATGATAATCGGCCTTCGGCTTCCCTGGCGGTTCCATTGGCAAATATTCTCCCGAGGTGATTTCAGCATATTTACAATATGCTTCCTAGAACACATTTGGGAAGTTTGAGACTAGGGAAAAATTTCTATTCAATTTACTTTTGGATGACAAGTTTAAATCAATATAGGCCTAATGGTAATCTTATCAATGTATTTTTGCCCAATGGTAATTCCGTAATTGAAAAGAAGCTTCATTTTCTTCTTTGAAAAAAACGAATATTTTTCGTTAACTCGCAAAATTTGGAGAAATAATACATATACTAGAGACTTTCTCGCTATCAACAAAACATTGCGCCATTTTGAGTTGAGGCGTCGCTGTCGTCGACGATTTCTCCTTCGAGAGCGTTTTGGGTGAGTCTCTTTTGAGCTATTTTTCGATTTTCCTGCTATATTAATTGGTTCCAGCCGCTGGAAATAAATTATAACCTCTTTGATATTTGAGATAGGACCTGAATTCTCAGTTTGTGTTCTCGCTTGTTTCATAAGTCGATCAGGGCACCGAGTCTTCCCGTTATCGCCTCTGGTGAATCATCTCAATCTTGGCCCATTGCTCAGGCCGTAAGCCATCCTTTCAACTATTGATCCTAAAAATCAATTAAATCTATCCCCAAAACCATAAAGTGTATATTGGTACTCCACAGTCCACACTAAATTCATTTGACGAAGCTTGTGGGGTAGCAATTGAATTGCATGTTCCAATTCAGACTCCGGAGTTTCTCTGCAGCAGAGGTCACAGACCCAGAAGCTTCATTAGAAAAAATATACTTAATTTTGACTCCTCATGCTTTGCTATGCAATTCCAGTAGTAAGGGTAGTTGCATTGCCTTGGTTTTATTTTTATAATAAAAATATAACAAATTTGGTATTTATTTACTTTAGGTCCGCAAAACAGAGGGTAAATAAAAGTCATTCACACGATACTCTAAGACCTCCTGATTTCATTTCTGATACTTATTCCTTCTAGAAACCAATTTAAAAGCACCAGTACACTAGTATCACCAGTATCACCACCAACGGCCCCACCTCCGACCGGAACTGCACGTGTCTGCGCGGCGCACCCGCTACAAATGGTCCAACCAAGGTTGAGCGAAATTACGGATGATAATAAATTGTAAGGAAAGTGACGTCAAAATAATCGAGGCGGAGCGGTGCAGTGCCGAAGGCAATGCCTTAGGAGAGATTACAGGCAATGGTAAGTCAAATATTTTTAGGTTAAGTGGTTGTGTATCTGGCTTCAGGCCGAAGGCCTGAAGCCTGATGCATAACCACTTAACCTAAAAATATTTGACTTACCATTGCTTGCAATCTATTCATGCAAGTCACTTTTTCCTTTTCCCCCAGTAGGCAAACATCAGTAGGTCAGGTTAGGTAAGGTTTGGTTATGTTCTGATCATTTTCTCATGCTCTATTACCTTTGCTAAATATTTTCTCTTTTTTATTCACCGTTTTTCTTGTGCTTTGGTATTATGACGTCATTTTCATAACGTCGAAAACTAATGAATATCCGCATCATTTTTTCTTTTATAGGGCAGCGTTGTATGTTTCGTTTTTGTCGCGGAAGCGTGCTTTCTTCAGTGTGTATTGTGCAGCAGTGCGGTGTAATGTGCTGGGGTTTTAGTATCTTATTTTACATTTTTGATGCATTTAAGCATGATATCTGAATTCAGGACATCAAATAGTGTAAGAATGTGCATTTTTTCTTGTTAAAATAATATTGCGGACCTAAAGTAAATATTTACCACAAATTTTCATGAATTTTTTATTTTATTTTACAGGAATATACATGCACTTAAACTACTTGTAACAAAAACATTATCTTTTTGCAGCACCACACCTGTCAAGATGTTCAAGTCAAAGCGAAAGTCAAAGAAGTTGGAGATATCGGCTCCAACAAACTTCTGCCACCGTGTGCACACTGACTTTGATGAGCGGCAAAATAAGTATGTAGGCCTGCCGCTCCAGTGGGTCTCCCTGGTGGAGCGCAACGCCAAGGCGCTGGAGACGCGGCCTCGTGGTGTGGTGGACCCTCTGCAGGTCACACCCACAGACATGATGGACCTCAACAAGGTCAGTGTCATCTGTGACAGGGGGGAGGGGGGACTGGGAGCATGTACTGGGCTAGGTCAGTGCAGCTAGGGTTACAGGGAAGACTGACATTTGTGGCACTGAGCTAAACAGGTGTGACAGGAAAATGGTATTGTGTCATAGCTCATGTTTGCTGTTGTACTCAAATGACTAGGGAATGTGATAGATTATAGTTGTGTGATTTATTTGATTTTAGTTCAATTACTTCATCATCTGTAGATCATTTACAAATGTTTTACAGATTATTAATTTTTTTTTTGGTAAATCTTTACCTTGGATCCAGTGTGTTCAATCTATCCAATCCAGTGCACTCTGTCTGTCTGATGTTCTGACGCGCTCTCGGCCGGCCGCAGCCGGTGGTGCGCGGCTCGGCCAGTCCGGGCGCCGGCGGCGCTCAGCCCGTGCACAACGGCGTGGCCGTGCTGCCGCGCTCCAGCAGTGTGGCGCGCAGCAACTCGCTGCGCCAGCACTCGCCGCCGCTGCGGCTGCGCGCCGCCCAGCGCGGCCGGCCGGCGCAGGGCCCGCTGCCAGAGGAGGGCGGCGAGGAGCCGCGGCCGCCGCCGCCCGGCCACGGGCCCGCCGGAGACGGACAGGTGAGGCGGACACCGGGGGGAGGGGGCTCTGGGCCAGCCGCGGCCGCCGCCGCCCCGCCCGGCCACGGGCCCGCCGGAGACGGACAGGTGAGGGGTACGGGGGAGGGGGCTCTGGGCCAGCCGCGGCCGCCGCCGCCCGGCCACGGGCCCGCCGCAGACGGACAGGTGAGGGGTACGGGGGGAGGGGGCTCTGGGCCAGCCGCGGCCGCCGCCGCCCGGCCACGGGCCCGCCGGAGACGGACAGGTGAGGGGTACGGGGGGAGGGGGCTCTGGGCCAGCCGCGGCCGCCGCCGCCCGGCCACGGGCCCGCCGGAGACGGACAGGTGAGGGGTACGGGGGGAGGGGGCTCTGGGCCAGCCGCGGCCGCCGCCGCCCAGCCACGGGCCCGCCGGAGACGGACAGGTGAGGGGTACGGGGGGAGGGGGCTCTGGGCCAGCCGCGGCCGCCGCCGCCCGGCCACGGGCCCGCCGGAGACGGACAGGTGAGGGGTACGGGGGGAGGGGGCTCTGGGCCAGCCGCGGCCGCCGCCGCCCGGCCACGGGCCCGCCGGAGACGGACAGGTGAGGGGTACGGGGGGAGGGGGCTCTGGGCCAGCCGCGGCCGCCGCCGCCCAGCCACGGGCCCGCCGGAGACGGACAGGTGAGGGGTACGGGGGGAGGGGGCTCTGGGCCAGCCGCGGCCGCCGCCGCCCGGCCACGGGCCCGCCGGAGACGGACAGGTGAGGGGTACGGGGGGAGGGGGCTCTGGGCCAGCCGCGGCCGCCGCCGCCCGGCCACGGGCCCGCCGGAGACGGACAGGTGAGGCGTACGGGGGGAGGGGGCTCTGGGCCAGCCGCGGCCGCCGCCTCCCGGCCACGGGCCCGCCGGAGACGGACAGGTGAGGGGTACGGGGGGAGGGGGCTCTGGGCCAGCCGCCCGGCCACGGGCCCGCCGGAGACGGACAGGTGAGGGGTACGGGGGGAGGGGGCTCTGGGCCAGTCGCGGCCCGGCCACGGGCCCGCCGGAGACGGACAGGTGAGGGGTACGGGGGGAGGGGGCTCTGGGCCAGTCGCGGCCCGGCCACGGGCCCGCCGGAGACGGACAGGTGAGGCGGACACCGGGGACGGGCGCCGGGAGGGAGGGAGGCGGTGCCGAGCCGCCCCGGTCGCGTGAAACACGATCCGTCGCGTGCGGCGTCGGCCGCTGAGCCGTGCCGTCCTGTTTTCCCTCGTTTGTTGACAGGCTTTGTGCGATAGGAATGCGGCGCTTTGTGAATAATCCGACAGATATGTGACGTCAAAATGTACACTCTTCAACGGAAGAGATAGTGTGGTTACAATCTGTAGCATGCTAGGGGTAAAAATATCCCCGTTGCTTCCAAGAACGGTTCCAGAAGTTTAGGGTATTAATGGGTGATTACCTTGACTGTGTGAATGAAATACTTCTGCCAATATTTCACTCGCAATTCCTGCTTCAACCGTCAAAAATTCAATGTGCGGGAAGGCCATCCGTTAAGTTTATTGTAGCTACAGGCTCGGCTCCAGATGCCGTGGTTTCGAGTTTTGTGGTCGGTGTGTGGCCCGTTGATACTGCTCCAAAGGTCGAGTGCCGTACTAAAGGGGTCGGTCGGTGCGGTATCTGCTGTCGTCTGGCTTTGTACGTCAGAGCACGGCAGAGCGTCATACTGCCACCGCCGGCAATGAGTTCGACTTTTATGACCTTAGAAAATAACCGTATTGAAATTTATGGTGTATGTGATTGATGTCTGACCAATGAATCAACATCGGGTGCAACTTGCAAGTGTTGCTGTTTTTAAAGTAAATTATTCTTTTTCTTCCGTCATGATGGCATGTGACGGTTTCCGTAGTAAATCGGGATAAGGTCGCAGTCAGTGTTGTGTCTGAGGCGTTTTGTCTCAGCTCCGGACGGTCACCGTCTGAATATCCGGTCTCCCCGCCGAGGGAACGGACGTATAGTCGGCCCGTATCTCGTTTGCAGTCCGATAGAAAAACTCTGAGATCTTAGCGAACCCACCTATCTTGCCTGGTCGCCACCTATCGTGAGAAGTTTGCTGGGTTTCGCACATGCTGTCAAAGCCGGCTGGCAGACTTGTAGATAACATTTGCCGTGGTGGTGCCGGTACCCAGAGGAATGCGTCCTCTCGTTTTGATGTACAAGCTGAAGATACGAGAGTACGATTCAAAGGGCATTTATATATTATTATATATAATATTATTATATATATTATATATTGGCAGTAAACTGTGAATCGAAGTTGAGGTTCTTTTTTGTTTATTTAGTTTCAGACGTAACATAGGGGATTGCCATTTGTCATTGATAATGTTAACGATGGCTGCATCTTCAGACGCATCTGGGTTCACCGACGGTCTGATGTAAAGGACCGATGTAAATGTTTCGGAACCGTTTTCCTTATAGTTTGACCGATAATTCCTGTTTGCTCTCTTCTATCTAACGCGGCCCGCCGCTCTGTTGCAGGTTCGCCCGCTCGGGTACGGGGACGGCCGGTCTCCGGGCCCGGGCCGTCCGCCGCAGCAGCACCCGTCCCAGCTGGGCCCGCGCGGCCCCGGCCCCGGCCCCGGCCACCCGTCGCCGCTGCTGCGGCACCAGCGGCCCGGGCCGCCGGGACCGCTCGTCTACCCCGGACACCCGGGTCACCCGGGCGGACCGCCGGCGCACCCGGGCACCTACCCCGGCGGGCACCCGGGCGGACACCCCGGGTACCCACCGGGACACCCCGGACACCCAGGACACCCCGGCGGTCACCCGGGCCACCCCGGCCACCCGCCGCACTCGTCAGCGCAGAGCCTGGGTCCGCGGCCCTCGCCGCAGCCCGGACCGCCGCCGGCCGGCCACGAGGGCGCGCCGCGCGGCCCCGGCTACGGGCCGTCCGACCCGACCGGCTACGGCGGGCCGCAGGCGGGCGGACCGCTCTACGGCAACACGCGGCCGCCGGGCCCGCCGCCGGCCAACCTCAACGACAGCCGCGAGGGCTGGCCGGCGCCGCACCGGCCGGCGTCAGCACTGTCCGGGGGCGGCGCGCCGCTGCCGCAGCCGCGACACCAGCCGCACCAGTCGCCGGCACTGCAGGACGCCTACCGACCGGGGCCGCCGGCCGGGCACCAGCCGCCGCCGCACCAGTCACCGCACCAGTCACCGCACCAGCAGCAGCATCCACAGCAGCAGCACCCACAGCAGCATCAACAGCAGCAGCAGCCGCAGCAGCCACATCAGCCACATCAGTACTACTTACCGAAGGTAGGACGATCGACTTCGAGCCAGAGACTCTCTGGATTCAAAGTGCCGTACGCTGCGTTCAATTTGCTCGATGGCTGGAGTAAGTTGATGTTTTTGTAGTTTAATCTGTTTTTTCTTCCTCTGTCTTGTCGCTCTGTGGCGCTTACCTGTTGTTTTCACATATTGCTTATTACCTGTTCGCCGTCTCCCTGTCCCGTTTAGCTGACGCCCCCCCCCCCCCCGCCAGCCGCCGATGCCGCTGCCCGATCACCCGGCGGGCCACCACCCGGCGGCGGCGGCGCCCCCGCACGTGCCGCCCAAGCCGCAGCCGGCGCCACCCTCAGCCGCCACCGAGGACCACAACCAGAACAGCGTGCTGAAGCCGGCGGGCGCGGCGGCCGGCGGCGGCGGCGGCGGCGCGACCGGCCCGGCCCGGGACGCCAAACAGCACGAACCGCAGCGGCTCTCACACGAACAGGTGAGCGCGGCAGACGGCGGCGGCGGACTCCTGTAGATCTGTCCGGATGTCTTCACAGGCGACTGACCTCTTACGGACGCTGGCTGGAGAATATTCTTCAGACGCACGATATGCGGGTTTCCTAGAAGGCTGACTGAACTCTCATTAGCAACAGTCTTAGGAATGCGCAGGGTGCATAGAAACAGTGTCTTTGGCATCAAGTGACAGTCTGCATAAACATTAATAAACAAGCTCAGCTGTTCGTGCTCGTCGTCTCTTGCTTCGGGCTACTCATAAGTACTCTGTCAAATTGGGTTTGATATTTGTTCGAATTTCTGTGCCATATTAATGAATCTGGAAAGAAACGTACACCATGCCCCAGAAACTGAATTTAACGAGCGAAGTTTGGCTGGCAACTGGTTATCTCTACCCGGAATGAGTCTCAGTCTGGTGACCTTTCACTTGACTTTGTACGCACTTTGGCGCATGGATGGGCACATGATGGTGAACTTTGACAATTTTACTGGGATTAGCTACCGTTGTATCGGTTCCTCGTCTCGACAGGGGTATGCTTGACGTATAGTGTTAGCAAAACTGGTCTGACTTTCAAATGAAAATATGATGAGCGTTGTCTGAAGTATTGTTTGCTTGTTAAAGAGTTTCTAATAGTTCGATCGTGGTGGTTCAACTTGCTAATACAAACGATGTGCTGTTTCACATTACTTTGCATTAGTTAGGCTATAACTGCGCAGCATAGCTGTCAGCCTGCCACCGTTTAGGATGCATAAAACCTTAGCGAGATATAAAATGCCTATTTTCCGCCTAGTGTGGCCGAGCTCAGCACTCCCCGGTCCCACCCCTGACCCCCTCCCCCCGCTCCCTGTCCGCAGTTCCGCGCAGCGCTGCAGATGGTGGTCAGTCCGGGCGACCCGCGCGGCGACCTCCACTCGTTCGTCAAGATCGGCGAGGGCAGCACGGGCATCGTATGTATCGCCACGGAGCGCTCCACGGGCCGGCAGGTGGCCGTGAAAAAGATGGACCTGCAGCGCCAGCAGCGGCGGGAGCTGCTCTTCAACGAGGTACGGCACGGCGGCAGGTGGCAGGGTGGGATGGGGCTGGCTGGGGAACAGCTGAGTTCAAGGACATGGTAAAGTGAGTGGAGGATAGAGGATGCAACCGTAGTGTCGAGCTTTTGTGGTCAGACTGTGGACGAGTTACAACTGATGTTAGTTGTCGGACTTTCGTCACCGTCTTGAGTTGAGATGTTAGGTAGGAGATGTATTGCAACTCAAGACGGGGACGAAAGTCAGACAACTAACATCAGTGATAATAACACCTCGTCTCAAGCATTCAGATGAGTTACAACTGCTTTGTGCCCACTATAAACTGTAAGATGTGCGAATTACCTTACCCGTTGACGACTCGTTCTATATTTCCTCGTTATCCCCAATCATTTGTTTGGCGTCTCCAACCATTACCTTCCCATGCTGGCTCTGCACGACAGAGTCCCCGTCTCTAACTGGTTCTTCCCCCGCCTTCTCCCTCAGGTGGTGATAATGCGCGACTACCCGCACCCCAACATTGTCGAGATGTACAACTCGTTCCTGGTGGAGAACGAGCTGTGGGTGATGATGGAGTTCCTGGAGGGCGGCGCGCTGACAGACATCGTCACCCACTCGCGGATGGACGAGGTGCAGATCGCCACCGTCTGCAAACAGTGTCTGAAGGCGCTGGCCTACCTGCACTCGCAGGGCGTCATCCACCGCGACATCAAATCGGACTCTATCCTGCTCTCCGCTGACGGAAAGGTGGGACCGGAGACGGGGGAAAGGAGGAAGAGACGGGCCATTCTCGATGGAGGGAAGGGACCACACTACTGAGTTCCAACCGACCCGCCACTCATACGTAGCCCTTACATTGGGCGTAGAAAATCTGCTGTGACCGTCCTGATCATTTACTGACTCCAAACGCTCACTGTTAACCGACCCTGGGTAATGGCCCCACGCTCTTGCCCCTTAGTATTTCTTGTCCATTCATGGCGTGCTTATCTCGTACTGACCTGCACCTTACCCATTCTGACCACGTGCTGACCCGTAACTACCCACCATCTTTCAGGTGAAGCTGTCGGATTTCGGTTTCTGCGCCCAAGTATCCCAGGAGCTGCCGCGCCGCAAGTCCCTGGTGGGCACGCCGTACTGGATGGCGCCGGAGGTGATCTCCCGGCTGCCATACGGGCCAGAGGTGGACATCTGGTCACTGGGTGAGTGAGGGACATCTGGTCCGTACGGGCCAGAGGTGGACATCTGGTCACTGGGTGAGTGAGGGACATCTGGTCCGTACGGGCCAGAGGTGGACATCTGGTCACTGGGTGAGTGGGGGACATCTGGTCCGTACGGGCCAGAGGTGGACATCTGGTCACTGGGTGAGTGAGGGACATCTGGTCCGTACGGGCCAGAGGTGGACATCTGGTCACTGGGTGAGTGGGGGACATCTGGTCCGTACGGGCCAGAGGTGGACATCTGGTCACTGGGTGAGTGGGGGACATCTGGTCCGTACGGGCCAGAGGTGGACATCTGGTCACTGGGTGAGTGGGGGACATCTGGTCCGTACGGGCCAGAGGTGGACATCTGGTCACTGGGTGAGTGGGGGACGGCGGCGGGGCGGGCCAGGGAGTCCCAGCAGAGCAGAGCCCAGGGAGGCACCATCCCTCTGAGATAGACGAAGCAGCTGGTGTATGTTATGCTTTTTGCGTAACTTGGGCCATTCAGGGAGCCTGTTGGCCTGAAAGGTCCAGGAAACTTGCTGAATGACGCGCTTAAATCTGACGGATCGTTGTTGAGCCTATGCTGTAATGTTTGTTTCCTTGGTTTACATAAATTAGGAGCTGCGACCAGATAGATAGATAAATTAGACCCGGTGATAATGCCTCTCAATCATAACTGCGTTTGTAAACGGAACAGAATTGAAAAGGGATCGTTCGACCTAAGTGCCATATCAATTACCATGTACCCCTTACCGGCCATATGACCCTCGCCTCTGACTACCGTCTGACCTGTCGGGCAGGTATAATGGTGATTGAGATGGTGGACGGCGAGCCGCCCTTCTTCAACGAGCCGCCGCTGCAGGCCATGCGACGCATCCGAGACATGCCGCCGCCCAAACTGAAAAACACCAACAAGGTGCGTGCGGCCACAGGCGGCTGACTGTGGGGTGGCAGTGGGAAACTGGCGGATTAGCTGTTGTGGGTGTACCGTGGGCTAGTGGGCGATGTATGTGGTAACTATGTAAGAAGGAGAAACCATGTGCTAAGAGTAGGGAAAGCTGTGGGCCGACCGTCTGACTCAGTAATCGTCTGACCCTTCCATCCCGGCTGCATTGCCGGTATCGGACCGTTATCGTAGTTCGGACTGACGGTCGGACCGCTGTCCTACCTGACTGACCGCCGTTATGACTCGCCTCACGCCCTGACGCCGTCCCCTGGCCGTCTGACCCTATGTTTCGTGTCCCGCCCGCCAGGTGTCGGCTCGGATGGTTATTTAGTGCCCTGTCTGACGCTGTTTCGTGTCCCGCCCGCCAGGTGTCGGCTCGGATGGTCCTTTAGTGCCCTGTCCATCTGACGGTGTTTCGTCCCATGTCCCGTCTAACTGTGTTTCGCGTTCTGCCCGCCAGGTGTCGGCTCGGATGCAGGGTTTCCTGGAGAAGATGCTGGTCCGCGACCCGGGCCAGCGGGCCACCGCCTTCGAGCTGCTTCAACACCCGTTCCTCACGCAGGCCAAGGGGCCCGAGGTGCTGCTGCCCCTGATGGCCGCCGGCACGTGAGGGCAGAGCCGAGAGCAGCAGGGTAGAGCAGCGAGGGGCGTGGTACCTCCGCCGGACGCTGCGGCGGCGCCGGGGCTCGGGTGTGTTCAAAGATTCAACGAAATGAACCGAGGAGCGGCGTCCGCTTGGCGCGCATGGAGTGAGCGGTCGGTCAGGCCGCGAGTTATGAGTGAAGGCGAGTTAGATCGAGTGGTAATACTGAGTGAGTGAGAGTGCGCGCGAGTGATGTGTGCCAGAATCATAGAGATCATTCCCACAAGCCCCGCCTGCCTCTGGTGTTCGCGGCCGCTGCCGATGGCGAGTTTCGCCGCCCGACGGATGGACGGGTTGTATTTGTATCAGGTATTTGTAGCAGCTACTCAGACTCGCAGTCTCGAATCATGGTAGCTGAAGGCGGCTAGCAAGTCGTTAATTGATGCATTTACGTACTCTACTTAAACTGTGCGGCCAACTGACTTAACGCGAGGAAGAGATGAGACCCTCAGTCTGCTCTTCCCTTGCGCTTTACCGCAGCTCTGAGAGATTCCGACTGCCCTTGTATAGTCGTCTGATTAGTGTACCGTCCTGAATATGGTTGTCATGTCCGAATTGGTTACACAGTGCCGCATTGGTCCAATGCCGCCCGTCGGGAGGTGTCGTTGGCCACACCCGCTTACTGAATGCCGTCCTGTGCTGACCCCAGGGTGTGTCGTACCGTGCCGTTACCCTGGCGTCGTTACCGGTATCGTGATACCGATACCGCAGCGTGCCGTACCGCGCCGCTACTGGTACAGTAACGCAGTGCGGTACCGTGGCCGGACTGCCGCCGTGCCTTGCCGAGGAACCGATCGCCGTCCGATGTGACTTGTTACGACCCGACAGACAGACGGACATATCGGGGCCGGGCCGGCCGCTCCCCGCAGGCAGATGTAATGGAGTGGCCTGCAGGCGGGAGCGGCCGCCCGTGCCGCACTGATGGCCCGGCCCGGGCTGTGTCCTCCCTGAGGGTGCCCTGAACTGCCGGGCCGCGGTATGGCTGAGTTCGTCAGCGCGCCTGCTCTGACGGACCGCGGTCGCAGCCGGCCGCCTCCCGGCGCTCCGTCCGCGCCCACTGTTTCATTGTTGGACGTAACGAATTTTTATTGATGTGCTGGCCGACACCGGGGCCGCTCGTATTGTTAGTTTGTAGACAGCAGTCTTCAGTCGACTGGCTCTTCCATCGGCACCACGTCGGCCGTACTTAGCCGTGTGAACGGACGTTTTTGTGATCGGAAATGCTTCGGTCGTCGTCGACATTGTGTATTTTCGATGTCATTATTTCGATTTGTACTTTTTCCTTCGATTTGTGACATTCCCCGACCAGCTGTGTACATTTTGTCGGACGTATGACTGCTTTGTTATTCATGTTTTTGTGCGCGAGCGGCCCTATTGTATCAACGGATAGACCAACAGAAACTATGGCCAACCTTTTCTAATATATATTCCGATGCAAATAGTAGTTTGAGATTTGACTGGGTGGTATCTGATAACATTTTGTGATGACATCTGACCATCTTGTTCGTCACTACATGCGAGATGGAATTCCAGGTATTTATAAGGAATATCAGTGTATGTAGGCTGTGCCGCGTAACACGGTCCTGGATGTAGACTGTGCGGCAAGACACGGTCCTGGATGTAGGCTGCACCGCATTACACGATCCTGGATGTAGGCTGCACCGCATTACACGCCCTGGATGTAGGCTGTACCGCATCACACGGGCCTGTATGTAGGCTGTACCGCATTACACGTCCTGGATATATGTAGACTGTACCGCACTTCACGGTCCTGGATGTAGACTGCACCGCATTGTACAGCCCTGGATGTAGGCTGTGCCGCATTACACGCTCCTGTATGTAGGCTATGCCGCACTAAACGGTTCTGGGTATAGACTGTGCCACACTACTTGGTTGTGAAAAGGCTGATAGAGGCTCCTCCTCATACTCCTCCCCCGCTCGCCACCAGTGCCGCTGATCCTACTCCAGCGGCTCCTGCAGGAGCAGCGACTCACGCTCCTGCTGGTGTCTCTGGCTCAGCTCCAGCATCTCCTGCTGGAGTTGCTGCTCTATCCCCTGACGCTGCCTCCTCTGGGGCTCACTTCTCCGCCCGGACCCGAGCCGCCTGAACTGAAAGCGTTGCAGCCAGTGGGTCTGCTCACGTCCTTGGTCCTCTGACTGCTGGTCCTGCACTTTCCGGTCCTCTGGCTGCTGACCCAGCACCCCATGCTCTGGCAGTTGTTGATCCCCCAGCTCCAGTGACGGGTGAAGGTACCTCCGCCCCACTGCGTCTCGCTCCCGTAGCTGGCGTCGCTCCAGCTCTACCAGTCGCTGTATGAGCGCGTCGAAGGTCCGCTCCTCCTGTTCAGGGAGGCGGGGTTGGACCTCTGCGGCCGCTCCGTCCTCAGTCAGCACGTGCCGCCGCAGACACCACCGGTCCGTTCCACCGAGAGCGGCCGAGTACTCGGTCTGCAGCCGGTCGCCGGCCAGCAGCCGCCGCAGTCGCAGCCGCCAGAACCGGGCGGTGATCGCGGCCGTCTCCCGGTCCATGTGCGGCAGTCGCTGCCGCAGGAACCAGTCTAGTTGTTCGGAGCAGCTGAGGAGCGTCTCCAGGGCATCACGGATCCGCTGCAGGGGGAGGAGCGGGGGACAGGGGTCGGACCACCTGGTGCTCCGCTCCTCCACGCCCTGCCACCAGTCACCCATGCTCGGCACGGCCTCGCTGATGGCGCGCAGCAGCAGCTCGGGCCGCAGCAGCAGATCGGCCCGGCCTCGCGGTGTGTCCAGCTCGGCGGTCAGGCCGGCCGGCCGCTCGGCCTCAGGCCGCCGCAGCTGCCGGCGACACCAGGCGGCCACCGCTGTCGGGTCGCCCAGCAGGTAGTGCAGGTCCGTGTCGTCGAGCAGGTCCATCAGCGGCGCGGCGTCCCACGTGAAGATCCCGCCGCCGAGGTGTCTGAGCGGCGCCGCGCCCACCAGGTCGGCCGGCGCCACCAGCAGGGCCCGCAGCAGGTAGCACTGCTGGGCGTACGCGCTGGCGTGGCAGTGGTGCCGCCACTCGAGCAGCTGCTCCTCGGACGCCAGCGGCGGTACGAAGCAGCACGCCCAGTCGGCCCACTTGGGGAGCGCCGGACGGTACACCAGGCCGGCGACCACGGCGCGGCGCAGCAGCAGCCGCGCCAGCCGCAGCCGCAGCCGGCGCTCCGGCAGCGGCCGCCAGCCGTCCAGCAGCAGCCGCAGGTCGTGCAGGTGCGCCTCACACCAGGCCAGCAGCAGCGGCACGGCCCGCCGGCGCATCAGCGCGATGGTAGACGCCATGTCGCTCAGCTCTCGCGCTCCCTTTCCGGCCAGCAGGTCGATGTCGGGCCAGAAGAAGCAGGGCAGACTGCCAGCGGCGACGTGCTGCTCTAGCCAGTCGAGTATCGTCCACACGCCGTCCACCACGCCCGTCCAGCTGTCGGCGGGCCGGTCCTGCGCCAGCCACAGCGCCGCCGTCTTGATGTAGTAGGACTTGAGCGCCGGGCTGTCCCCGCTCTCCTTCAGCGCCGTCTTTATTCTCTTCACAGAGAGCACGGCGTTCCGCTGGATGTCGGTGAGCTGGTGAATGGCCACCACCTCGGCGCGGGAGAAGGAGAGGCGCCACTCGTACAGCTCTGTGGCGCTGCCCTCCCGGCCGGTGGGTACCAGGTGTACGCCGAACTGGCAGAGCTCCTGACGCGCCGCCGCCGCCGGGAACTCGGTCACTCGGCGGCGCGAGAGGAACGCCTCCCTCCCCGGCCACACGGGCAGCCTCAGGCAGGGCACGTGGTCAAGTCCGCCGTGCCCCTGGCTCGGCAGGCACACGTTGACTGCCGGCCCCGGGGTGGTGATGACAGAGCCAGCCGAGCTCGTGGCCCGGCAGAATTCGGACATCAGTCGGCGCACCTCTAGGGCGGGGAGCGCCGGCAGCACAGACTCGTGCTCACACTCGGTCGTGCGCGCCCAGTGCAGTGTGACGAAGCCCGGACTGTCGGTGGGCCGGGCCCACAGCTGCGGCGCGTCCCGCGCGCTGATGCATCCCGGCTCCTCGCCCGGCGCTGCCAGCGGTGCCTCCATCCAGCGGAACTCCCCACTGAGCTCAAACATGGCGTCGTAATCGGATGAGCTCGGCTGGCCGGCGAGCAGGTCGGCCAGCCCCTCGGCGCTGCTGCCCGAGCGGCTGCTGCTGATCACCCTCAGTGGTTCGGCTGGAGCGCAGCGGCCACAGTGGCCCGGTGGCAGAGGCATGGTGGCGCTGCGGCCGTCCTGCAGAGCGCCCCAGAGCGGCAGGTCGCGCAGGAACGCCAGCCTGTCGCTGACGGCGTTCCGTGCCAGGTCGGCCACGAGGCCGGCCGGATGGACCGGCGTCTCATAGAGCGGCAGCACCGAGTCGACGAGCAGCCGCGCGCCGGAGTCGCCGCAGCGGGTCAGCAGGCGGTGCACCCGCCACCGGGAGGCCGCGCCCTCGTACCTCCGCCGCAGCCACTCCATCCTGCCGCCCAGAGGCGCCAGCAGAGAGCGTCTTACCTCCAACTGCAGCGCGTCTCGGGCACCAAGACGCCGGAATCTCCCGGTCGCCACGGATGCAGACGGAAACCCATCCCCGGTACGCGAGATCAGCGACTGCTGCAGCCACCAGGCTCAACACTCGGACAGTCAACCTGCAGACAATTGTCTTTTACCTCTGAACTGCAACGTCCCCGCCCGGTCTGGCTGGGACACGCCTGTCGGTGGGTGGCCGACCTCTGATCTGAGCCGATAACCGTATCAGCGGCGGCGCGATAGCGTCGGCTCGGACGGAGCGGGCGGGCGGGCGCCGCACTGACTCCTGCCCCGTCCGGTTCGCCGCACTCTCCGTCACCCCGTGACCCTCCGTGACCCCTCCGTGACTGTCACAATGACCCGCACCAGTGACGGCATCAGCTCGCTGCTGGCGGCCGAGAAGAAGGCTGTGGAGAAGATCGAAGATGCCAAGAAGAACAAGGTGCGCCGGCTGAAGGCGGCCAAGGAGCAGGCCGACAGGGAGATCGAGGGACTCCAGAGGTGAGAAAGGGGGAAAGAGAGATGGAGGTTTGATAAAACGATGTTGCATTGAATGTTTGATACAGGAGTCTAAATTCTCGAGTGCTTAAAACGGTCAACGAAAGCTAGGCTATTGCTGTAGCGTTCATAGTTCGCATCGGTGTATCCGGATAGGCATTAATTATGTGGATGGATGACTTTTATATCCGATTCATTTCTGTGAGAAGCACATCTTCGGCGGTAGACGTAAGTTACCAACCCACCTCAGAAGAAATTTTAAGTCGTCGTCAGACGACAGTCAGACGGCAGGTCGTCAGAAGGAATTTTAAGAAATGTGTTTTTTTTTTGCTAAACTGAATAAAATGTAAATATATCATCATCCATATTCGGAATATTTTCCTAGGACACATTTTACAACACAATTTCTAATAAGGCTGGTGGTCAACAAAAAGTCGTCCGTCCGTCTTATCGGCCGTTTCACGTGAGCTCCGAGTGTCGAGAGCGCCATCTGGGTCACATGACGACGAGGCGCTATCAGCACTCACGAGGGCGCCGGCTCGGCTCCGTGCAGTTCTGTCGGCCCTCGATATTACATTTTTACACAAAGGATGATACCTAAATGGATCATACTTTTGGCAGGTTTAGCGATATGGCTCATTTAGCAATAAGATAAGTAACTGTAAATTACAAAACAGTCGGTTGGTGTATCTAATAAACGTCTAATTTAACGTCTATTGAGGAAAACTTGCCTTATAAAAATAATTATGTCGTTAATTGCAATTTCCTTTCCATGCAGCTCTCTAACCGTTTTTCATATTCAAGATGTACCTTCTCTGGATCATATCTAATCATCCTCTGTTCTGGACTGATCGGTCACCGGTAGCAAATCGGAGAGCCTTTAACTCCCACAGAAGTTATCTCCCCGACTCCCGCCGGGGTGGCGGTCAGCGCTGCTCGGTGGCCTTTCCTCCGAGACCTTTCCGAGACCTTTCTTGCTCCGAGACGGGCTGAGCAGCGCGGTACACCAGATGGTGGCTGCCCTAGCCCAAATGCAAGCCCCTCTTATCGCATTGCTTGTTACGTTTGATCTTATCTTGAAGCTGTATTAAAGTGAATCGAAAGAGATGAGGTCTTCAAACAAACTTTTAGAGGTGATAGGTATAATTCAATTAAGCCCACTCATTGTGGGATGTAAGATCCATCAGGGATCATACATCCCCCTGGCATTACGGAGAGCGATAGATACCAGTCTCCCGTCCCCTAGCCTGTGTCCATTACAGGGAGCAGTACTGACCCACCGTCCTCGTAGTATTACATTCAGTGAACAGTTCTGACCTATCCGTCCCTCTGTTTCGTATCGCAGGGAGCAGGAGGCCGAGTTCCGTAAGGTGCAGTCGGCTCACTCGGGAACAGTTCTGACCTATCCGTCTCTCTGTTTCCTATCGCAGGGAGCAGGAGGCCGAGTTCCGTAAGGTGCAGTCGGCTCACTCGGGCAGCAAGGACGCCATGGTGCAGCGGGTGGACGGCGAGACCGAGGCGCGCCTCAAGTCCATGGAGAGCGACGTGGCCACGCACCGGGAGCAGATCATCGCCCGCATCCTCAGCATGGTCTACGAGATCACGCCCAAGATGCACGAGAACGCGCGGTTCGAGCAGCAGGAGCAGCCGCCGCCGCCCAAACACGTCCAGTACGGACACCAGGAGGAGGAGCCCGAGGACCAGGAGGAGGATCAGGAGGAGGAGGAGTGAGGAGCGGCAGGAGAGGGCCGCCCGCAGACCCCGGGTCGGTCTGCAGAGGGGGATATCAGCAGGTGTGTCTGCTCAATGGCGTGGTCTGGTGTAACCCGAGTGGTATAAAGAAATGGAAAGGCTTCAGCGGGCTTGCTCCGTGCTCAAATGTTGATAAAAGACCTGAGCTACTGCGTGTGTGGCGAGGAATCATATCGCGTGTGGCAGAAAACTCGATCGCACCCGACGGCCGGTGCTATGATGCTGCTCTGTTCCGTGTCCTGATTATGCGAATTTCATGTCAGAAGGTAGGAGTGCCGCTAGAATGTAAGAGCGCTTACTCGGCATTTTATTGATATTAGATAGTAGATAGCTAATAGGTTTGTCCGAATGTTGTAAATATTGACGGCAATAATATATCACGGGATGAACGTATAAACGATACAGGTCTTATCACCTTTCAACACTTGTCTCTAAGCATGAATAGTAAGAAGTCGCGGGTTCCTGGGGCGTTTCCTTGGATAGGTGGTGTGACATCTCCACACGCCCCCCTGCTATCCGATATCCGGTGGGAGACTGGCACCTGGCTCCGTCCGGGGCCGCCGATAGGTGTGAGCCCGGCCACGGGCGGCCCAGACCGGTCTCTGTTCCCTCTGGTCGGCCGCCAGCGTCTGTCTGCGCTCCGTCGGTGCTGCGGAGAAACATCCTATACCGAGGAGAGAGATCAGCGGCGCTATGCGGGCCGTCACCGTCTGCGCCCTGCTCGGAGCGCTGGCCGCCCAGGTAACCAACGGCAGTGACACGCCTCCAGCTTAGCCAACCGAGTAACAGCAATGGACCACACTCGCTGTGTAGCAGTTATGGTCCACTCTTAAAGGGTATCAGCAATGAACGATTCTCGCTAAACGAGTAATGGTATACCTAAATGGACTACTACATATAAGGCACTTCCCTTTTCACTAACGGAGTAATAGCAAGGCACGACTTTCGCTAACAAACTGACGGTAGGTATGTACCTAATTAATAGTTCACTTTTGCAAGCGGAGTTGTTGTAATGGACTTCTATCGCCGTTCACTAACGAGCAAAGGGTAATGCTAAACAGCAAACTAACGCTGATGGTAAACTGATGGTAAAAAACTCTAGTTAGCCCGCGCCCTGCGAGAAGGGGGTGTTTGAACACCCCCTGCAGTTTTTCGCGAATATCTTAAAAAAGGGCGGCGCTCCATACATCTATTCCGCGTATGGTGTGAAATTTTCAGACCAAGGTCAATAAGGGTCACGTCGCCAGGTCACTTCAAGTGGCCTAATCTCATAACTAAAGTTTCAATGTCTGTCATAGCTACACTGAGTGACTGATCGCTTTGAATCTTTCAGCGATCGATAAGTGCTACAGTGTGTACAAATGTTTATCTCGGAATTTGAATACCTATCGATGACCTAAGGTCAGGCAAAGAGTAAAGACCTCTGTATAGACCTATGGGTCAGGTCAATTTTGCAACTTCCCCATTATAAGTCAATGGGAGAAAATTGAAAGGCGCCCCTTTTAGACGAACGTCATTCTTAACACGCTAAGACATAGAACATGAAAATGGTACCCGTGACCCCTGCCCCTGAGGTCATCTCAGTTCACGAATGGTAGGTATCTAACAGTTTTTCTCGAGTGCCTAACGTTTGATAGAGGTATGCTAGAGCGCTTCAGATGTGTTCAGCTCGACGATACGGATCGACTGATATTTATTCTTTCCGGTTAGGTCATGACCTTGATCTGAGGCTAAATTTTCAAGTTAACATTTCAAGGTCAAATTATAGTTCATTCGCTGCGTCTTGACGGGAGGAACACGATGCCGGTAAAACTTAGCAAGCTCGTGCAAGGTTTGAGTCAAAAGTTATTGCAGAAAAGCTGTTTCCGCAAAAATCGTCTATTTTGGTAGTTTTTGCCCCCTGGAGGCAAAACCGTTGACGCTATGTCAAATCTGAGGAAAGTTGTCATAAAGAGATTAAATAGAGCTATCGAATGCACTTTGCTGGAGCGCTGTAGTTCCATCACTTTTCGAGTTATGTGTCGGTTAAGGTTTGTTGAAAGTTGTCGATATTTGACCTGAACATCGGCGAAATGTGGCTCTCAATGACCTCTGGTGAGATGACCTTTGACCTGACCAAATAAGTGACCGAAATAATTTTGTCATAATTTTTACGCTCTTTCGAACATCGCCTTCCCCGTATCGCTACGTGTCCCCGGAGGCGAGTTAGAGGGTGTGTGTTTTCACCCCCCTCCCCCCCAGCAGGGCGTGGAAATCTAGGACCCCAGTGGGGCGCGGGTTAACGAATCGGCATAAATATACCAGCTTTCGGTCAGCGAATAATAACAATGATCCACTCTCGCTGACGGGAAAGGTAATATCTCACTCTCGCCAGCGGGGCAGGAGGGAGCAGTCTGCCCGCTGGGACATAAAATCAATATTTCAATTGGCGATAACACACATACACCCGAGGACAGACTGTATCGATTGGCTCGAAGGACCGTTTACGGGGCGGAATGAACGAAACTTATCCGGGAGTAGTGCCAGATACGAGTGCTCATGTAACAGATAGGGCGTGGAAACCCTATGACCCTATAAAGGGTCTGTATGCACTATGCGTTTAAAAACCTATTATTTTGTAGTTTCATGAAAATACATCCAGTGATAGCCACTATTTACCAGCTTTACCTATAGGGGTTTCAAGAGCTAATATAGACGATTAGGATGGTCGATGGAATGCTATTGCTAAACGCCTCTCCCCTCACAGACGCAAGTCGCACACACACGCACCTTAGCAGGTCTCCCCTCTGGGGAGGGTCGGTCGGGGGGGGGGGGGGGGGGGGGTGCACCTGTCTGAGCAGGGCTGAGTCAGCCGTGTCGGTAGCGGCGGGGCGCCGGTCGCTCGGGGCGGTGGGCGGTGCCACAGTTCCTCCGGCACGCCGAGCTGCCGCAGAGCGTACCGTGCGGGCCCGCCCGCCCCCGAGCAGCACAGTGAGGTTCCGTGGTTACCGCCTGTATATTCTGTGGTTACCGCCGCAACCATGCAGAAGATACGGCGCCTGGTGCGCAGCCTGTCCCAGTCGGTAAGATTGTCGAAGTCTGGCTTCCGGGACATCATCTCAGGAGCTTTCAGCACCGTCAGTAACTTTCAATGGACTTTCAAAGCTGGGCAGCATAAACAATGCGACGATTGGTCAGAATCGGGCGACGGGAGAGAGAGAGAGAGAGAGAGAGAGAGAGAGAGAGAGAGAGAGAGAGAGAGAGAGAGAGAGAGAGAGAGAGAGAGAGAGAGAGAGGGAGAGAGAGAGAGAGAAAGCGAGAGAGGGAGAGAGAGAGAGAGAAAGCGAGAGAGAGAGAGAGGGAGAGAGAGAGAGAGAGGGAGAGAGAGAGAGAGAGAGAGAGAGAGAGAGAGAGAGAGAGAGAGAGAGAGAGAGAGAGAGAGAGAGAGAGAGAGAGAGAGAGAGAGAGAGAGAGAGAGAGAGAGAGAGAGAGAGAGAGAGAGAGAGAGAGAGAGAGAGAGAGAGAGAGAGAGAGAGAGAGAGAGAGAGAGAGAGAGAGAGAGAGAGAGAGAGAGAGAGAGAGAGAGAGAATGCTCTCGGAACTGACTTTTTTCTCGTAATTTCAGAAAACGTATGACGTAGTAAACTATAAACGCAGACATTTTGCATAAACTTGGAAGGCAAATGACTGTGGAACTTTGTCAACCATAGTATTAGTAGGGGAGAGGCGGGAGAATTGGGACGCAGGAGAATAGGGACACGCCAATATTTAAAAAATGGGCAGCGTCCTTGCACGATTTTTGCCTTTACCTTTTGATTCGATGTGTCGTGCAACGATGGGAAGCCTCAGCAACCCTTTTGTGTCCGTCGGTTGGGCTGTGCTGTCTGAGCACCAAAAAACTTGTTTTTTCGAGTGTTATTCTGAGTTGTCTGTGTATTGCATATGACAAACTATCTTTCTTTCAAGATGTTGCGATGCTAGCTAAACACCGTCTTTATGCGATTGCCAGTTTGCATGAACACGCTCTGTAACTGACAAATGACAGAAAAATTGCGCGATTTGATATGGCGGTGGTGTGGGAGAATTGGGACACCAAATGGTGAAAATGGTAAAATGGTGCAAAAAGATGTGTATTTACCTTCATGTTTTGGACGGGCTTGCATCTGCGCCCCCTATCCACAAATACATCAAAGCGAAGACCAAGAAGTCTGAAAATGTTCATTTTATGGGAACATCGTGATCGTGAATGACAATCCCGGCCTTAACGAAGCAGATAGTGTGAATATAAGTTCCAACGTATCAATTGATTGCCTAGACATAGACAGATCAATAATTCGAGATAAAAATGTTGTCCCAATATCTCATTTTTATGTGTCCCAATTCAGCCTCGTGTCTGTCCCTTTTCTCCTGCGTGTGTCCCTATTCTCCCCAAAATGAGTGTTTTTGTTTTTCTCCACACATAACCACACCACTGCATAGGCTCGGTTTTTTATGATGGTATGCTGCAGAGAAATGGCCTATCTTTTATTGGTGCTGCACGAAGCAGCTTGGCAACAATACTTTTCAAATAATATCTCAGTAAATATGGCTTGAGAAATAAGTCCCAATTCTCCCGCCTCTCCCCTACCTAACATGTTGGACGAGGCCTCGCCGTCATCAGTCGCTCTCCCGTCACAAAGGCACAGCTGTGCGGTATCTCACAAGATTAGGGACACCACACACCAGACACGTGTGACGGTTTCACGCGCTGTGCGGGAAGCTCAAACACACATTGCTTATTGCGATGCTGGGGAATTCAGCAAATGTCATGCCTACTTTTGAGGAAAATGGCAACATTACTGACATTTTTGGCAGGGTTTAAAATGTTCGAACATATTGAATAGACAAATTGACGCAGCCAGAGGCGCCAGAGCTAGCAGCCAGCGTCATGCAAAGCTCGTTGCGCTAATCACGAGCATCACCTTACACCTACAACACGATCGATGAGTTCGGGTCGTAGGAGACGGAAAAATGAGACACCAGTAAGGGCTGACCACAGAGCTGGACAACCGACCCCCGTGTTGTGCCATCCCTAGAGCTCCTTTGTAGAGTCTCGTCACTAGGCCCGGTGTGTTCGGTGCTCTGACCACGTGTGTGTTCTGTGTTCTGACCACGGGTGTGCTCCACGGTCTGCAGAGCTCCACGATGGAGTCTGGCCGGCGGCGGGCCGACTCGGCGCCGGCCGAGGATCTCACCTGGTACCAGTACTACGCTCCCAGCGGCCAGCCCGCCGAGGGACTGGTGGCACAGGGAGACTACTTCACACTCAACGGACAGCAGTTCCAGGTCAGCCGGCCCCCACTCGCTACACCGTGGCACATCCAACAGCCCACACCATAAAGCTGAGCGAACCGATCAAACAGATCGGCCTTTTTATTTGGTTTCCCAATACATAGCTTACTTGTGTGTGGTTGAACTGAACCGGTTCGCTCTCATGTCTGTCTAGCATTCTCGATGATTCGATTTATCTTCTGCGGTAGGCAGCCTAGCCCTCTCGCTGTTCTGCGCTCTCATTTTCCGGCCGCCTGCTGGGTAGGCTGTACCGCCGTGCTCCTGTGTACTGCGGCACAGTATACCTACCCAGTACCGACCGTCCAGACATGCAGCGGAGATAACACGCATCTTACACGGCTTACGTCTTACCACATGAATGCTGAGTCTCGGCCACCGCTTAGCTGATATAAGACTTCTGATCACTATTTACTATCACCACATAATACCAGCAGGCCCCTGATCCCATTGTTCTGGCGGTCTCTGTCAGATTTTCAGCGGCGCCGTGCACTATTTCCGGATCCATCCGGCGTACTGGCGCACCACGCTGCGCAAACTGCGAGCCGCCGGACTCAACACGGTCGAGACGTACGTCGCCTGGAACCTGCACGAGCCGCGAGTCGACGTGTATGACTTTGGAGACGGAGGGAACGACATGTCCGACTTCCTCGACCTGCCAGGTCAGTCGCCAGTCGGTGTATAATTTTAAACGCTCAGGCGAGACTCGAATGAACTTATCGACATCATGCTTCATAAGACAGTTTGCATCGCGGTACTGGTATTTGTATGCAAATTGACGCCCTTTGGCGACAAAAAAAAAAACTGCACGTAGCACTTAGCAGCTGAAGTTCCCACTAAGTGAGCGTACTGTAAACGGCATTTAAGGCTTCACAGCTGCCGTGCCGTGCCGGTTGCAGTTTAAAAACGACACGCATTTCATAACTGCCATCCTTCCTACGACGCCAATGTGTTTTCGATTTGCAGGAGACAGCTGCTTGGTTTCGCAAGTGACGACCTTCACGTGTGAACGCGTACCGCTTTACACCTCGCAGGAAACGATATACGGCCTCCATTTGCCGAGCATAGTGAATTACGCATCGGTTGGGGTAGCGCCCAAAGGTCCAGGTGGTGTGTAGACACGTCCCTTATGCCTATATCACAGCTTGCCTGGCACGTTCCAGGTTTCCTAAGGATCGCCCAGGAGGAGGATCTGTTTGTGATTCTCCGGCCAGGGCCGTACATCTGTGGCGAGTGGGAGTTCGGCGCACTGCCCAGGTAAGAATATTTCGGCCTCACATCAGTTCGACGCACTGCCAGGTAAGAATATTTCGGCCTCGCATCAGATCGGCGCACTACCTAGGTAAGAATATTTCGGCCTCGCATCAGTTCGGCGCACTGCCTAGGTAAGAATATTTCGGCCTCGCATCAGTTCGGCGCACTACCTAGGTAAGAATATTTCGGTCTCACACATAGGTGGAGCTTTTTCAGGGAAGTTGGTGGGGCAAAAAGTCGTCAAACCCACAATGTCCGATTATAAAGTTGAATGAAATGCCACACTGAATCAATTCCTATCATTAAAGACATATCATTTTGCATTAAACAGACATTCCAAAGCTCTTCAATGCGAAGAAGATTAATTTGCAAAGCAACAAAGTCTTAGAAATCAGCTAAAGTTGGTGGGGCAAAACGCTTATTGGTGGGGCAAAATACAAAGTTGGTGGGGCAGCCACCCCACCAACTGTATAGGAAGCTCCGCCCCTGGCCTCGCATCAGTTCGGCGCACTGCCGCAGGTAAGTATCGAACATACCGGCCTCACATCAGTTCGGCGGTCTGCTGTGGTAGGTAAGAAAATATGGACAGAACATAGCACCCATATGCCAGTATGGTTGCAAACCGCCGGGGTAAACACAGATGAACCGAACATATTAGCCCTGGCTTATATTAGCGAAGTGTATAGTCGACTACAGAATGATGTTCCACTCCTCAGAAGCTATCAGTTGACCAGAGCGCCAAGTTGTGCCGTTTATCACGCAATTAAGCATGTCGATTGTGAGCATTGGGACTAAGCTATAATTTGTGAATTCAGCCCGTGTGATGCGGCACAGCCTACCAATCCAGGCAAATAATTGCCTGTAAAAAGTGGAACATCATTCTGCAGTCGACTATACATACCTATCATTGTAATAATAAAAGAAAAACGAGTGCACCACAGACATTTATGTTCTCTGCTGCCTCAAGGGCCATCCGAGACATCCTAAACGTAACAACTAATTGGCGCCAAACTCACTGAAGTATTGAGTGATGTATAGACAATTAGATATATATTGAGTAGGAAAAACATACAGCACATGGGTGGACGCGTTTCGTCAGAGACTTTTCCAACACCCGAATATCGACAAAACAATACGAACACACAAGAACAAAGCTAGCAAGCACAGTTTCATACCTGTTGATATATCGCGTGTACATATTATGAGAATGTGCCTAAATGCAAATACACCTCCAATACTGCGCGTCAGTTAATTGGCAAAGAAAGAGAGAACACATACATATATAAGACAATTCAATGGTTTACTCCGTCGTTTAGCCGGCCGTGCCTTTACCCTGTGTGCCGTACGCGTGTCCAGCCCGCAGTAACCTGCTGTACCTATAGCCCGCCGTTTAGCCGGCTGTGCCTGCGTCTGTCACGGCCGTGTGTGCCGCCCGCAGTTACCTGCTGCGCCAGTACGGTATTCATGTCCGCTCAGTGGACAATTACTACCTGGGGCGCTTCGACAAGTGGTTTGGTCAGCTGCTGCCGCAGGTCACTGACCTTCAGTTCACCAAAGGAGGACCCATCATCGCAGTCCAGGTAACATTCGGGTGGATATAACGGAACTCTTCTCTCTCTGTGTGCTTGAAAGTAACAACTTAACCCTCGCCGGACCTATTGGTTTCCTACATACGCGCCGGCCGGGGGGGGGGGGGGGGGCGGGTACGACCCCCCTCGCCGTTTCGCCCCTGGTGAAGCTAGCGCGTCGCGAAAAAAAGAGCGTGTGCGCCGTTACGAGACGCAGAGATTGGTACCCGATCTTAAGGTCCTAGGTCAACCGGTGACCTCTGAGGTCAGGTCAAGTGCCCCAAGGTACGGTTCAGTTTTTGGTCAATAACTTCGCAAAAAACGGCCACAGAGCCGCGATTTTGGCAGCATCGTGTTCGCCTCGCTCAGACGCGTCGAATGATATACTTTTTGTTTGGGTCAGGTCAACTTAGGGTGTTGACCTCAGGTCACGGTCAGGTCAGCGCCCCCAGGTCACGAAGTTGGTCGAAAGAGGTCATGTCGCATATCAATTCGATTCGGCAGGTCTTCCTGAGTCCATTGGTGGCTTTCCCGACTCGCTAGCTCAATTTGATCGGGAGTTATTGACGAAAAACTAATATGACCTTGATGACGTCATAAATGACGTCACGCAAGGTCAACATTGCAAAAGTGGCGCATCTAACCTTGCAAGGAGTGCATCAAATCACGATTCTGTGTGCTTGAGATAGTTGGAGATCGTTCCCGGCGCCAGAATAGCGGTTTTCATTTTCCCCCCATTGACTTATAATAGTGAGGTCACGAAAATGACCTGACCTCATGTGACATTTAGGAAAAATCCGAGATATACAAGTTGTGAGACTCGTAATGAATACTAGATCCTGCAAATTTCATTTCCCTTTGAAAGCTTCTCTGGCAGTGAGGGCGTTGCGAAGTTGCGACATCTGAAGACCGTGCAGAGGTTCACTTATGACGTCATAGGTCAGTGGCCTGACCTGACTTGAAAATGCGGTTGGTGTCAAAGGATCCGGCTTGAATCAAAGGTCAAGTATGCCAAGTTTCAGCTCTCTATCGCCAGCGTGTTCGGAGCTATTGCGAAAAAACCTATGGGGGGGGGGGCGGCACCCGCCCCCCTCGGCCGGCAAGGGTTAAAATAAAAGTTTAACTTTTGGCAGTTTCGCAACCCATAGCTTCCATTGTCTTACATGCCTATATCAGTTTCTAAATCAATTTCAATCTGTGCAGGTGGAGAATGAGTTCGGCCATTTCGGTTACGGCGACTTTCCGCGTGACCTGAAGTACCTGGAGCACGTGAAGCAGCAGCTGGAGCTGAACGGTGTGGTGGAGCTGCTCTTCACCTCCGACTCGCCGGCCCAGACTGGCGACATGGGAGCACTGCCCGGCGGTACGTTTTAACATAACACAGCTCCAGTTGTACCGGCCCAGACCGGCGACATGGGAGCACTGCCCGGCGGTACGTGAACATAACACAGCTCCAGCTGTACCGGCCCAGACCGGCGACATGGGAGCACTGCCCGACGGTACGTGAACATAACACAGCTCCAGTTGTACGGGCCCAGACCGGCGACATGGGAGCACTGCCCGGCGGTACGTGAACATAACACAGCTCCAGTTGTACCGGCCCAGACCGGCGACATGGGAGCACTGCCCGGCGGTACGTGAACATAACACAGCTCCAGTTGTACCGGCCCAGACCGGCGACATGGGAGCACTGCTCGGCGGTACGTGAACATAACACAGCTCCAGTTGTACCGGCCCAGACCGGCCACATGACAGCACTGCCCGGCGGTACGTGAACATAACACAGCTCCAGTTGTACCGGCCCAGACCGGCCACATGACAGCACTGCCCGGCGGTACGTGAACATAACACAGCTCCAGTTGTACCGGCCCAGACCGGAGACATGGGAGCACTGCCCGGCGTTTACTTACCACAATACTGTCAGCTGTAGCTGTATATCTAATATCTTTACATCAGCTCTGGGATCATCACACATCCTCCAAATGAACAGCGTACCACACGCCAGGCCCGACAAGATTCGGGAGCAATTGCATCGGATTAGATTACATATGGCTAATAAACGGAACTTCTTCAGTGCATACTGGGTATCTAACGTCTAACGACTGTACCTACTTGAACACATTCATGTCTGATGTCACCCTGGACCCTGGACGGTCTAGTTTACCGCCCAGCCGCGGTAAGATTCAGCTAACGGAGCGCCCGCGCGTCTGTTCCAGTCCTGCAGACGGCCAACTTCCAGAAGGACCCGCTGCCGGAGCTGGAGGCGCTGAAAAAGTACCAGCCCGACCGGCCCCTGATGACCATGGAGTTCTGGACCGGCTGGTTCGACCACTGGCTGGCGCCCTTCAAGGCCGGCATCTCGCCCGAAGGTATAACTCGGAGCCAAAGTCGAGCCAATTAAAAATGACAGAGCTTTAAATATCAGGATTTTGTGGTCAAGGATGCAGTTTCTAAGGTTTAATCGCTAACAAAGCGCAAACGCTTTTATTTTTGTGAGGCATCAAACGATGGGTGCTCTAATCTCGAGCAAAAAGTGATGTTTTCAACCCTCCAATGAATATGGCCTAGGAAAAAACACCAACCAGTTATCGCCCTGTTCCGCAGAGTTCCGCAACATTTTGGACACCATTTTGAGCAACAACTCGTCGGTGAACATGTACATGTTCCAAGGCGGCACCAACTTCGGCTTCATGGCCGGCGCCAACTGGATTGACGTCAACCCGAGCTACACGCCGGACGTCTCTAGCTACGGTACGGTACGGGTCCTACGGGTCATGGGGTAGGTACGGACCGAATACGGCACGGGTGGTACCTACTGTGGAGCTACTATGGAGATAGTCCTACTTGTCAAGCTTTTCGCTCTTCGGAATATAGCGCAGTACTATTCCTATCTACCAAAAACATAAGTCGATACTGAATGTGTGACCAATGTCCGCCCCCCTCCGCTCCTCGCAGACTACGACGCGGTGCTGACCGAGGGTGGCCGGTACACGGAGAAGTACAACATCACCAGGGAGCTGCTGGCCCAGTACTCAGTGGTCAAGTCGATCCGGCCGGTGGCGCCGCCGGACGAGTTCGCCGTGGCCGCGTTCGAGCCGGTGCCGCTGACCGAGACCGTGCCGCTGGAGGGTGTGCGCGCCCAGCTGGCCGGTCAGCCGAGCGACACGCTGCTCAGCATGGAGCAGCTGGACGTCAACGGCGGCTCTGGCCAGAGCTACGGCCTGGTCTGGTACCGGGCCACCATCAGCACGGCCACCGACTCCCAGATCACCATCCGCGGACACGTCAGGTCAGTACTTGTCACGGGGTCACGAGGAGGCCAGGCCAGGTCAGGACAGTCATTGCCGCGGGGTCAAGGGAGGTCACACCAGGTCAGGTCAGTACTTGTCGTGGGGTCACAGGGAAGTCAGGCCAGGTCATTCGCGGACACGTCAGGTCATTGACTATGGTGGGTCACAAGGAGGTTAGGTCAGGTCAGGTCAGTCATTATCGTGGGGTCACAGGGAGGTCAGGTCAGGTCACCATCCGCGGACACGTCAGGTCAATAAGAATTATGGGTCACAAGGTGCTCAGGTCTACAGGCCAAGGCAGATCAGGTCAAGAGCGAGCTCTGGTGACATCCGAGGAATCAGGGGAGATCAAAGCAAGTTAGAGTCTGAGATCAGAGGAGTCAAGCAAACCATAACCGAAATATGACCCAATATCTGTGCACTTATTTCAGAGACGTAGCCCTGGTGCTGGTCGACGGCGAGCTGCTCACCAGGAAAATGACCAGCATTCTATCTCTGGAATCGTTTGGATACTGGCCCGTCAAGTAAGTACCTAACACTTGAACCAAAGTAACAGGTGGTTGCAGCCTGCAGGAGTAAGGGAAATGACGAGCTATGATCATAAATGCGTCACGGCATAATTACCAAAAGGCAACAGTTTGTTGCCTTCCTTACTGGAAAGCTACATCATTAATACCTAAATCCCATTCATTTTCAAATAGTTAGAACTGAAGATTTACTCTGAAATAGGTAGGTATGCCAACTAAATGTGCTGATTAAGCTTGTCACAAGCTTTCAGCATTATTTGTATCTGTCCCCTGTTGCGATTTATAACCATCCTCTGCCCGCCCGCCAGGGACGCGACAAAGAAACTGACCTGCGAGGCCGGAGAGCACACGCTGGATATTCTGGTCGAAAACATGGGCAGGGTCAACTACGGAAAGCCGCACATCCTTGACTTCCAGCGCAAAGGTCCGTGAAATGATATGGTGTGGTATAGTAGGTATAAATTCTCAGGAGGGTAACATCTCCAATGGATGTTCCATCAAGATTCATGACTAGTTTCCCTTGAGCTTGGGACTTTTAGGCTTCTTTGAGACGTACTTTGGGGCTTCGTTATGTTGAAGCGATCCCTCCTTTCGCAGGCCTATACGAGGGCCCGGTGCTGATTGATGGCGTTGCTGTCACCGGCTGGGAAATCTACCCCATGGAGATGAAGAAGGACTGGATCAACAAGTAAGGACTTTTGCATGCACGCCTCAACACTAATGATAGCGATTCCAATGCGTTCCTAATTACTCAGTTGTTGTCTCAGTTTCTCTGCTATGTAACTGTTCCGAGTACCGTGCGCGTTCTGACGTTTTCCGGGTGAACTACCTCTGCAGCCTGGAGGGCTGGACTCCGCTGGAGGAGGACAGCACCGTCTCCGTCCCCACCATGCTGAGGGGCACTCTGAGGGTGGACCAGCCGACCGACACCTTCCTCGACATGAGAAACTTCACCAAGGGGGTGAGTGCCCGCCGCACGGGGTATCGGTAGGGTGGGTGCTGGGAGTGGGGACTCACTATAAATGGACCGTAAAACTACTGAAGACGATCTACTGCTCTATTAAGCGGCGTTTTTATAACTGCGCCTCCCGTGTGCTGCTAGTTATGTTGTCCCAGTGATCTGACGGCGTATGTTGCGGCGTGTTTGTGTTTGTGTTTGAGCAGGTGGTGTTTGTGAACGGCTTCAACCTGGGCCGGTACCTGAGCGCCGGGCCCGTGTTCACGCTCTACCTGCCGGCGCCGCTGCTCAACGTCGGAGACAACACGGTAAGATGGGAGGAGACAACAGGGTAAGATGGGGGAGACAACACAGTGAGATGGGAGGGACAACACGGTGAGATAGGGGAGACAACCGGGTTAGACAAGAAAGACATTGACAAGAGAAATTCGGGCTACATTGGGGAGATGAACTTTGATAGAAAACGCCTAACGCTGTACCTAATGATAAGAGAACCACGCAATGATATTGGTTCTCTCTCTCTCTCTCTCTCTCTCTCTCTCTCTCTCTCTCTCTCTCTCTCTCTCTCTCTCTCTCTCTCTCTCTCTCTCTCTCTCTCTCTCTCTCTCCTCTCTCTCTCTCTCTCTCTCTCTCTCTCTCTCTCTCTCTCTCTCTCTCTCTCTCTCTCTCTCTCTCTCTCTCTCTCTCTCTCTCTCTCTCTCTCTCTCTCTCTCTCTCTCTCTCTCTCTCTCTCTCTCTCTCTCTCTCTCTCTCTCTCTCTCTCTCTCTCTCTCTCTCTCTCTCTCTCTCTCTCTCTCTCTCTCTCTCTCTCTCTCTCTCTCTCTCTCTCTCTCTCTCTCTCTCTCTCTCTCTCTCTCTCCTCTCTCTCTCTCTCTCTCTCTCTCTCTCTCTCTCTCTCTCTCTCTCTCTCTCTCTCTCTCTCTCTCTCTCTCTCTCTCTCTCTCTCTCTCTCTCTCTCTCTCTCTCTCTCTCTCTCTCTCTCTCTCTCTCTCTCTCTCTCTCTCTCTCTCTCTCTCTCTCTCTCTCTCTCTCTCTCTCTCTCTCTCCTCTCTCTCTCTCTCTCTCTCTCTCTCTCTCTCTCTCTCTCTCTCTCTCTCTCTCTCTCTCTCTCTCTCTCTCTCTCTCTCTCTCTCTCTCTCTCTCTCTCTCTCTCTCTCTCTCTCTCTCTCTCTCTCTCTCTCTCTCTCTCTCTCTCTCTCTCTCTCTCTCTCTCTCTCTCTCTCTCTCTCTCTCTCTCTCTCTCTCTCTCTCTCTCTCTCTCTCTCTCTCTCTCTCTCTCTCTCTCTCTCTCTCTCTCTCTCTCTCTCTCTCTCTCTCTCTCTCTCTCTCTCTCTCTCTCTCTCTCTCTCTCTCTCTCTCTCTCTCTCTCTCTCTCTCTCTCTCTCTCTCTCTCTCTCTCTCTCTCTCTCTCTCTCTCTCTCTCTCTCTCTCTCTCTCTCTCTCTCTCTCTCTCTCTCTCTCTCTCTCTCTCTCTCTCTCTCTCTCTCTCTCCACAGATCGTGGTGTTCGAGGAGTTTGCCTCCGAGACGCCGGTGATCAATTTCTCCAGCGAGCACATCACCATCTGAGTTCCCACCGTCACCGACTGACGAAACTCCACCGAAAACCTCGCGGCAGAGCTCAGCGGCGCGGCGGTGACGTCACGCGCACTAGTGACGTCATGTGTGCGTCCTGCAGACAGACACTGCCAGCAGACGGGCCTAGTGGTGTGCCTCCGTAGGCCAGCCGAGTCGGGAGTGCCCGGTTCCGCGCCGGTTGTGTTGGAATGATATGAGTGATTGCAGATACGGTAGTCATTGTGCTGACCTGAAGCCGTGGGCAATACGGCAATACAGCCTAACGATCTACATGTCTTCATCAATCCCAATAAATAATTGTCGATTTTTGTTTTTGAATGAAATAGGAATAAGTGCTGTAACGGCTCACGAATGCCATAGACCCGTCTATATCCGACAAATACATCGAAATAACACTAGCATAACATTTTGTAAGCAAAGTAGGCAGATCTGGAAAGTCCAGCCAGCTTTCATAATAGAATACATTGCCCTAAATAAAACTATGTTGAAACACACTACAAATATAGCATATAATTGTCTATCGTATGCATGCTGGATATCTATAAGACACATCTGATCTCGTATGTACGCGTCGTATTAAGTGCATGGTATTGTCCGGTCCGACCGCTGCTCTCAGGCCTCAGGCGCTGTTGGGTGCTAAGTCGAAGTTGGCTGCTCCCAGGGACAGATCGGTGTGCCCTGGTATGACTGACTGCTTCCCCTGAGCTGATCACAGCTCCCGATCAGAACCTTTCACTCCCAGGGGTTGAGTGGCACCCAGCCGGGGCTAACTGTGGGGCTGATGGGGCCGGTGTCGGGCAGCTCAGGGGCTGATGGGCGCCCAATCGGGACTGACCGTTCTCGTCTCCAGCGCCATGGGTTTGGCCGAGAATCGGAGCACGAGATCGGCGGCGGCAAACTCTTCAAATACCACCAACTGCAAACAAACAACATAGAATCAGTTTCGATGAGAATGTGATAACGGACTTAAGTAACTACGACGTTCATCTATTATCTTATGTTACTTTAGGAATTTGTAACGGTCAATAAAAGCCAAACAGTCAGTCTTTGATCAAAGAGCGATAATACAGTTTCAAGCGTTTATCACTAAATCTTCCCTGCTAGATACCTGGTTAGTTTCAACACTGTATCAAAATTAGCAACAACTAAATGGTGTCATCGATATCAAATTTTCCAACCTCTGATCTTGTAGCCTCGACCTGTCTTTATCTCGCCTATCTCACCCTGTTATCTCCCCTGCATCTTACCGTGTTGTCTCCCCCATCTTACCGTATAGTCCTCTCCCCTATCTGTCTGACCCGGTTGTCTCTCCCATCTAACAATGCTGTCTCCCCTATCTTACCGTGTTGTCTCCCCATCTTACCGTGTTGTCTCCGACGTTGAGCAGCGGCGCCGGCAGGTAGAGCGTGAACACGGGCCCGGCGCTCAGGTACCGGCCCAGGTTGAAGCCGTTCACAAACACCACCTGCTCAAACACAAACACAAACACGCCGCAACATACGCCGTCAGATCACTGGGACAACATAACTAGCAGCACACGGGAGGCGCAGTTATAAAAACGCCGCTTAATAGAGCAGTAGATCGTCTTCAGTAGTTTTACGGTCCATTTATAGTGAGTCCCCACTCCCAGCACCCACCCTACGGATACCCCGTGTGGCGGGCACTCACCCCCTTGGTGAAGTTTCTCATGTCGAGGAAGGTGTCGGCCGGCTGGTCCACTCTCAGAGTGCCCCTCAGCATAGTGGGGACGGAGACGGCGCTGCCCTCCTCCAGTGGAGTCCAGCCCTCCAGGCTGCAGAGGTAGTTCACCCGGAAAACGTCAGAACGCGCACCGTACTCGGAACAGTTACATAGAAGAGAAACTGAGACAACAAATGAGTAATTAGGAACGCATTGGAATCGCTAGATCTATCGTACTATGTTGAGACGTGCATGCAAAAGTCCTTACTTGTTGATCCAGTCCTTCTTCATCTCCATGGGGTAGATTTCCCAGCCGGTGACTGCAACGCCATCAATCAGCACCGGGCCCTCGTACAGGCCTGCGAAAGGAGGGATCGATGTAGCATAAAGAAACAAAGCTAGGAGAGATATTGATCACCTGTTAGGCTAAACACGATGCTTATATCTCTCAAGCTGGTAACGAAAATTACCCATATTTCGGTCCGCACGGTCCATCCCAAATGTGAATCTGGCGAGACAATAAGTGAATACCTAGGGGACATTAAATCATTGCATTCTACAACTAAGAACTAACAAGCCACATGTTGTAAGTCGTATGTACCTTTGCGTTGGGCGTTCAGGACGTGTGGCTTTCCGTAGTTGACCCTGCCCATGTTCTCCACCAGTATATCGAGCGTGTGCGCCCCGGCCGCACACGGCAGGGTCATGGACGCGTCCCTGGGGGAGCGGCACAGCCGGCATCACCACAGGCAAACAGAGACAGTACGGCAGGCAAAGTCCCACTGAACTTAGAGCGTAACGGAGACCTATCCCCTGCCCGAACACGATACTCAGTATGTATATGTATTTTGAGCGACATAATTGAGTACCAAAATCAAAGAGTCATTCTAGAAACGGGGCTTATTTGAGCTAACGAGTCCGTTAATCAGCGGTTCCTCACCTAGTGGCTGGTGGCCCAGTAGCCAAAGATCCCTCCTGGTAACCCGGCATCCAAAAGCCTCTCACCTGGTAACCCAGTAGCCGAAAGCCTCTCACCTGGTAACCCAGTAGCCGAAGGAGTTCAGCGTGACGCTGCCCTGTAGTTTCTCCGTCAATAGCTGGCCGTCGACGAGCACCAGAGCCATATCCCTGTTGGAGATAAAACAGACGCTCACACAGCCAATAACTCAGCGTCAAGTGAATCACATCGAACTTTCTGTGAAAGCCACAGCAGCATTTTGTCCTGTGCTGGAAGGGCATTGTGCTGACGTGACCTCCTGGTGTGACCTTACTATACCTAGCCTGAGGTGATCACCGATGGTGACCTGACCTGACCTCCATGTGACCCTTCTACAGCTGACCTAACGTACCGCGGATGGTGACCTGACCTCCTGGTGACCGACCACATTAGCTGACCTGACATGTCCGCGAATGAATCGACCTGACCACCCCGTGACCCCATCGTAGTTACTGACTTGACCTGGCCTGTCCTCCCTATGACCCACCATAGCCTGCCCTCCCTGTGACCCCGCGACAAGTACTGTCCTGACCTGACCTGAACTCCCTGTGACCCCGCGACAATGACTGAACTGACCTGGTCTGACCTCCCCTGTGACCCCGCGACAAGTACTGACCTGACCCGACCTGACCAACCTGTGACTCCATCGTAATTACTGACCTGGCCTGGCCTCCCTGTGACCCCGCGACAAGTACTGACCTGACCTGGTCTGACCTCCATGTGACCCTTGTACAGCTGACCTAACGTACCGCGGATTTTGACCTGACCTCCTGGTGACCGACCACATTACTGACCTGACGTGTCCGCCAATGACCCGATCTGACCTACCCGTGACCCCACGATAATGGCTGACCTGACCTGGCCTGGCCTCCCCGTGACCCCGTGACAAGTACTGACCTGACGTGTCCGCGGATGGTGATCTGGGAGTCGGTGGCCGTGCTGATGGTGGCCCGGTACCAGACCAGGCCGTAGCTCTGGCCAGAGCCGCCGTTGACGTCCAGCTGCTCCATGCTGAGCAGCGTGTCGCTCGGCTGACCGATCAGCTGGGCGCGCACACCCTCCAGCGGCACGGTCTCGGTCAGCGGCACCGGCTCGAACGCGGCCACGGCGAACTCGTCCGGCGGCGCCACCGGCCGGATCGACTTGACCACCGAGTACTGGGCCAGCAGCTCCCTGGTGATGTTGTACTTCTCCGTGTACCGGCCACCCTCGGTCAGCACCGCGTCGTAGTCTGCGGGGGGCGGAGGGGGGGGGCGGCCATCGGAACATCCAGCTTTGGTTGTTGATTTTTATTTCAAAGGGAGCTCCCACTTCCGGAACACTGCAAATGCTACTTCGCAATAAAAGTATAAATCATTGACAACAGCGGGGTTTTAATGCATTTTTACTGAATCACAATCAACTATTGGCGCATAACAAGATATAAAGGATATTCACCTTACGGATAGTATTTTTATTATCAATCGAAGTAATTTGTAAGTACATAATGGTGAGTACCGACGCGTTAATATCGTATTGACGCAGCGTCCCTACTGGTAATCGCCTGTGTGCGCGCACCGTAGCTAGTGGCGTCGGTCAGCAGGTACGGGCTGACGTCGACCTGGTTGGCGCCGGCCAGAAAGCCGAAGTTGGTTCCACCCTGGAACATGTACATGTTGACCGAGCAGCCACTGCGCAGGATCGTCTCCAGAACATCGCGAAACTCTGAGAAATGACACCCTGTGGTCAGTAGGAGTTGACGGACGTGAAATAAATCCACATCTCACGGCGCATATAGCACCGAATGTCACCAAGCCTCGTATTTTCGAGTCAAGCACGTCATACCTTTAACCACACGTGATTACAGCCAAACATAGGCGAATACAGATCGTTCGTGAAGGTTAATCGCCAAATAAGCGTTGACCCACCGTCCGAGGCGAGGCCGGCTTTGAAGGGGGCCAGCCAGTGGTCAAACCAGCCCGTCCAGAACTCCATCGCCAGCCGCGGACGGTCGGCCTGGAGCCGTCTCAGGGCCTCCAGCTGCGGCTCCGGGTCCTTCTGGAAGTTGGCCGTCTGCAGAACTGGAGACCAGAAACGGCTGCGTCACGGGAGAGGCTTCGTCATCACCCTGATTGGGTTTAATTACATCACGTGCCACTCTACAGTCTCTCACAATAACTCATCGCTCGAAAATGCGCTCGTAGTCTAAAAGTGTGATCAGAATAGCAAATATCAAATCGAAACAACTGATCAGTCTTCAACACCACTAGGTGTATCATTCCGCTTATTCTATTCATGAGTCTTGATATATCGTCCCGATTTTCACCAATTATGCAGGTATCGTTATTCGTTTCTATTTCTAGGTCACAATGCCGCTGTTATGCTTTTTTTAAACACCCTGTTGGTTAAAACGTGTTATCATTTTTTAACGGTGTATTATGGTTCATCCGTGTGCCGATGACCAGCAGTGCCCTCCACTCCCCCCGTCTGTTGTGCCATCCCCGTACCGCCGGGCAGGGCTCCCAGATCCGCCGAGTAGCGTGGCGAGTCGGAGGTGAAGAGCAGCTCCACCACACCGTTCAGCTCCAGCTGCTGCTTCACGTGCTCCAGGTACTTCAGGTCACGCGGAAAGTCGCCGTAACCGAAGGCACCGTATTCGTTCTCCACCTGACAGAATACTGGTAGTTAGATTTTAGAAATGGGTTTCACTCTTAATCTAACTGATTGCATGGATATCGAATTACAATAGTGAGCACGACTGACGACAGAAAATGACCACGTGAAGAGGTGATACACTTCACCAAATAATTTAAAAAATCCAATAAGTAGCGGCAAAGACAGTTTTGACACACTTCAGCGAATGATGTTGGCGAATGATGTTGAAATCCAAGACTAAGCCAAAAGCGACTCACTTATGATTTATAACGGTTCTGATATAGCGGTATAACGGTTCTGATATAGCGGTATAACGGTTCTGATATAGCGGTATAACGGTTCTGATATAGCGGTATAACGGTTCTGATATAGCGGTATACCGGTTCTGATATAGCGGTATACCGGTTCTGATATAGCGGTATAACGGTTCTGATATAGCGATATAACGGTTCTGATATAGCGATATAACGGTTCTGATATAGCGGTATAACGGTTCTGATATAGCGATATAACGGTTCTGATATAGCGGTATACCGGTTCTGATATAGCGGTATACCGGTTCTGATATAGCGGTATAACGGTTCTGATATAGCGATATAACGGTTCTGATATAGCGGTATACCGGTTCTGATATAGCGGTATAACGGTTCTGATATAGCGGTATAACGGTTCTGATATAGCGATATAACGGTTCTGATATAGCGATATAACGGTTCTGATATAGCGGTATAACGGTTCTGATATAGCGATATAACGGTTCTGATATAGCGGTATACCGGTTCTGATATAGCGGTATAACGGTTCTGATATAGCGGTATAACGGTTCTGATATAGCGATATAACGGTTCTGATATAGCGGTATACCGGTTCTGATATAGCGGTATAACGGTTCTGATATAGCGGTATACCGGTTCTGATATAGCGGTATACCGGTTCTGATATAGCGGTATAACGGTTCTGATATAGCGGTATACCGGTTCTGATATAGCGGTATAACGGTTCTGATATAGCGGTATACCGGTTCTGATATAGCGGTATACCGGTTCTGATATAGCGGTATAACGGTTCTGATATAGCGGTATACCGGTTCTGATATAGCGGTATAACGGTTCTGATATAGCGATATAACGGTTCTGATATAGCGGTATACCGGTTCTGATATAGCGGTATAACGGTTCTGATATAGCGGTATACCGGTTCTGATATAGCGGTATAACGGTTCTGATATAGCGGTATACCGGTTCTGATATAGCGGTATAACGGTTCTGATATAGCGGTATACCGATTCTGATATAGCGGTATAACGGTTCTGCTGTGTGTCGTGCCGGAACGGGTTCTCAGCGTCCGTCGATCTAATTATCGATCTCCGGCAGGCATATTGTTACAAATGGATAAGTCGGACTTTGACATTCGTACTAAATCAACTGTCGGGTACATCATGCGAGTACGGTTCACGATCGCGACATAAGCCAATAACCGACTCTGCACCAGATTATAAGAAAATAAGCCCACCTGCACAGCGATGATAGATCCCCCGCGGGTGAACTGAAGGCCGGCGACGCGGGGTAGCAGCTCTGCCAGCCACTTCCTCTCCCGATCCATATAGTACTCGTCGGAAGATCGCACATGAATGTTGTACTTGCGGAGAAGATAACTGCAATCATGAGTATGTAGTTGGGACATGACGCATGAAAAGAGCTTCCTTTAACAACATACGAATTCGTACAATTAAATTTCGTTTCATTTACGGTGGCGGTTCTCAAATATCCATTTTTATCATGCCAAAAGAACAAATAACTACGTCGCATGGCTAGTGGCACGCAGCTGATATGACGAGACTTCTGAGAGCAGATGATATCTACTATTATAAATCTTAAAAAGTCCGCCGCCGCCCACGCCGCCGTCGGGGTTACTCCCAAAAAGCCTTATTGCGGCGCCGTCGGTGGACGCAGGAAAATGAAATTTTGACGACTCGTGGGTCACGCCATTCAACAGGTCGTATAAAATTTTGGGCACGATGCGGCCCGGGGTGCGCCCGTGGCGCGTGCTCATGTGCGCCATAGGGTTAACATTAAAAACGGCAAAACAGGCTATTGCTCGGAAACGGTGAGGGCCACGGGGGTTAGATTTTCACGCCAAGTCGAGCGCGTGCACTCATTTGTCGTATTAAATTTTCGACGGTGTGGGTTCAGCGGTGTGCACGTGGTGGGGCCGCGACCGGCGCCGAGCAAAAGGCTCGTCTACTATTATAAATCCTAAAAAGTCCGCCGCCCACGCCGCCGTCGGGGTTACTCCCTAAAAGGCTTATTAAGGCGCCGTCGATTCATGCAGGAGGGTGAAATTTTCACGACTCGTGGGTCACGTCAAAAAACAGGTCGTATTAAATTTTGGGCACGATGCGGCCGGGGGTGCGCCCGTGGCGCGTGCTCATGTGCGCCATAGGGTTAGCATTAGAATCGGCATAAACACTTATTAAACAGGCTATTGCTCGGAAACGGTGAGGGCTACGGGGGTGAAATTTTCACGCCAAGTCGAGCGCGTGCACTCATTTGTCGTATTAAATTTTCGAGGGTGTGGGTTCAGCGGTGTGCACGTGATAGGGCCGCGACCGGCGCCGAGCAGAGGGCACGTGCTTTAGGCTCAGTTGTTCGCTTGCAAAACTGAGTGAAAAGCATCAGAGCCGGGAGGTCATTGACCTTTGACAACGAAGGCCGACACAAGGCACCGCTCGCCAAGGGGATTCGCCAGTAAATACAATTATGTAAATAGAGTGAATAACCTTATGCTCATGTTATATGTTGCAAATTGATATAATTAAAACTAAATTGATATATTTCGATATTGCACCGTCATCAGAATAATGATTATTATGAATAATGTTGATTATCAGAATAATGTTTATTCTGATGACGGTGCAATATCGAAATATATCAATTTAGTTTTAATTATATCAATTTGCAACATATAACATGAGCATAAGGTTATTCACTCTATTTACATTATTAATCATGCTCAGAAATACCATAGCTTACCTCCAAGAAGTTAAATACAATTAATTTGTTTTTGCAATATCTCAGCCGTTTCTGGGCCGATTTAGCTGAAACTTGGACTGTCGGTGGTAGTGTAGTGTAGGGTATGATAGGGTAGGGTAGGGTAGGTTAGGGTAGTGTAGGAGTAGGGTAGGGTAGGGTAGGGTAGGGTATAGGGTAGGGTAAGGGTAGGGTAGGGTATAGGGTAGGGTAAGGGTAGGGTAGGGTAGTGTAAGGGTAGGGTAGGGTAGAGTAGGGTAGGGTAGGGTAGGGTAGATTAGGATGGTGTAGGGGTAGGGTAGGGTAGGGTAGGGTAGGGTAGGGTAGTGTAGTGTAGGGTAGGGTAGGGTAGGGTAGGGTACGGTAGTGTAGGGTAGGGTAGTGTAAGTGTAGGGTAGGGTAGGGTAGGGTAGGGTAGGGTAGGGTAGGGTAGGGGTAGGGGTAGGGTAGGGTAGTGTAGGGATAGGGGTAGGGTATGGTAGGGTAGGGTAGGGTAGGGTTGAATTGAGTAACATCCTAACCTACAAAGGGCTCGAAGAACTCGCAAGTCGCATGCATCACCATCATATTTTACAGTTCAATTAAAAGCAGTTACCCAGTTCTTCACAAATAATACCAATAAAAATGCAAGTTTCTACACCCAAACTAATGCATCCGTTAATCATACATATCAAAACATACAGTTATCGCGTAAACCTGTACCTCTAGTTATTTATAAAGGGCACAAACATCATGTTGATGTATACCTACCTGGGCAGGCCGCCAAAGTCCCACTCTGAGCATATGTACGGCCCGGGTCTCAGGATGACGAAAAGATCCTCCTCCTGAGCGATACGCAGGTATCCTGCGGCGGTATGGAGAAGCGCTTTTCAGAGTCGCTGCGACAAACGACAGGTCTGCATTTAATCGTTCATTAGTTACCACAATATCTATGGGTACTGAAAGCACAGAAATAGGTACAATTTTTCGCCGTTTTTGGAACTAAACGTATAATGCGTTTGGTTGATTTAATGTTAAATTTTCCGATTTAACCCTCGCATGTGTAGGGGGGGGAGGGTCGGATGGACCCCCCATGGTTTTTCGCAAATAACTCGCGTAAAAAGCGGCCGATGGCAACGAAACTTTCAGTACCCTCGCATTGATCAATTTTACACCTATCCTGAAAATTTCATGACCCTGACCCAAATGACCTTTGACCTGTGACCTCTTTTCCGAGACCATGTTTGGCCGGAATCGCGATTCCGCGTATGTCGCCTCGCATTAGCCGCGCGTTTGCAAGCTTTTCGTGGTTTCAAACGTTCAAACATATGATTTGATGTTGCTCCCATGGATTAGGGTGGGTGTCAAGGTCACCTGAAGGTCAGGTCAGGTCATTGACCTTTGGTGACCTCGGGTGACCTCGGTTCACTTTTTCGAGTTTTACATGTTTCTAGGCTAGTTTTTGGAGCTGAATTCGAATTTAGCAACCATTTGAACATTTACGAAGTAGTTTTGGTGCCTTCGTAACATGTTTCGAAGCTGTCAGAGGCGGTTGACAGGTACTACGAACACCCGTCACAACCCCTACTGGTTGACCTGACCTGACCTGACCCGACCTGGTCTAAATGCTTAAAGACATCATCTGTGATCAAAACTAACACGATATTCGTGATCAGCACCCCGAAAACCCCTTAGCAGCCACACTTTACGACTTTCTAATAGGTCCCGATTTTCCCGACTTTGGGTCATTGACCTGACCTGGAATGTCAACCAATGACCTAGGACCTTAAAATTGGGTATCATCGGCTTCCTCTCGTCACGGGCAACACGCTCGTTTTTCCGCGAAGCTCTAGGCTCGATCAGGGGCCAAACGGCAAGGGGGAGGGGGTCCCGACCCCCCCCCCCCCCTACACATTAGAAGCTGGCAAACGCCGCACACATGCGAGGGTTAAGTTTCCCACAATTAATGAACATTTTCAATTGAGAATGTTCTATATTTTACGATGCAATAAAATTTAAACGTTCACACACGTATCTAGCAGAGGATAGAGGATGCTCCAGAAACGGACAAACACATTGGTAAGTGAAGTATGGACACACAAACAGCCTATAGCTGCCCACACGGACCTGGCAGGTCGAGGAAGTCGGACATGTCGTTCCCTCCGTCTCCAAAGTCGTACACGTCGACTCGCGGCTCGTGCAGGTTCCAGGCGACGTACGTCTCGACCGTGTTGAGTCCGGCGGCTCGCAGTTTGCGCAGCGTGGTGCGCCAGTACGCCGGGTGGATCCGGAAATAGTGCACGGCGCCGCTGAAAATCTAACAGAGACCGCGACAGGACAGACGGGTGAGGTGTGATGACCGCTGCAGGTCGTTAGGCCTCATTAGCGGTGACAGCGGCTCCAGCGACGGGGGTTCTGAGACAGGCAGCCGAGCTAAGGAGGCCTCGCGTGTACGGGAGTAGGTAAGTACACGGGAATAGATATGGAGATACCTCCGCAGATAGGGGTAAAGAGAGATACCTCCGTCTCGGCTGACCATAATCCGGCCCATCCCCTAGCTCCGTCGGCTGTCACCCCTGGCCCAGCTTTGTCCGCCAGTAAACACACAGGTCGTTCAGGCGAGGGTCACAGATACCATGCACCAGCACGGCTGACGGTTTGTTTACAGTGTGAAAGGTCAGGTGAAAGGCCAACTATGCCGGCACACCACTCAAATGGCATCGAACGCCAACAAACCATATTTATCTCTGTGACTATGCCCGTATAAAAATATAACATCTGGCAGAAACAGTACGTCCAACATGTCGCAAGCTGCAATTTAAACAAGCCTTCTTAACCGTCTAAGCCGTCTTAGAGTTAACCCGCGCCCCGTAGCCCGTAGGGCTATCGGCGGACTCTACCACCCGTAAGGGGGGGGGGGCGTTTTGGCCCCCCTAAGATCTCGGAAATTTATCAGCCGAATTTCAAAATTCAAACGGTGTTCGATAGCTCCACCCGGGAACTACCTTGTGATTTCATTGACCTAGGTCAAACCGATGACGTCACGGGTCAGGTCAAAGGTCGGATTTTCACCGTTTACAGGCATTTCAAGAAATGTGTTGTGAAATCGAGTAAATTGGTGAGTTATTGAAAACCATCGATGGTTCATGGTACATTGTCCGTCAAACATATATTTTGCTATCTTAGGTCACTGATACCAGGTCAGGTCACAGAGGTCAGGTCACTGGGGGTCAAAATATGAAAGTGTCGTGTGATGCATGTTTTATGGTTCATTTTACATGACAAATGCGATTATGTGGATCGGGCAGCCTTTGAGGCCAGCTTAGGTAACGTTCTGGTGAAGGTCAGGTCAAGGTCAGGTCAAATTAGTTCAATTTTCAAAGTTGATATTTTTTGATATAATGGGTATCGATTCGATGCAGCTCGTCACGGGGAGTCTAATGGTGGTCTTTGTTTTGCCCTGCATGGTCTAGAATTGCCAAAAATTGAGTTTGAAAAATTTACGTCATCATTTTTGAACAGTTTTTCTCGCTATAACTTGGCCAAAAAAAGAGGTATCGATCTGAAATTTGGTATGTAGATAGAAGATGGAAGATACTTTGATATATATTCCATTTTTTGAAACTCAAAACACTTTATGGATTTTTTGTCTAATATATACATAAATACTTTTTTATTTTGGGGGGTCAAAATTAAAAAAATCCGAGATAGCAGTTTTGTAGCCCTATTAATTCTACACCTTTTATGTCTGGATCATTTTTCTGTATTTTCAAAGCTGATAGGCCTGACAGCTTCTCGCGAAGCTCTTTTTTCGGTCGAAAATGGCAGAACATGACGTCACTTCTGACGTCGTTTGTGGCCAACTTATCCTAGCCTCTGGAAAAATTTGGTCACAATGTGTAAAATTGATGCCCGGAGGGGTCCTGAAAGTTTGGTGGCGATATCTGCTGTTGTTTAGGAGATATCGACGGAAAAGGACAAGGGGGCGTTTCTGCCCACCCCCTACGGGGCGCGGGTTAACAGTTGTGTTAACTCTATGTTAGTTAACGACTGTTAAAAAGTTGAAGTAAATACGCGTACCGTAATAGCTATCCGGCAAATGACGGCCATGCAGGTGAAATTGTGACAAATATTGTAAGGGCCGGCTAACCTGGAACTGCTGTCCGTTGAGTGTGAAGTAGTCTCCCTGTGCCACGAGTCCCTCGGCGGGCTGGCCGCCGGGAGCGTAGTACTGGTACCAGGTGAGATCCTCGGCTGGCGCCGAGTCGGCCCGCCGCCGGCCAGACTCCATCGTGGAGCTCTGCAGATCGTGGAGCACACCCGTGGTCAGAACACCGAACACAAACGTGGTCAGAGCACAGAACACACCCGTGGTCAGAGCACCGAACACACCGGGGCTAGTGACGAGACTCTACGTACTTAGTAGGTACTTACATACAGGCTCTGGCGCCGGAACACAGCCGTGATCAGGACACAGGACACAGAACACAGCTGTGGTGAGAGCACAGCACACCAGTTAGCGCAGCGCGGTTCCCAGACGCCCCGGTCTGGGCGGACTCACCATCGTAAACACACTGCTCTGTCCGGGACAGGGAGCGAGTCAAGGTCCTCTTTCTGGCGCGACCAGGAGCGCGCTGTAAGGACCACTGAGGGAAGACGCACTGACGCGAGGGCAAGGGTTAAGCGAGGATTAACCCTCGCATGTGTGCGGCGTTTGCCAGCTCATGTGTAGGGGGGTCGGTTGGACCCCCCTTGCCGTTTGGCCCCTGATCCAGCTAGAGCTTCGCGGAAAAAAACGAGCGTGTTGCCCATGACGAGCGAAGCTGATGATACCCAATCTTAAGGTCCTAGGTCATTGGTTGACCTTCCAGGTCAGGTCAATGACCCAAAGTCGGGAAAATCGGGACCTGTTAGAAAGTCGTAAAGTGTGTTGCTAAGGGGTTTTTCGGGAGTCTGATCACGAATATCGTGTTAGTTTTGATCACAGATGATGTCTAAGCATTTAGACCAGGTCGGGTCAGGTCAGGTCAGGTCAACCGGTAGGGGTCGGGACGGGTATTCGTAGTACATGTCATCCGCCTCTGACCGCTTCGTAACATGTTACAAAGGTACCAAAACTACTTCGTTAATGTTCAAATGGTTGCTAAATTCGAATTCAACTCCAAAAACTAGCCTAGAAACATGTAAAGCTCGAAAAAGTGAACCGAGGTCACCAAAGGTCAATGACCTGACCTGACCTTCAGGTACCTTGACATCCACCCAAACACATGGGAGCAACATCAAATCTCATGTTTGAGCGTTTGAAACCACGAGAAGCTTGCAAACGCGCGGCTAATGCGAGCCGACATATACGAGTATAATACGCCGAATCGCGATTCCGGCCAAACATGGCCTCAAGAAATAGGTCACAGGTCAAAGGTCACTTGGGTCAGGGTCATGAAATTTTCAGAGTAGGTGTAAAATTGATCAATTCGAGGGTACTGAAAGTTTCGTCGCGATCGGCCGCTTTTTACGAGAGTTACTCGCGAAAAACCGAGGGGGGTCCGTTCGACCCCCCCCCCCCAATGTATACGGGCGAGGGCACCCCAACCATTTTCACAAATCGACACCCCTCGAAGCAGATCATAATTTACAAGTTAACTGTGAAGTGTACCTACATACATTTGAAGGATTCCCATGCATGTCATGAACGTCTATCAGGCCTATCAAAGTTTTCCTGAGTTCATTGCTCATATTGAATACCACATGAAGGTTACGGGTGGGTATCTTATCAAATTAAACGTTGAGAGCCGCGCATTACCGACGATTCAGTTGAGCAAGTTGGTAGTCTGACGTTCAAATAGTGCCGAGAGAAGTTCATTTGAAACTTGGGCGTCTCATCACTACACGTGACCTAAGTCTTCTGAGCTGGGAATAAATTCAGCACGCCAGTGAGCAAACACGCGAGCAGCCCAGAGGGTCCGTACTAGGGCCACCTGGCTGGCCCCGGGTCGGATATTTGCATCACAAATACACTTTTTCTAACTAATGTGGAATTAATGAATGAATCATAAACGCAACGCGGTCTGATGGGGGGGGGACATTTTGCCCCCCCCCCAAGATCTCGAGAACCACGCAACATAGCAACAGCGGAAAACGGCGTTGGATAGCCCCAACGGGGAATTACCTTGTGACCCAACTTCATTGACCCCGGTCTAACCAATGACGTCACAGCCCACAGGTCAGGTCAAATGTCGAATTTTCACCGTTTACAGGCATTTCAAGAAATGCGTTGTAAAATCGAGTAAAATGCATGTCCTTGAAAACAAAAAATCATCGATTGGGCATTGTCCGTTAAACATATTTTGCTATTTGAGGTTACTGATACCAGGTCAGGTCACAGAAGTCAGGTCACTGAGGGTCAAAATATGAAAATATCATGTGATGCATGTTTTATGATTCATTTTACACGACAAATGCGATTATGTGGATCAGGCAGCCTTTCGGGCCAGTTTAGGTTATGTTCTGCAGTGAAGGTCAGGTCAAGGTTAGATCAAATAAGGTCAAATTTCATACTTGATATTGTTGCATAAAATGGATATCGATTCGATGCAGCTCGTCACGGGGAGTCTAACGGTGGTCTGTGTTTTGCGCTACGAGAAAAACTCTCCATACCTATAGTTCGTTTTTTTTTTCTTCAAAAGGAAGCTGGCTCAAAGTTCCATATTATATAAGGAGGGTAAGAAATTGAAATTCCATCTACTTGAGATAGTCTCGACTAAAGCGCTTGGAACAGTGCCATAGACTAAGAAAAGTGTCGTAAGAAGTAGGAAACGATAGGCTCCGAAAGGGCACATTTCGTGATCCTCCCCGATACCCGGTAGGTATGCATGAATGGCTCTTCCCAATATCCCGCAGGTATATTCATTTGGCAGGCCTCCCCGATATTTGGGAGGTATCTTCCGTAACGCTGCCTGATATCCGGTAGGTATACTCACCAGTAACCACTCACCTCCCACTTTCCGGGAAGGGTATACCTAATGAATCCAATTCAGTATAATGTATTAGCGAAAAAATATGGTTAAGCATCGGCTAATTACGGAGCGAGCGAAGCGAGCGTAGTCTTTCCTTAGATTAACGGAAATTTCTGAGTATGAGCGGCCGGCCGGCCGTGCGGACGCTTTTGCGAGGCTTATATCTCAGCAACCACTTGACCGATTTACACGCGGTAATTTTTGTAGGGTAGCTTCATTCCTTCTACCAAGTATTGGACTATTCCCGATGCATGTGGGTGACCCCTTATGCACGTGCCACGTGCGAAACGAAGAGGTGTCAGTTTTGTAATTGTTGCAATATCTCGGTAACTACTTGGCCGATTGCGCTGAAAGTTGGCATGTAGGTAGGCACCCACTAGGCACTGCATATCCATGTGCCAGAGTTGGGGTGCTGCTGCACGTGCGCACGTGCAGGGGTCGTTTCCAGATCTCGAGAACGGCTGGACCGATTGCGCTCAAATTTGGTACACGGTTAGGGACCAGTTAGTAGGGTGCCGTGCACAAGTCAGTTGGGACCCATTTTGCACGTGCGCACGTGCAGGGTGCCGCTTACAGATCTCGAGAACGGCTGGGCCGATTGTGCTCAAATTTGGCACATCGCTAGAGACCGGTTAGTATGGTGCCGTGCACAAGTCAGTTGGAGGTACCCCCTCGAAATTTCGCACGTGCAAGGCCCACCCTCTCGCTCGCTCCGTTAGTCGCCCCAAAAGGCGTTATACTGGTAACGAACTCTGGCATGACAATGATTGTCAAAAGCAGCTCCCGAGCTGTTACACCGCTGCAGTAGTTGGCGAGCAGGCTGTTGAACTGTCCAGTCTGACAGTGCGGAGCAGCCGCGCCCGCTGGCTAGCGCTCCTCCTCGCGCATCCAGTACAGGACGGCGCCGGAATGTTCCGCTTCCTTTTCCATCCAGGGAGCATTGTTCCAGTGGTAGTCGTCGCTCAGCCGACTGGTGGCCAGAGTGCCCCAGCCGAACTCACCGTCTGGGGCACTGGTGGTGAGCACTACGTCTGTTCCGCCTCTCAGCCACGGCATCCTCTTCTCGATGCCCCTCTCACTGTACTCCCAGCTGTCGAAGCGGGTGATGAGCTCCACATCGGTCTGGTTGCCCGTCTCGTCCACAAAGCTGTAGTGGCGCGGAGCGGACCACACGCCGCCCCAGTGCCGGCGGCCCCGCTCCGCCGCCTGCGCCTCGATCCGGTAGGCGAACCGGGAGCTGTTGCCCAGGTCTCGGATGGCGTCGGCGTGCCGCAGGATCGAGTAGGGCCCGATGAGTGAGGGCGATAGGGGGTTATAACTGAGAATAAACAACATGTCCCAGTTATTCCTTCGTTTTGAGGCGAACAGCAGCGTCCAGCCGCCGCCGTCGTGGCTGAAGTCGCACATCACCGGCACCGGCATCCCGGTGAACCAGTAGACGCCGTCCTGTGGCGCGCCGCCTTGGTTCCGCAGCTGCAGACAGGAGCGGGCGCAGGCCGTGGCGCTCCCGCTCGGCTGGATGTAATCTCTCCCCACGTTTACTGGCAGTGCCAAAGGCCACCTCTCACATTTCGCCTCCGTAACCAATGCAGCCCCCAGCCGTCCCAGTAGCCGGGCCATGATGGCCGACTGCATGTCATCCGCCGGCTGCTGGTCGTCATCCGCCGGGGAGCGGTGAACGCCTGCCACCAGCAGGACCACGAGGCTGACGATCCGGCGGCCGGCCATGTCGGCTCAGAGCTGCCGCAGATATTCGACGGCAGCGACGGCTTCAACAGCGCGGCTCTGCTGAGGCCGGCGATTGGGGCGCACCGGTCGCCGTCTGTCGACCCGGCCGCCACTGTGCTTCTGGCCACATAGAGCCGGGCTTATATTGATATGAGCTGTCGCCTGAACTATACGGTCACACAGTGAACTTTAAAATCCGATTTGTTTATTGTTTATGTGACATGGAAGTCTCGCAACTCTGGTTGGCAGCTTGGGACATTAAATACCGTCATCCACCAGCCAACAGCTATAGCTATTGACCGCCGAAGCCCAAGTAGCATACCTATACTGGGGCAATGAATGTCCTCATTGTGCCCTCACTTTTGTCACTACTTTTGACACTTTCGGATGCCGTTTACCATGTGTCGCTACGTGGACCAGGAGCCGAGTTAGAGGGAGGGAATCAACCAACACCCCCGGCCCGGCCCGGTTGACGCTGAGCACCTGCCGCGGATTGAAACAGCCATAATGTTTTTTATGTAATATCCTTTTGACGGCACTGTTTCCCTCGCCGAGACGTGTCGAATGAACTATACTCTGACGTTAAAGTCATCTTGAAAGTTTGACCTTAGTCCAAGGTCATGACCTGACCGGAAAAGGTCATGTTGCATATCAGTCGATCCGTACCGTAGACCTTAACAAAACTAAAGCGTTTTCAGCACCCTAGCAAGTAGCATGTCTCTATAAAAAGTTACTGTCAAAAACTGCTGGAGACCTTTCATGACCTGCAATGACCTCAGGGGCATAAAGAGGGGTCACGGGTAGGTACAATTTTCCCGTTCGGTGTGTCATACTCACCTGTAACCCGTTGCTTGAGAGTATTTAAAATGACGATCGTCCAAAAGAGACGCCTTTCATTTTCCTCCCATTGCATTGACTTGGGTATACCTGCCTAATCGAGGGCGTATAGCTGACCTGACCTTAAGTCACCGGTATCAAAATTCCGAGAACATGTTGTGCCTACTACCTATTATTGTCACTCTTATCAAGCACTGGAAGTAATTCAAAGCGATCGTTCAGTCGGTCCTGGTGATCTGACCTCTGCTTCTGAAATTAAAAAAAAGTGCATAACAAGTGTGCCGAAAACGCGGTGGCACTCTGCGACACCGATTTTTAGATATCTGCGAAAAACCGTAGGGGGTGTTCAACCACCCCCTGGCACGGCGCGGGTTTAGATAATACGATAATACCTACCTACTTATAAAACTCCAAAGCCTAAACATTCTCTGTATTTACTGCTGAAGAAAACGAACTTTATGAAAAACCGTCGGTCGAGGGGTCACAGGTAAAGGGCCATTTGGTCAGCAGGGTAATGCAATATTCAGGGATGTATGATTATCTCGATGGTACTGAATGGTCTGAGCGTTTCGCTGTGATTCGCTGTTTTTCATGCCCGAGCTAATGAACCGATTCGCCAAACAACGTCGAAACCGTACACCTCTATTGACCTGAGCTGACTTTTGATCTTATTAAAATGACTGAGGTAACTTTCATTGTTTTATCGCATTTCCGAGCGCGCTCATCTCATCCCCTGTCGCAACTCGCAACGTGGCTATGGAGCCAAGAGGGGGACTGGGGAGGAGCGGGGAGGAGTCACTGACCTCACTGACGAACCGGCTCGAAATTGATTCGAAGTCCTCAAATACTTTTTCTCGCAAACAATGATTGTGAAATACCGACAGAAAGTTGCATTTTTAATGCTCAGTGCTTTCTCCTATATGCGTCGACCGCAATATTGGCCAATAAATCTATCAAATTATGACGCAAGATTAAATGAGAAACCAGAACATTTTAATTAGTAGTCGACTACTCACAATAAGAGTGACGCATCTGCTACAGACAGCGCGTTGGCTATTCGCTTATGCCTTCGCTTGTCGAAATAAGCTGTTTCCGAAGAAACAGATAACCAATCAGTGAAAAGATTGCAGAAGCGGCAAAGCGTGCTCCAATTAGAGGCAAGGATGACCTGCTTGCGGATTGTGTTGTCGCTTACAATAAATCAGGAGGAGTTGTAAATTGCAAAACCTTCACATACAGAGCATAGTGCACTGTGAGGAGTAGAAATGGGGCGTTGTTTTTCTTTGGTAATTTTTGGATTTAATAAAATAGCAACGAGATAGAGGATTCTGAGAGATAAGCAAGGTGAGTGATGGTATGATATTACAGTGCCATTGTTTCTCGGCTTTTTAGCTAAGATCAAGGTGTAGATACCCAAGCTGTCATCGAGTTCTCTACCTATATACCAATACCGTGGGTGTCATAACATGCTTTATTGCCTGCACTATCTGGGCCCTGTTTCACCGGTGATAGCAGCACGCTACTATCAAATTGCATGAGCTGACATAATGTGATGAGCCATGAGGTCACACTAAATGACGTTTCTTGTAATCCGTGAGCTGCATTTGGAACAGAGGTGCTGTCTCATTGAATGCGTTTGATAACATTTGTTTGATCGCACGGCCGTGAAGATGTTAGCAGCAATATTTGATGACATCACACAGATTGATGGCGTCATGGTTTGCTGATGTTTCCATGGAAACCCAATTTGACACGTGCAATAGCAGCATGCTGCTATCACCAGTGAAGTGAAACTGGGCCCGGTGCGGTCTCCACTCTCCGACCCCACTGACCCGGGTATTTGCACACCAATTGAAGCCGATTGGCTGGGATAGACATGCCTTTGGCTGACTGCCTTTTCTTTTACCAAGCAATCATCAAAACATGCTTTATTATGGTACAATATTACAGTTCCCTTAAAATTTGTTTGGTGCTTGATGACCTGACTGGAAAAAATGCCTCCACTACGCTGAAGTTCTCGGCGGAGGTGATGCGCCGAAATTTCGGCGCAAGGGTTTATGCGCCGAAATTATTTTACCAAGCCATGCTTCATGCGCCAAAAATTTTCAAGGCTTACTGATGGCTGCAGGCTGTAGCCACGCACTTTTCGTCGAGGGGGGGGGGCTGGCATGTGTGTGTGGCTGTCTTCCAGTGACTACTGTACAGACGGTTGTTGGCACGGTCGACGGGATCGGGCAGACAATAGACATCAGCAGGCCATGCGGGACCGAGCACCAGCGTTCGCTATCACAAAATCTCCTGACTCACAAACTCACTGGCATGTTCCATAATGTAACCTTTATTTTGTTGCCCGGCTCTGATCAGCAGTAGTGCCCAACCGGTGACTGACGCCTGACGGGGCCTTCAACAGGCGTGGTGCAAGCACGGCCGATGGGATCGGGCAGATACCAGGCCACGCGGGACCGATTGCCAGCGTCCGCTCGCAAACCACACGCCGGAAATACAGGAATCACAACGGTCAATACGCACACGATAGCATACGTTATCTGAACAAGGGAATCCGACAATCCATAACCTCACTCTCGACCGGTGAACTGTTCCCGCCGTGGGAGAGTCACAATCAGGTTCACTGAACATGACTTAAATACCCTGAGACGAACACGAGACAAGATAAGTGATATTTAAGATGTTTAACTCCCGAAGACATTTAATCCTCGCCGGCCGAGGGGGGGTTGGTGCCACCCCCCTGACGGTTTTTTTCGCGATTTACGCCGAAGTACGCCGAAAATTTCGGCGCAAGCCGTCGATTTACGCCGAAGTACGCCGAAAATTTTCGGCGCAAACGCCCAACTACGCTCGAGTTCTCGACGAAAGCGTGCATTTTTTCCAGTCGGGCTTGATGAAGGTGCGATATTGAGACAAACCCCCGAACACTGCCATTCAGCTAATTTTAATATTAATATGAAGGGACTGACTGTGACTGGAGACCATATAAAATAAATGACAGTCTTGCACCTTATACTTATGTCATTTAAGGTCTAGGTTTGCAATTTGAAGTAGGTAGCATTTCAGCGCAACCTAAAGGGTTCAAGTTAACACTGGGTGTGCACAGTAGATATGTTTTAGAACTTAGATTAAGCAATAGAAGCTCTTTGCAAAGACATTTTGATTTATGAAATATTTTTATTATCATTATAAATTTGCCCTAACCTTTTTAATGGAGGGATACCCAATTACAAGGTTTAATCGTTCTGTTCTCAATATGTGGGGGTCAGTACCTATATGTGTAAATTATGGTGAAGATAAAAACAATCAAACCTCACTCAAGTTAGGTTAGGTTAGGTATATACGGAAAAGAAAGGTCCTGAGGGACCTGGGTGATTTCCGATCAGTGGCATTTCAATGTCTTCTTAGTTCCGTCTTGTTCTCGGTGACTTCGTTTCCTACTCGTCAAGCGTCTTCTTCACTGCCTTGGTCTCAGTTCGTAGACTCGGTGCGCCCAGAACTTGTCAAGTCGATTCTTGAAGGCGTTGACGCTTGGGGCAGATACAACGTCCGCTGGGAGTCCATTCCAGGCCGAGATGACGCGCGAACAGAAGGAGACTTGACGCAGCTGGGTGTTGACTCTGGGCTGTCTCAGTTTCAGGCCGTGGTTCCTCGTTCTCTGGGACGGTTCTCGTTCCAGCAGGTCACCAGCTGTCACCTTCAGGCGTCCCGTCAACATCAGATACACTGTGATGACATCACCCCTCAGCCTCCTGTAGTACATGCTGGGGAGCTTCAGTTCCCTGAGCCTGTCCTGGTACTCGAGATGTCGCACGGAGTGGACGAACCTTGTCGCTCTCCTCTGCACCCTCTCCACGGCGTCTTGATCACCTCTGGACGTCGGTCCCCAGACTGAGTTGGCGTATTCTAGATGGGGCCTCACCATGGTCTTGAAGAGGATGGGCAGTGTAGTCTTGTCCAGTGACAGGAATGTGCGCTTGATGAGTCCAAGAATCCTGTTGGCGCGTCCCACTGCTGCTGCTGTCTGCTCATGGAACTTGAGGGTATCATCAACGAGCACCCCGAGGTCCTTCTCCTTCTTGACAACGGTCAGCTCAGTCTCGGCCATCCGGTACTCGAAACCAGGGTTTGTGCTCCCCAAGTGCATGACTTTGCACTTACTCCTGTTAAAGGGGAGCTGCCACACAGCTGACCAAGCCTCCAGTGCTGATATGTCGTCCTGGAGAAGACCTCTGTCAATGTCACTGGACACCCTCCTGTACACCTTGGCGTCATCTGCGAACAGCTTGACGGTGCTGCTGATGGCGTCCGGTAGGTCGTTGATAAATAACAGGAATAAGACAGGTCCCAGGACAGACCCCTGCGGGATCCCGCTGATGACATCAGTCCACTCTGAGAAGTGACCCTCAACAGCAACACGCTGTCTCCTGTTACCGAGAAAGGCCTGAAACCAGTGTAACAAGGGCCCATCAACTCCGCAAGCCTTCAGCTTCAGCAGGAGCCTCCTGTGCGGCACGCTGTCGAAGGCTTTGCGAAAGTCAAGATAAATGACATCCACAGCACTGCGCTCGTCAACAGTTCTCAGCCAGTCTTCAATTACCACCAGCAGCTGCAGTGCACAGGATCGTCCAGGTAGAAACCCAAACTGGTGCTCAGACAGTACGTTCTCCGTTATCAGGTGATCCAGCAGAGCGTCCCTTACAAAAGACTCCAGCACCTTGCAGCAGATGGAGGTTAAGCTCACTGGGCGGTAGTTTCCAGGCAGACTCCGGTCACCAGCCTTAAAGATGGGCGCGATATTTGCAGCTCTCCAATCCGCCGGGAGCTCTGCGGAGTCCAGCGATTTCTGGAAGATTGTCTTCAGGAGGTGGCTTAGTGGGCTCGCCAGTTCCTTCAAGATCCGTGGGTGGAGCTCGTCTGGTCCTGGGGACTTGTTTATGTTCAGTGCCTCTAGTCTCTTCTTCACTTCTCGTGCAGATATCTCAACCTCAGTTAGTCTGGTACCGTTGAACCTGGAAGTAGCCTGTGGAGTATGTTGATCTTCAACAGTAAACACACCACTGAAGAAGTGACTGAGTGTCTCTGCCTTCTCTCTACCGCTGTGGGCTCTTGAGTTGTCCTCTCTCTTCAACTCTTCTACTCTCGCCTTCGTCTTGAGTTTAGACCTGACATACTTCCAAAAGCATTTAGGGTTCCTTGTGACATTCTTCGCCAGGTTGTTCTCATGTTGTCTTCTAAGTTTTCTTGACAGCTTCCTTAAGTCATTCTTTGCCCGTTTGAAATCCGCCAACGATCTTCCATCTCCAGAGCGGCGGTAGAGTCCATACAGATGGTCCTTCTTCCTCTTGGCTCGTATCAGCTTGTTGTTACTGTATGGTTGTCGCTTGTTCCTTACAGTCTTCATTGGTATGTACCTTGCTTCGAGACACTTTATCAATTCCTTTAGACAGTTCCAACCCTCTTCAACTCCTAGGTTCTGCACCCTGTGACTTATATCTGATGTTTCAATATCATGGGCCATGCTTTCAAAATCCGCATTTCTCATATCCTTCACAAGAGCACGCTTCGAACATACATCAGCATAACATCTTATCTTGAAAATCAAGCAGTCATGGTGGCTGTTTCCAATAGGTGGCCGGTGGTTCAGGTCCTGTATCATGCTCTCTTCTGACGTCAAGACCAGGTCCAAGAGACTTGGTGTTCGGTTGGGCATGAAGTGGGTTGGTGAACACACATGTTGACTCAAGAAGCAGTGCTGGATGGTTTGGATGAACTTGTGCGTGTAGTGCTGGTCTCCTGCAGTTGACATTCCCAGACTCCAGTCAATTTCTCTGTAGTTGAAATCGCCAACTAGTACAAGGTGACTTGGCTGGCTGTCACACACCTCCTCCAACAGGGTACACAGGGCCTCTGTGGATCTATGGCCGTCCCCGCTGGGGCTCCTGTACACAGCACCGAGCACTAACATGTCGCTGTTCCTCAACTTAAGCTTAACAAACACAGCTTCTTGAAAGAGACTGCCAAACTTGACCTCTGCTGGCCTTAGCTCACACCGTACCATGATTCCGACACCTCTTATGCTTAGCAGTCCCAAATTCTCTAGTTCCGGATCAAAGTTGAGATATGTTGTGTAGTCTTCTCCAACTGAAAAGAATGACAGTGACAGTGGTCTTCGTTGCGCTTTAGGTACACACTCAGTGAGGACCACTATATCCGGCTTATCATCTTCAATTCTCACCAACAGTTCATCCATCTTGTTTGGGAGCCCATCAATGTTAGTGTACATAACTTTTAAAACCTTAGGTAGGGGAGAGTGGGGCAAAGCGGCCACCCGGGGCAAAGCGGCCATCCATCGTTTTAGCCCTCCACAGCTGGCGTCAGTTCCAATTTATGATTTCCAATTATACTTCTCTTTGCGGTCGTTCGAATGAGCCAGACCGGGGTTTCAGGCCCATCGCCATTGTTCTGTGAAACACGGAAAAGCATTTCTTGCCAGGTTACCAATTATGTTTACAATTTTTAAATGTTATTTTATTCCATAACCGTTTGGAATTTTTATAAGCGTTTTTGTCCATGCATTGCGTGGTTATCGTACATGCCTTCTACCAATTTTAATGCTTTTTACCCCACTAATAGCTGAGCTGGAATATTTTTGTCTCGGACGGTATGCGCGGGGCAAAGCGGCCGGGGCAAAGTGGCCAGCCCCCAATTGGCCATAAGTTGTTTCCATCTGGATAAAAACATTATTTATATTCAAATGTGTCGTCATGCATTCATCTTGGCCACTTTTCGGTTACATGAGTTACCAAATTATGCAATTCAATGTTTTTCCAAGAAAATTCTTTCTTTGTTTAGCAATAGGTGGGAAGATAACAAAGTAAACATCCATCTTCCCTTAACCCGCGCGGGGCTGGGGGGGGGGTAAATTTTACCCCCCCTCGCGAATTTTTGCGATATCTCAAAAACGGCGGCGCGCCAAACTTTCAGTACCTTTTCTTACATCAATTTGACACGTTCCCTGAAAATTTGAGCGAAATCCGTCGGAAAATTTTTGAGAAATTGACGTTTTAGTGACGTCATGTTCGCCATTTTCGCCTCAAAAACGGCAAAAGTTCAAACGCCGCTAACATGTTCATTTTTAAAGGAATCAAGACGTAACAAAAAAGGTTATACGTCTTTTTACTTTGTCTATCAAATGGCTATCTCGGTTTTTTGAAAATTTTGGATTTTGGCCTAAATTTTTTCAAAAAACTGTCTTTTTTGGGAAAATCATTACAAAATCCAAAATTTTGAGTCTATCGAAAAAACCGGAATATATGTCAGAGAAGTAGTCTATGTGCACCTACATACCAAATTTTAGAAGAATCGGTTCAAAAATGTGGGAGTTATTCAAAATTTTATGACGTCACGACACACAAAATTTTTGAAAAATGACATTTTTGGAAGTTCTAGACCTCGTACGGAAACAAAAATAGCACCATTCGATTCGCCGTGAAAAACTGCATCAGATAGACACCTTTTTAGGCCTTAACAACCAACTTCAAAATTTGACCTCACTTGACCTGACCTTGACCTGACCTCGACCTGAAATTCATCCAGAGGTGGTCCATATCACTTATTGAGTGTGCCTATTGAATTCTATGAGTAAAATGACCCATAAAACATGTGTCGCACATGCCCTTTTCTATATTTTGTTTTTTGGTGACCTGACCTGACCTGACCTGACCTTGACCTTGACCTCTGAATGATGTTGTATGCAACGAATATTGTCTTGGTAGCCTAAGAACACGTTTTGGGCGATCAGTCTCAGTCCATGACTCCATTCTTCGGCAACTACGGTGCAAGGCCGATACTGTAGAAACTTGCAATTTGTACCCTTGACCTGACCTTGACCTTGACCTCAAACTTTAAATTAAGTACATGTTTTTAGTAGTTCGTGATGAGAGCTTTCGATTGGCGTTTGAATTTTCCAAATCGGACCATTAGTTTGGGAGATAACAGGGGGGGGGGGGTAAAATTTACCCCCCCCCCCAGCCCCGCGCGTTCGGCTGGAGACCCCAGCCCCGCGCGGGTTAAACCTTGTCACCATCAAATTCCCTAGTCGTGCATGAGGCAACTATTCTGTTTCTCGTATCGGGACTTGAGAAGTCGCCAGTGGCCGCTTTGCCTCAGGGATGGGGCAAAGTGGCCAATATGCTATAGGTTTAAAGTTTTGTCAATATCTCCCATATGTGAACGCCTTTGGAAATGAAACGCAGTTGGAATAAAAGACAATTTAATAGGGATCACATTGGTATAGAAAGAATCTTTCCAAGTTTAAAAATCAAGCGTCAGCATCGTTAGAAACGTTAGGGTGGCCGCTTTGCCCCACTCTCCCCTACCTCAGCATGCAACACGTCACCCAGGTTTGTGCCATTTACACACACATTCTGCATAGGTGCTGTGAAATTGTTGTCATGCAACATGGGACAGGCCACATTCACATTATCACTCCAGCATGCAGTTTGTAAAAGCGATTTGCAGGCAGCATGGGCAAGCTGGGCCCCATCCACACCTTCCATGCGAAGATATCCTAGCAATATGTCTTTTACTCTTTCATTTAGTCAGACTGTACTCCCGTGATCAGCTCGATCACTCTGTCCTGCCTCAGGGTTTGGCTGCAGAATAACGACCCTTCCTCTCTGTATACGGACAGTCTTTCCTTCCTCTCGGAGCCTCTTCGCCTCAAGTCGCAGCTTGCGGTCCTTCTCCCTCTCCTCAGGGGTCCTGTCCGGAGAGAGGAACACCCCTCGGTACCTCTCACTGTCTCGCAGCTGTGGAGCCATCCTCAGTATGTCCCACTTTGTCCCTTCTTCGACCAGTGAAACTATCAGTGGTCGTGGTCGATCCTGCTGCCTTTTCCCTGCCCTGAAGACCTGCTTGATGTTGGTTGAGATGTGCAGCTCTTCCCGGATCATATTCTTAAATGCCTCAATGTCCTTCTCAGTTCTTCTTTTTGGGTCATCGTCCACACTCTCTGGAAGGTTATGCACCACAATATTTTGCTTCCGCCTTTCCTTGTCAAAGAAGTCACCAACAGATTTGACCAAAGTCTCGCCTGATCCAGACTCTGCTGTAGTTCTCACTTCTCTTGCCGATATGGCCTCTATCTTGGCTCCCAGTGACTTGATTGCCTCTGCATAGGTTCTCCTCTGCTCTTGTTCTGTAGAAACAACTACTTCAGCTTGATCTTCCTGGCACTTGATCTTTTCCTCAATGCGGAGCACAATGTCTGATACTTGCTTTGTCTGCTCCTCACAAGACAGGTGGCATGCTTTGATCACGCTTGCCTGTTCTTCAAACTGCGTCTTGAGATCATTATACACTTCTTCCTGCACTCTACATAGGTCCCTGCTGCTACTTGCTACACCCGCAACTGCTCGTGCCTGGTCCACCAGCAGCTCCTTGAACTCGGTCAGGGATCTCCCAACCTGCTCTGAGAGGTCCAGTCCTGCCCGTGTAACAAGGGATGGGATGAGCGCCTGGCAGAATGAACAGACCCAAAATATCTTGAACCTGCTGAGAGCATCAAACTCCTCGGCTGACTGAAGCTGACACATCATGTGGTACCACCTGTTGCAGACATCACAACATATGCATGTGTCCTCCTTAATCTCCTTATGGCAAGCCTTCCCTGAACTACCACGGCAAATAAGTTCATCCTCCTCCTCCCCCATCTGTCCATCTCTACCTCCCTGATCACTTCTGGCTCCATCTCCACCTTGTTTACTTCCACGCAACATGAAGGTTACCTTCTTTGACGAACCTGGCGCAGTCTTGGAAGAGGCCAGTTTGAGTTTACCTGGCACTTTATCTCCCGCTTTTGCTTCAGGCATGAATATCCAATGCTCTGTTACTTTCCAAAGCAACAACAACAAAAATCTTGCAGATTTATGCACAAATCACCCAAGTTTGGAGGACCAGTGGGAGGACAACCGATCGGCAAGGAGGCGGGAACCTAACTCAACCTTATCTTATGTTTTTTACAAATTCAATTTGGGGTCCAGGGGCAAATGACGATTTTCACCCAAATCTGAATTTTGCTGAGTACAAACTCAATGAAAGAATATTGAAATCATTTATATCACCTACACAGTAAAGGGTGCTGGTGACAACATGTCAAGTGATGTCAGCGTAGGCTACACTGACATGTTGCCACAGGCATCCTTTGACTTGTTTTTGTTTTTCTTGCAATTTTTTTTGTCAGTTCCATTGATGTGTCTCTTTTTAAGTTGACAATCAGCTATTGGTGGTGGCACAACCCTAGTTCTATCTTCTATAATCTGTTGGAACCATGTCTTGTGAGGCACCAACTGGGTTGATAAACCGAATGGCCGTATAGTTTGCCTTTTAGCTCCATATTTATTACCAGTACCATTGAGCTGGGAAATAGGTACCTACCTACCTACCTTACCCTTCGTAGTGAGGGGTGGAACAAGATTACTGGGCGGAATGAAGCAGGTGTGGTTGCCACTCCACAAGTATTCCATTTATGCATTGACTCAGCAGTCGGCTGCTGCTTTCTACATTAGTCTCCGGTCTGGTTACAGGCGGGCCGCGGGCCGTCGGTGCCACCATGCCGGAGTCCAGCGACGCCAGTGTGGTGAAGATCGCCGTGCAGATGGACGGCAAGCAGCCGATCCTCACCGAGTTCGACCTGCGACTGCCGCTGCACAAACACGTCCTCGACCTGGCCAACAGCTGGGGCCTCGCAGACTCCACGCAGTACGCCCTCAAGTTCACCGACAATGCAGAGCGCTACATCACCGAGAAGAACAAACTGGAAGTGCGCAACGGTTCGGTGCTGTACATGGACGTCTCGCCGGCGCGGGCCTCGGCCGCCATCGTGCAGCAGCTGGGCCGCCAGTCGCCCGACATTCTGGCCGCCGAGGGCCTGGAGACCCTGTGCCGCCTGAGCACCGACCCGACGTTCGCCGCCGAGTTCGTCTGCGAGCAAGGCCTGCAGCTGCTGGTCGCCGGCATCGAGCACGGCCGCTTCGTGGACGCGGCGCTGGCCAACGCGCTCACCAGCTTCCTGGAGCTGATGGAGCACGGCATAGTGCTCTGGGACAGTGTTGAGCCGAGCCTGGTGTCGCGCGTGGCCTCCGAGGTGAACCGGCTGGCGGCCGAGCACGCGCCCAGCCGCGCCGCCGACCGCACCAGCCGCATCAGCGAGCGCTGCAGTCAGATCGACCTGCAGACGCCGCCCAACCGACTCAGCGTACACAGCCAGAAGACGCTGCGCGCCGCCCTCGCCATCCTCGAGAGCGTCATCGTCAACGTGCCCGAGCGGCACGAGCTGATCGGAGACGAGATCGAGATGTCGCGGCTGGTGACGCACCTGCAGCGCTCGGACGCCACCGTCCAGCAGAACGCGCTGGCGCTCATCAACGCGTTGTTCGCGCGCGCCGACGGGGAGCGCAAGGGAGAGTACACGACCATGCTCAACTCCAAGGGCTTCCGTAACGTCATCCAGACGTATGTGATCAACCTGAAGGGCGGCAACGATCTGGGCGAGGAGCTCGCGCACCAGCTGTACGTGCTGCAGACGCTGAACCTCAACCTGCTGGAGACGCGGATGCGCACCCCGGTGCGGCCCGAGGACTCGGACGTGCTAGATAAGATCAAAGAACTGCGCAAGCTGGCATTAGACGACGAGACCAAGGGCTCAACCAACCGCAAGCCGGGAAGTTTCGCCAAGGACTACCAGCAGCTCGGCTTCCAGGACGGCATCAACCCGGCCAACGACTTTGGCGCCACGCCGCCGGGGGTGCTGGCGCTGGACTGCATGCTGTACCTGGCGCGCTGGCAGCGCGAGCTCTACACGCGCCTGGTGCTGGAGAACTCATGCGGCTCCGACCACGAGTGTCCGTTCGGGCGCACCTCGATCCGCCTGGCGGCGCTTCTGTGCGACATCCTGAAGGTCGGAGTGCCGCCCTCCGACGAGGGAAACACCTTCTATCCCATGTTCTTCACGCAGGACAGGCCTTTTGAGGAGTTCTTCTGCATCTGCATCAATCTGCTGAACAAAACGTGGAAGGAGATGCGCGCCACGGCGGAAGACTTTGACAAGGTGATGTCGGTGGTGCGGGAGCAGATCACGCGCGCGCTGCACGGCGGACAGAAGCTGGCCGACGGCGGCGGCGGCAAGCACGAGCCGCAGTCGCGTCCGGACCCGCCGGCCACGCTGGAGGCGTTCCGGAACCGGCTGAACACCTACCTGACGTACTCTCAGATCAACGCCATCTGGCAGCAGGAGCAGAACACAAAGGAGGAGTGGGAGAGCCAGGTGAGCGCGCGGCCGACCGACCGACCGGCGGCAGACCTTACCATGTAGAAATGTAGCCGTATGTGGCTGCTAACGCCAATTTAGCGTTTGAGTCCGGACATCAGCGTGATATCTGTTGAGATTGCTGTTGCTTATTCTTAATAGACTGTTAACTGGAGCAAATAATAAATCCCTTGCTTACTTATCTTGTCATAAACTGACTGAATTAATTCCTAACAAAGTGTATGTGCGCTTGCTCGTTTGTTCCAGGCGCGGCCGATCGTGGAGCTGCGCGAACAGATAACGCCCGAGATGCTGGAGCTGATCCAGAAGCAGCGCCTCATCTACATGGTGGAGGGCACGCGCTTCACAAAGTACACGGCGCGCGGACAGGTGCGGCCGCTGCCTTCTTTGCGATAGAACGAGTCAATATTCTTAGAGGCTTTGAAAGTATGAAATGTTTCAACACATGCTTAACCCGGCAGTTGCTGGGGTATTTCGCCACCCACCGTTTGCTGGGGGGGGGGGGGGGCGTTAAACGCCCCCAGCCGATAACTCGAGAACCAATAGGCGCAGCGAAACGCACGAGGCGGCAAACGAAAGAGCGCGACGTGACGCTTCAGATGAGTACTTTAAAGTTGAATTTTGAGGTCACAGGTCGGGTCAAGGTCAGGTCAAACACCTGAAATCGGGCTTGCAGTAGCATGGACTTCAGGACTTTGCAATGGGCGCCTCTCGCCATAAACTCTGTCAAAACGGTGCACAATCCATCTTATAAGGCCTACAAGAGTGTCAGCTCCATGTAGGGGTCAGTCAAGCATAGGTCAGGGTCAAGGTCAGGTCAACCGGATAGGCACATATCCCCGAAAATCAAAACTGATATTCGCAGCCTGTGACACATGTTTTATAGGTAATTTGGGGCGTAGAACACGATGGTGACATTTATTTTATCATATGTGTACGTGTTTGGCTCAAAAAGTTCAATTTAAGAAATTCATGTATCATGGTCGTGAAGTAGTCACGAAAAATTGCCAAGATTCAGTTCAAGATTATGGAAAATGCGGAACGATAATCAATAATCGAAGATAGCCATTTGATTGATCATGGTATTGGCAGTCTAATGGCGTTTACAGCATGTCTGTATGTCTATTCTGTGATTTTATATGATTTTTTGAACATATGCCGTTTTTGGTCGAAAACTCAGAAATCATGACGTCACTAAAACCTCGATATCTCAAAAATTTACCGACCGATTTTTTTGAAACTGTGTCACAATAAACTTCAATCAATTCCCTACAGGTACCCAAAATTTGGCGCGCCTGCGGCGCGCCGTTTTTATGCTATGGCCCGGCGAAAAAGTGGGGGCGTTTAACGCCGCCCCCCCCCCAGCAACTCGCGGGTTAACTGAATGATGGGAACGTAATGCGATTTGTCAGTCAATTATCTGATGCACGACGGGTCTGTTGAATATCGAGCTGGCCATTCCGTGTCGAAGTGACATGTGTAACACGTACACCTCCAAATATCTTAGTCTGTTCTGACCACTCGTCGATGCGGTTTTAGCGTGTGAAGGATAAGTTCTGGATGGTGCGTCTGTCGCCGAACCACAAGGTGCTCCACTACGGCGACTGCAGCGAGTTGGCCACCCCGACGCTGGACGAGCTCACCAACAAGCTGGCCGTGCACGAGGTGCGCGCGCTGGTCACCGGACGCGACTGCCCGCACATGAAGGACAGCAAGTACGTCCCAGTCGCGGGAGTGGGTACCCTCATGGGTGTCTGAGAGGTGGGCACTTGCAAGGTGCTGGGCCTAGGATCTCCTAAAGATCATATCCAGCCTATCTATTGAGTACACCATACCATTGGATTGACTTTCGACTCGACATAGGAATCTGAGGAGATATATTGCATTCTTATGAAATGCTGAGTCAAGCGACTGAGACTCTAACTGTTGCATCCGTTTTTCGATCATCAGCTCAGCAATTTACATTACACACTTGCCCTTTCCGCACACCCTAGCCCCAGGCAAAGTGTAGCTGGACACACGTACACTGACCGTGTGGGTGCTCCTATCGACCGCAGGGGTAAGAAGTCGACCTTCCAGCTGGCGTTCTCGCTGCTGTACGAGTCGCCAGAGGGCGGCTCGCTGGACTTTGTCGCTCCCGATGGAAAGACGTTCGACTACTGGACAGACGGCATCAACGCCCTGCTCGGTGAGCAATTCACTCCATCAATTAACTTTTATTCAAGTCTACAGATGCCAGGAGAGCGAAACAGCGCCTGCGTGCGGTCATGATGCGTATTGATTGAAGTGCGCTATGGTTGATTGTGAAAATGAGGTGATATTCTTTCATGTTCACTCCTGAATCAGACATAGGAGTCCATTTATTTAGAGGCGTGTCTCGTTGGCTCCTTTTTTCGTTTAGGATTATTCTTGGTATATTGAGCTTCAGGGAAGGTATTTTTTTTTGCAGTCATCTGGGGGTCAGATGTATCCGCTGCACGTCCATGAGACCCTCTGTGGCTGTTTTCAGCTCAGTTCGTGTCGATCAGATTTCTCCACACGTTTTCCCTGTGTCGGCAGGCAAGAAGATGAGTTCGGAGGAGGCGCGCCGCGACCTGGACATGCTGCTGGCCATGGAGATAAAGCTGCGGCTGCTGGACACGGACGGCCTGGAGATCCCTCAGGAGCCGCCGCCGATCCCGCCCGACCCGCCCAACTACGACTTCTGCTGCGACTGAGCGGCGCCGCACCCGTCTCCCGGTCAGTCCTGGTCCGACCGCGCCGCCTCCTACCCTCCCCCGACCGGCGGCCCCTCTCCCCCCCCCCGACCCAGTCCAGTCCGCCGGCTCCCCTCTGTCTCAGTCCGACCCCCCGGCGTCCCGTGGCGACAACCGCAGTCTTCCTAGGAGCACGTGCGAATCGGAATGTGAGCTCGAGAGAAGGGGGTTCGTGGAAAATGAGTTACCACGCGCCTCTCTTTTTGGGTGAGCCTTGCGAGGAAGCTGTCATTTAAGTTGTCCTGTGCTGGCATTGCACAGGTGACACCTCACTTTAGTGGAATTCATTGATATAGCGCAACAATGCCGCATGAATTAGCGTGAATGGTATACGTGTTTGCTTCCTCGAGTTGTCAGATTTAGTTGTCACTAGCTCAGCCTTAACAGTCTACAACTGCTGGAGCTTAGGTTGCAAATACCATGCTTCGTTGAGCTTGCCAAAAATAAGATCTCACTATCTGTGGATTGATGAATAGGCGTGCCATTGTGCAGCCCCCACCGGCATGTTGTGCTACAGTCAAGCTCATTGGTTTGTTCATTTGTCAGTAATGTTGATTCGACGGTACATTACCATTATTTGGAGCGCGAAATGCAGATGTGCACCACGAGATAATGCTGAACCACGTTCGGGACCAACTCTGAATCCTATCCACGGTTGCAATAATAATTCATGTTAGTCATTTGTAGTACATTTCGGAAGCTTAACTTCATGGAGTCGTTTAACTATATTTTGATGTTGAATTCAAACCATTTTCCAATGGCTTTGACCGCTCAGTGCTAGTCGGATTCTGAGACATCAAGTGAAAAAATTATTTGCGTGAGTGTGCCGCGACTTCGTTCCCATAATTAGTTGATAGTCTGAAAACTATTATAAAATTGCATATTTATCATGCGCGAGGCGTGCTTTGCTTTTACGTATAAGTGCTTTGCCCTTTTTAGCTTGCATGAATTCTAAGTGGAATACTGAAACACCCAAGAGATTGCAAAATGGAAGCCTGGCGCTATATTTGATCCGTCATGGGGTCATTCGCACTGAGGTCAAACTGAGCTTATTTTTATAAGCCTTTAGCATGCTCTTTAGATGCGTACAGGCTTAGTCACGTTCTTAGCTTGCGTCGACTGTTAAGTGGTTATCATTTTCTGTTTGCGAATTAGAGCGTTGTTGAAAGTGTCCCGTGATTTCTAAGTCAACTCGTATCCAAACTAAGACATCCCATCCTCGAAAGTGGCATGAACTGGTTGCGTGATGTGGGGACTGAAGCATCCCTGTGCTTCATCAGTCCTGATCATTTTATACGATGGTTTGCGAAGAGATGCGGTCTTGATACACTGTACGTACATATGCGTATAAATATATTTTAAGTTTTATCAATTGGACCTGTGAAGGTAAAACAACAAGTCAGTGGCGACGAATCATCTCAAGCGCAGTGAATGGGTCGAATGGTTGCTTCGACTGCGGTCGGGTCAACTCGCCTCGGTGTCGCCGGCTTTGCTGTCCGCGCCTCCAGACGATGGCGACTCCAGCGTGATTGTAACGGGCCCGTCGTTCTGAATCGAGACCTGCATGTAAGCCGCGAACACACCATCTGAAAAAGGAAACTCGGATAGTGAGGGTGCCGTTATTGGATGCACATCACTGCGGTGGGGGAGATGCATCGTATTTCTCATGACATTTACCACCAGCGAAGATGGCTACATCTAACAATGTTTCTGAATTGGTGCTCTCACTCGACCAAGTGCAGCCTGCCGTACACCGGGTCCTTTGGACGAATGTGCTCAACATGAGCTAAGTAATGAGCGTTTTGTTTGTCTCTAACGTAAGTGTTGGTAATTTCGCCCCAACCATCCCTAAGATATGTATGATCGAACCACCTCCTGGAAAATGACTGGACCTCCCGGCGGACACGGTGCAGACGGGCGGGATGGGGTCTTCGTCTGACCTTTGACCTTGTGCTGGCTGTAGTCGGCTCGGAGCTGGTCCACCAGCTGCTGGTAGAGCTGCCGCGCCTCCTCGCCGCCCATCGCGTGCCGGTAGTCGGGCTTGTTGCCCTTCAGCTGGCAGTAGAGTGTGAACTGGCTGACGCAGAGCAGCTCGAGGCCGGCGTCCCGCACGCCGCGCGCCCACCGCCGCCCCTCGGCGTCCTCGAACACGCGCAGACTCAGCAGCTTCCGGCTCCTGGGGGCGGAGCGAGGCGTCAGCAGTTGACTTAGAATAAATATTTCAGATTAAATTTAAACTGTTGATATTGATAATGATGTCATGATATCTACATTTATGCTTTTGGGCTATTTCAGGAAGGTGAGATAAATGCTGTTTGCTGTGAATATTCCATGCACAAATCTAAAGCAGCAAGTGAATGACAATTATGTTCCACAATAAATAGCTCATTTATATTATTTGAAGATTCACAAAATGAGCCTTAAGACCGAGCTCCAGACAGCCACATAGATACTCACATATATTCAACATCTTTTGTTGTATCATGCTTGGATAGTCCAACTAGGACACATATTCCCTTGCCAATTTCACTGATCAGCTTCCCATCAACTGAAAAATAGGACATGGATGACAAAATGATTTTGGGTGTTAGATGCCAGTCTTGACTCAATAATCTACTGGCAATGGCAACCTTAACTTTGGCAGTATGGCTAGGGTTCCTAAAATCTTTCACCAGACGTAGTTGTTGGATGTTGGGTAGGTAAGGTACATTAAGCCTATAATGTTAGGTTAGGTACATTTGATGCCTTATGGTTCAGTTTTAAAGTGAGTTGGCATGCTATATAATTACTAAGTATGATAATCGAGGCAGAATGTTTATGAACACAGGTGCTTTAGCCACAAACCAGTGGTTTGGATTTACTGAGTTTGGGTTGGTTTATCTTACCTCAATGGGTTATTATCATATTTGTGGAACTACCTAGCATCTAATTTTGAATCAGGGCATGGAAAATATGGCCAACCTTATCTGCAGCATAATCAGAGTGAAAAAAATCTACATTGTATGTCTATTGACCACGTAAGCCTGCAAACCCGCGCAAGGAACATACACATTGGTGACTTGGACTGTTCTGACTTCTGAGTGAACCCACTCATTTCTATAATAAAATGCATCTTAAATGTTATAATGAGATGAAACATTTCCCCTTTATTGTTATCATTATCTTTTCAAAAGGTTGACTGTTTGTATGAGTAAGGTAGGTAAACTGAAACACCTCCTAAAAAACTGGTATTAAAAAAACTCACCTGAAACGCTTGCATGGGCAACCCTCTGGACTACTACCTTCATGGTCGCTAAGAAATATGGTGCCTTCTTTTCCTTGCTAAAAATATTATATCTGAATGCGATAATATGTAGAAAATACGTGTTTCACTTTAGCTTGTGTATATCTACTATATATCTAGCCAATGAATGTTTGATATATTTACACTTGTGCTGCGCCGGAAACTGCCTGTCGCGCGTAGTATTTGACTCATTCTCTGTTTCTATTTTGCTGCCTTTTTGCGACACTGCCGGGTAGCAGCAAATGAAAGGCGGACGCCTCGAACTTTGAAGCCGTTTTATGGCTAGTTAGTAGTTACTAGTTAGACAAACAGATAAAATGTTTTTTTGTTTGCATGCACCTCCTTAAGGCCTGGCTACACTATGCGTTTTCTTCGTGCGTTTTTTGCGTGTTTGCGTGTTTTGCGTGATATCGTTCTAGAAAAAAGAACGATATTACGTTTTTGTGATGTTTTTCACCTTAAATTTTAGTTACATAAGAGTTATATTAGATTTTGTATATAACCAAAGTAAAAATTATATTGTTTATAACTTTTTTCCTAGAACGATATTACGCAAAACACGCAAACTTGCAAAAACGCACGCAGAAAACGCATAGTGTAGCCAGGCCTTTAGGCTCATGCCTAGATGTCTGGTTCTAAAAAGAAGATGCCTGTGTCTGTAGTTTGCACCTACTTTCTATTTTTCCCGCCACGCCGCGACCATATTGCCCGACAGTGGGCTTCGACGAAGTAGGTTGCGAAGCTGCTAACTCGGTTGCAGTCAGTGAGGGTGAACCTAGTTGTGTGTTTTCGACGTTGCAGCTGGGACATGGGCGACCGAACCTACTGGTCTGCGCGTCCCACCACACTGTGGCTCCGACCTCCGCAGACGCAGTCCACACTGTGCTCCGACCTCCGCAGACACAGTCCGCACTCCAGTGTGCTGCCAATTGGCGCGTCCTGCCAGCGTGCTCCGCTCACATTCCAGCGTGATTTAGGTCGGCACGTCCTACTCCAGTGTGTTACCAGTTGCCACGTCTTACTTCAGCCAGATCCTCACTTCAGTGTGGTTCAGGTCGCTTCTTCCTACTTTACTTCAGTGTGTTTTCGTTCGACATGTCCTTCTACAGTGTGGTACCGGTCGGCACATCCAGTGTACTGCGTTCGAGGTCAGCACGTCCAGTGGAACTTATTCGAGGTCGGCTCCAGTGTGGTCTGTGCTCCAGTGTGTTGCCAGTCGGCACTCGACTCTTGGGATCTGAAGTCTGAACGCAAAACAGGTGGACACTATTATGTTTATAGATCTTATATTATAAACTGGAATGACATGTGACAATTGACATTTGATGCTGACCTATCACCATTTTCACATGATTGCCAGTCAACTATTCAAAACTGTCCACTATCTGACATCCTGACGCATGCTCAAATGCATGTACTGTATATAACAGTGCTTGTTAATGCTTAACATTTTACACTTACATATGTCACACAATTATTTGCTTACGCGGGATGTGCTACATGGTTTATTATTATAAAACGCAAAATCAGCGTTATGCGTTACGACTTACGATATACAGATCCAAACCGAACATGCCACAACTATGACCGTGTTCCATCGTCCACTCCATCGTCCTTTATGTCTATATTTACAACACGCGAGTTTCCAAACAAAAATCACCTCTCGATAACAGTCGTAAAAATCACAGGGCTGCGAGAGACGCGACGTCACCCTTTCTGTAGGTAACCCACGGCGCGGTATCCCGGGGCTCCTGTAAGCACCACACAGTTCCGCACGGCTCCTGCGCGACAGAGGCTCAGAAGGCGTTCAATGACCCCTCTCATAACAATAACCTCTCTTCCCGTGGTGAAACGTAGTTTGAACCGATCTTAATGGAAGAGGGACACATTTTGTCTCACTGGCTTAGGGAGGTCAGCATATTGCTTCACTGGCAGAAGACCAGCATACTGGTCGCAGACGAAGACCAGTCTATCGTTTTACTGCACAGAAGGCGAAGGCACTGACACTGACTCGAACACTGACTACTATGTAGGACACGAAGACCTGCTCAGTGCTCATCGTCTCACTGGCAGAGGAAGACGAGCATCTCGACCTCCTGTAGCGTGTCCCGCCAGCCGACCTGACACATGTAGAGGCCGGTGTCGGCCGCCGTCACCGCCGTCACCGTCAGACGCTGGTGCGACGCCGCCACCTGTCAACGCATACGGGCTGTCAACGAAACCTTCAGTAGCCGAGCATCCTGTCAGTATATACTGCCCGTCAGAAGAACCTTCCGCGGCATCCTATCAGCACATACGGGCTGTCGAGGAAACCCTCAGCGGTATCCTATCAGCATATACAGGCTGTCGATGAAGCTTTGGAGAGCGGCATCCGAGCCTAGAAACACAGCATGTGCAATGGGCACAGCAGCTGGACTGTCATTCAGGGGAGCAAAGAGACTGAAAAAAATATGGCACGTGATGGAAACTTTGGTGGTTGACTGCCGACTGGTTGATCGGTTTGCTAAATGATTGGTCGGTCATTCGGTCGTTTTGGCCAACCGGCTGGTTGAATTACCGAAGCATAAAATTATCCTTCCTTGTCATGGACCAAATTATCGAAGCATAAAATTATCCTTCCTTGTCATGGACCAAAAAGAGCTCTCAGTCTGTAGGTCTAGCGACCAGCGAGTGACGGAAGCTTATTTATTTATTTATTTATTTCACATCATAGACCCATTCCACACAAGCGTGGCTATTCTAGGATCAGGGTCACAATTAAAAAATAAGGATAGTTGGTCACACACATCGTACACGAATTCATTCTCACAAACGCACACCCAATCAAACTTCCCGCGAGCGGGTCGTCACTAGCCGGCATCGGTCTGTTGCTGGAGCAAATACCTCCGCAGCTCTCTTTTAAATGGGCTCAGGCCTAGGTCGCGAATCGTTTGTGGTAAGTCATTAAAAGCGGTCACGGCTGAGTATAAAAAGCGTCTCCTACCGGATTCTGATCTAATGATAGGCACATTCAGCAGCTCGTTCTGTCGCGTGTCGCGCTGATGAACATGTCGTCGAAGCGTGAGGCTGGCGGATAACGTCTCGGGCTGAGAGGTAGACAGAATGCGCTTTAACAATGTCAGCGTGTGAAAAACATGTAAATTGCGCGCCGAAAGCCACTGCAGTTCATGAAGGATGTCACTCACATGATCAAATTTTCGACGCCCGGAGATGACGCGTGCTGCGAAATTCAACACTTTCTGTAGCCGACCAGTTTGTGTGGTGTTACAGGTTCCGTAGACACTAAGCCAGTAGCGAATAAGTGATACGACTAGAGATTGGACTAGAGTTGTGAGCGTCGCAGAAGGTAAACTATGACGGCAGTGACTCAAACCGATTAAAATGCCTGTGCAGCGCCGAACCACATCGTCAATGTGCGCGGTAAAAGTCATAAATTGGTCGAATACGACACCCAGGTTCCGCACCATGAGAGAACCGGAGACAGTCGTGCCCATGAACTTGATAGAAATGGTTGGTACCTGTCGAAGATTTTGTCGAGTGCCGAGAGCTATGAGCTGTGTTTTTTTAGCGTTGATTTTCATGCCATTTTTGCCAAACCAGTGAGCAAGTTGCGAAAGACTACGTTCCATGGAGCTAACAAGGGCACCAATGTCTCCGGGCCTGCCACCCACGAGAACCTGAGTGTCGTCCGCGTACTGCACTATGCACGCGTCATCAGCATACAGCGGCAAGTCGTTGGCGTAGATGCTGTACAACAGCGGACCGAGCGCTGACCCCTGGTAAGTTCCGATCGGGTTCGGCAGAGGCGACGACAGATCACATGAGCCTCGCTGGCTCCTAGCTACTACTTGCTGGTAGTGGTCCGCCAGGTAGCTCTTAAACCAGCGAGTGTCTACATTGTACAGCTCCAATTTTCTCAGAAGTCCATCATGAGGTACAACATCAAAGCACTTTGATAGATCTAAAAGGCACAGAAGGGTGATCTCTTTCCGGTCCATGGCCTCAAACACTCTGTCAGTTACAGCGAGTAACGCTGTGTCGGTCGAGTGGTTCAATCTAAAACCGTGTTGACTAGAGGAGAAAAGGTGATGGGTTGTAAAGTACGTAAAAAGCTGTTCATAAACGACACGTTCGGTTATTTTGGCGATGGTTGGTAGGATTGATATGGGACGGAAATTGGATAGGTCAGTGGATTTGGACGACTTCTGGATAGGATGGACTAGGGCTAGTTTCCATGATGTTGGGACGGTGTGGGAGTTGATGCTGGTGTTGACAATGTGGGTGATGACAGGGCAGATGGAGTCGAAACACTGTTTGATGAACCGCACACACAGTCCGTCCGCCCCGCACGACGTGCTGCTCGCCATCCGGCCGATAACGCGCCGCAGCTGCTCCGGTGTAACAGGCGCTACCTGGAACCGGCCGGTGCTGACACGGGGCAGGCGCACTGCCAGCCGCGGGCCACCAGAGTCCACCTGTCGGGCGGTGGAGGTACCGACACTGGCGAAGTATTGGTTTATCGCGTCCACGTCCGCGTCCGGTAGTGGTCGGGTCGGCCGTTTTCCCGATATAACCGGCCGCACATTGCGCCACATGGAGCTCGGTCCGCCCTCACTTATACGCCGGCCGATCTCCTCGCGCGTGTCACGGCGGACAGCCGACCTGACCTGTCGGTTTAAGTCCTTATAACGATCCCGGTCACCGGCTCGGAGCGCCGCGCGCCGCTGTGACATCAGACCTTTTGTGTTCTCTGTCACCGGGGGCGCCGTCGGATTGCGCACTTTGACCCTCCGAATGGGGGCTAGGCTGTTCACAATGGGCACCGTCACGGTCGTAAAATAGTCCCACTGCTCACCGGGGTCGGCAGTGTGGAACACAGGGCTCCAAGTCCAGTCCACGTCACTGAGGCGGCGGTTCGCCTCCGTCGTGTCCAGTCTGCGCCAGCACCGCCCCGTCACCGCACACTGGGCCGGGCGGCGGCCGGGGACCAGTACCAGAGCACGAGTCCAGTTGTGGGGACTGAAGTGGCAGTGCAGCGTGCCGGCCCGCTCTACACCCCGATTCGTGGCAATCACATCGATGGTGGAGCCTGATGACCTGAATGTAGCGTCTTTGATGTGCTGCTGAATGGTGTAAGCAGCAAACAGCTCCTGAAGTCTTGTAGCCGGCCGTCCTCTGCTTGTGCCCCGGACGGGACTCGAGCCCGGATGATTGGCTATGGAATATAAGAAAGCATTTCAGCGGAGCTGGACCGCTCCTTATTAGTACCCAGGTCAGTCGTTCTGCGCCTCTGCGACACGCGGGCCGGGACAGTGTGCAGTTTTTGTCGCAGAGATTGGGTGGCGACTCGCGAGATACGCAGTCCGACGGTCGGCGTAGGCGATAGTCGACTGGACGGCTCCGCTATACATAGAGAGGCGGCAGGTCGGGCGGCCAAAATTTGTCCGATGGGTCTCGGCACCCGAGTGCGGCTCACCAGGTATTTGCCGACCATTTCAGACTCGGTAGCGCAGTTGCACGAATCTGCTACTGATCTTTTCTTCCATGGGGTTTACGATTTTCCAAGGCCGCCGTCTGAAGTTGTACTTCGTATTTCGCAGAAAACGACAGTGGACCGTGATTGTTTTGTGTTTGGTGGCGCTGTTTTGCATCTGCGTGTTTCTGGATCCAGGTATGTACGCTTCAACTCAAGCTAGAAAATTACTTATGATGCTATTTTCTTACAGTTTAACCTATTTAGGATCATGCACCTTTAAATATTTCAAAATTTCTTATTTCAATGCAAAGTTTTTATCATATTCTACAAAAAAAAATCCCACCGTGCGAGTATGCGTGTTCAGCAATAGGACACCATATCAGTGGGGTGATGCAATTGTAGCATTGCCCCAGTCACCGACTGTATGTGGCCTGTTTCAGGGTCACGGCCGTCCTCTGGCCTCGGCTCACAGTGCGACAGCCCGCTGTTGATCAGTGAGGCCGTTCTGCCGTGGGATGCTGCCGCCGGCCGCTGTCTCCGTCCTGAGCCGCTGGCCGGGCGCCTGCTGCGTGCCGGCCGCGCGCTGGGCCGCCCTCCCTCCGTGACATTCGTGGGCGACTCTCGGGCGCGCGAGCTGTTCGTGAGAGCGGTGCACGCCAGCGGCCGGCCTCAGGCGGCGCTGCCACCGCGCCGGCCCGAGCCCGACACGTGCCTGGAGCCGTCCAGCAGCCCCGAGTACCAGTGTCGACACGGCATGTGCTCTCAGCGGGTCGTCGGCAGCGTGCTGACCTCGCGGCTCGAGTGGCGGCCGCAGATGAACGACTACATGGCTGCCGTGCTGGACGGTGTGGCGGCGGACTGCGGCTCACGGATGCGGCGGGAGGACTGTCCGGACACCGTGGTGGTCAACAGCGGCCTCTGGTACTCGTTCCGAGTGGAGGTGTACAGCGGAAACCGCCGCGAGCGGCTGGTGGCGCTGTTCAGAGCCGGCCTACTCCGGCTGCTGCCCAGCCTGCAGCGGCTCGCCCGGAGCACACACACCGTCTGGAAACTGGAGGAGGCCATGTTCTCCGAGTTTGTCAAGGACAAGTACTATCCGGAGAATGCCAAAACGGAAATAAACGGGCTTATTATCGTGCAGCAGGCCGTCCTGTATGACGTCACCGCACATGTAAGTAGCTGACATAAGCTGACGCACTGAATAGCCTTCATACGAACATGTCATTTTTAAACGACCTAATCGGTTCTCTGCAACTCAAATAAGTAGCGAATGTCGTGTGACCCCCAACACGCGTAATTTGTGGTTGCAGAGTGCACAAGCTCTTACTCTAATTCATGACTTGATGGCGCCGATTAGCTAAGAGTGCTTGCTTTGCATGTATCGCCATTTATTGCTACAGTCGGACTAAACCTTCCTCTGTCCCTATGTGTCACCCCCAGATTCCGGAGCTGACCGTCTGGTCGTCGCTGCTTCCGGAGACCACGCGGCACATGTTCCGCGTGTGCGCGCGAAGTCGGCCTCTCAGCTGGGTGGAGTGCCCGGACGCCATCCACATGGGACGCTCGCTGCAGGACTCGTTCCTAGAGCGGATACTGGGCGGCCTGTGTGACCGGGCGCTGGGCGTGGCGCGGTAGACGCGGGTCGCTAGGATGATTTGTTAACACTACGTCATTTGACCTGACCCAATAGACAATGGATGTGCTGTTAGAGTCTGAAGACTTCTGCAAGAGACAATAAATGCACAAAACATTGTTTTTATTGATGCGAACACGAGTTTGGTCGTTGTTACAAATGTATGGGCTTCCACAGTGGTTCTGAAAGCGTCTCTGAGTTTATATACGGTTATAATGCTGAACTGCTCGTTCACGAATGGGTGTAAAGAGACTTTACGACCATTATGGATGTTTGTCACTTTGACTCCCAACGATGGTACCTATTTATCAATGTGATTTATTTGCGATGTTCATTGCTCAACTAATGTGCGAACTTACCTATGCGTTATAATATCAATCCTATACATGAGCCATTCGCTTTCTTTGCTGAACTGAATGTAAATATTTTCATCCCGCTCGGGAAAAAGGTCGTGCTATAATGAAGGGCAATGCTGCACATTAATTGTTGTGTGCTGGTGATTGCCTTGAAGCCTCGAGACTTGTCATGGACCTGTCACTGCTCCATGTGCAATCAGCTGGTAGCTGAAAGATAATTAAATATGTCTTATAACAGCTGTGAGCTGATACCAAGAAAGATTGTCTTATCTCTCCCTTTCCTTTTCTATTCCCTCCCTAATCTCCCTCCCTTCCCTTCGTCCCTTCCAGTTCCCACCTCTCCCCGTCCCGCCGCCCTCCTCCCACCTGTTGGACGCTGGTGTTGTTGGCCGAGTACAGGCTGACCCCTCCCACGGCCAGCAGGTCGTCCTTCACCGCGTTGTGGTCGTCGTCAAAGTGGCGCCGCACCCACCAGAACCGCTGGAAAAACAAGGCAGAGTCGCTGTGTCAGCTTGCACTCGCCCGATGAGTGTTGATGCAATGTCCCTGCAATGTCTCACGGCAAATGCTCTACTTTTTTTCAAACCGTTAGTGTCCCAGTCTCGGTGAAGGTTAGGAGAGTCTCAAGTCTGGTCATTGGTAGACATTCGAAGACATTTGATCACAAATATCTGTTCGACACTAGAGAGTGGACAGTTCTTCGAAGTTGATGAACTTTGGCAGCAGCCGTGCTATGTAGGTATAACAAACAGGTTTTTATTTAATGCTGCTGGTTTACACGTTTTAAGATATTAGTGAACCAGAAGGCGACACTAGGCACACGGATGACTGACTGCCATCCAGCCGGCATCGTATGCTGTATGACATCACCCGTCAGCTGACCGCGGGCTGAGTGTGTTTGGAGAAAGTTATATCGCAGTCGGTGCTCAGCAGTCAACTCATGTCTCATTCACGCAACAATCTCGTGCCTCCTTCACAAGACCTGAAATCCACGCTGGCTGCATCACTTCGCTGCATGTCGTTTCGCCTCATTTGTGTCAAGCTGTCACTCAATGTAGGTTTACGCTGTTTACAAACGTTTGCGTAACATTCTGAGCTCACCGTGCATCACTGATCAAATGCAACCGCGGCGCTGCGGTCCTTGGCCGAGTGGCCAGCTACTGGTGACGTCACGGGTCAGTGAAAGGAGTCGCGCGCACGGCAGGGAGGAGCCGGCGGGTCCCCGGCCCAGCTGAGGACGGGCCACTGTCTGTGCTCCATCTCCGCGTCACTGTGGGGGACGGGGCGCACCTTCCACCCACAACACACTGCCCGGGGCTCGGGAGTAACGCGTAAACAGGATATCGGCTGGGTTTGTGGGACAGGAATAGGATCTTGGGAAAGACATCCTGTCATTGACCGTCTCTCCCGATGGATGTTACGAAATACGCCCACTGATCCGAGTCATGGGGTGCGGCGATCGTCAACTGGGGCTGCCGCATCTGGCGCAGCTACTATACCTATTCGGCCGTTAAGTCGCCAAATCATGGTCAACTATGCCAATTCAAGCTGTGCACGGTGCAAATTACAAACTCGTTTCGTGTTTCTCTTATTGCCACAAGTTTTTTTGTGATGTTTAATGAATTTAACGTTGTTGGATGGTGGTTTGGTTTGGGTTGATTCCACTTTTTTATACAAGGCACTCGACTGTCGAGTATTCAGCCTGCCATGAAGAGATATTGGAACAAGTATGGCATACCTACTCATGCTTACGTGTCTGCATGTGAAACCAGTTTTTCAGCTTTCAGTTTCACTGATCGTACTGCAGGATTGATATGCCACTGTCGTATAGGACCCAGTAACTGAGTCGAGAACGAGAAACTGGGCCCTTTTCACCCCCGTTTGCGCTCCGTGCCTTACAATGAAAAGCTCAATTCAGCGGTTTAGCGTCCGGTGAGTTCTGCGGGGTGCATGTCTCATCTGTGGACTTTACTAGTTACCTTGATCTGGTCGTGTTGCGGCGGGTTTTTGACGCGACACTCGAGAGTGACGCTCCCTCCGAGCTCCGGACAGTTGTGCATCTCGCCAACCAGCTGCGGTGGTCCCGCCTCCTCGTCTGTGGACAGTGATAATAAGGAACGTCATTTGCAGTAAACCAGTCGCCTGCAATAATGCTGAAACAGCTATATGAGGGGATAAGCATAAGCATTAAAAGGTTAAATTTAGATTCGATGTTAAATATAAGTAGGACATTTAACTGCAGAAGTGACAAATGACCTTCACTGCTGACAAAATTCGAGGACTTTCCTCATCTTGGCTTTTGAAATGCCTTCATGAACATGTGCTGAGTGCTCGCTATTTAGTGCGCTCGCCACTCACCTTCGGTGCTGTTTTCTGTGCGAAAGCTGGCCGTGCGCTCGGTAAGAATTTCAGCCCTGGTGTGTTTGCTTTTGGGCGCTGGCTTCCTGTCCTCTTCCTTCTCCACCAAGGCATTCGATCGATCGCCGTTATTCTCGTCATCTTCTGACACTTCTTCAGTCTGGTCGCTGGTCTCCTCATCTAACATCACCAACTCTTGCAACGCGTCTTCGTTATCCTCCAGGACAGCCAATTCTTCGTGGCGCTCGCTCCCAGCGGCGTTCAGATCTTCCGATGCTTCAAGAGCAGCGGTGTCGACAAACACTGGCTCTGCGACATCGTCCCGTCGCTGCCAGCCACTCCTGGGCGCGTCCTGCCACCGGTACCGTCTCCCGCTGTCGGCACCGTCAGCGCCTCCCCTGGGTGTCGCGTTGGACACCCTCCTACCCCAGGTACCCTGTCGGCTGACCCGAGAGCTCAGCTCGGTCAGACGCGCCGCTAGTGAGTCGACTCTTGGTGTGACAGTGGGCTGCTCCGGTTGGTCGTCCTCTGCGACCGGTGGGACGTCCTCTAACTCCTCTGGCGGGGATGTGGTGTCCGTGCTGGCGATGCTGCTGGAACTGGAGGCCCGTGGAGTCACCAGCCGGTCGAAGACTTCCTTCTCTGACAGTATCGGCACGATGTTGCTCGCCAAAACCTGCTCCCGTGCGTCGTCACTCGTGGCTGATGTTTCCCACCCTTCCTCTTCGTCAGGCTGGATGTCAGGTTCGGTGTTGTCAGCCTCAAGAGTAGGCCCAGGATTAGACTCTGCTCTGTATTGGCGCCTTTCGTCAAACGCCTGTGACAGCTCCTCCCCACCGACCAGCTCCACGGCGACGTCGTTGTCCGACCTAGCTGGCGCGAAGAACACACCACTCTCGTCCTCCGCCTCCTGTTCTGTGTCGCTGACCAGCCTGAGCTGCGCGACCCGCACCCTACCGACGGGCCGCAGGACGCCCTGGGTCACCAGCAGGTTCAGCAGGTTCTGGTCGGAGCGCAGCGGGCCGCTGGCCACGGCAACTGTGGCCGGGCGGGTGCGGGCCGGGTCTCGGTCGGACGGAGGTCGGTCGAAGGACCCCTCTGGCTCCGGACGGTCCACAGAGGTCGAGTCGAACACTGACGCTGAGCTCTGCAGATCTGGTCGCCGAGGAAGCTGATCCTCTCCGTCCGTCGGACTGAGTTCCTCTTCGTTGTTGCTGAAGTCGTCCGCAGTTGCCGCTGCGAATACCACTCCTTCGGGAATCAGACCGGAGATAAACGCCGGCTTGTTGATGTCAAAGGCTTCGTCTAAGGTGATAACGTCATCTGGATTGGGATTGGAAAAACCGTCGGGAGTTTGGTGTCTGAAGTCGTCATTCGCTGGGTCCGGCTGACGGTTTCCGAAGGAAACAAATGTCTCTGGGTTCTGCAGGTCGACAATTGAGTTGACGCCTCTAGGCTCTGGCGTGTCGACAGGTACATTCGTGGGACCTTCAGGATCCTTGGGGTCAACGGCCAGGATGATCGGCAATGGTGACAGACTCTGCAGGTTCTCAGAGCTCTGCTGATGTTCCGCGTCATTGACCCGCACCGGTCGAGGAGCACTGGTCTGCTCATTGTCAGACAGGTCTCTGATATCCAGCGGTCCCAGAATATCCACTGGTCCCAGCGGCTGCAGATCTGCCGGCTCTCCGTCCCCCAGCGGCGGGACCTGGTCACCGCCCGGCTGCTGGGGTGGCAGCCGCTCCAGGTCGCTGTACTTCTGCCCGATCCGGACTCCGGCCGCCCGCAGCTCGGGCGCCCCGTCGTCCTGTCCGTCGAGCCGGCGCGCCTGTCGTAGCGTGTGCAGACTCTGCCACAGGGCCGGCGGAGCGGGGCCGATCGACGGGCCGGGGAAGTAGATCCGTCCCGCGCGGCAGGCGGACAGCATCACCACCGTCACCGCCGCCAGCAGCGGCGCTGCTCCGAGTCGGGTCATGGTGTGCGTGGGCCGGTGGACGGACAGCGGGTGGAGGGCGGACGGAGGGCGGCGGGCGGACAGCGGGCGGCGGGCGGAGTGCGGAGGGCGGCGGGCGACTTTCCACCGCGGCGCCGCTCCTCGGGCCGAGGTCCAGCCGGTCTCCAAACCGGGGGCGAAACTGGCGCCGCTGACCGGGGCGGACGGCCTCGGTGACGGAATCTCTGCAGTCGCCGACCTGAGAAAAGGCGAGACCTGGTCAGGGGCCGCACTAGCCCTGATGAGATACAGGGAAAGCGGGTTCTTGTCGTGTCTAATGTGCATAAAACAGGCATGGGATGATGCACAAATAGACGGTCATGCAAGTTGCAACAGAGGATTACGAAACGGCAGTAATCCGGTCGAACCTGATCATAACAATATGGGTACTACCATACTGTTTGGATTAAGC